AAATATTAGATTAATCTTAAGTAGATTAAAGCCTATTCTTCTTAGGTAGTTATAGCTTATTTTTTATAATATAGAACTTTTATTAAAAAATAAAGTTAGTATATTCTTCTACTTATAGAAGTATAGAACATTAGTCTATAAGAAGTAAGAGTAAACTTTTTCTAATATTATTTTATAAGGCTGTAGTATACTCTAGTACTTATATATCTAGTATTTAGTCTAATCTAAGTTTTTTTTATAATAGTTTTATATAATCTAAAAGGTTTATAAAATTCTAATTACTACGCTATATAGTATACTTAAGGTAATTATAAGTATATTATTTATACTTTTATAAAGAACTAAGTAAGTTTAATATAATATACTTAAAGTCTACTTATAATAGTATCTAGATAAAGTTCTAGTACTTCTCTAATATCTAATAAGTATACTATAAAGTTTTTAATAGCTTAGAGATATATATAGTACTAAAATCTACTTTCTATATTTTTATTATAAAGCTTTATAGTATATAAAAAAAGTATAACTTATAATTCTACTTCTAGTAATTATATTACGCTTAGTTAGTCTTTAAAAATAACTATAGAAGTTTAGATCTTAGAAAGTCTTTAGTAAAGAGAGTATTCTCTAAGTAAGTTATAAATAGCGCTTTTATATTCTTTTTAAGAGTAGTTAAGTTACTTATAGTAACTTTAGCGTAAAAGTTCTATAACTTAGCTAGCTTAATATACTTTAGTTAAAGAGTTCTCTAAGTATAAAGGCGTTATAGCTTCTAGTCTAAGATAGCCTCTTCTAGAATATTCTAGATTTTATTAGAAGTAAAAATATAATTTTATAGTAATAGTAGTAGAATTAAGCTATTACTAATATTATTATTTATCTTAGATATAGAAAGTATTAGCTTATATACTTTCTTCTTAATAGAAGTTAGTACTAATAAACTTATAGCTAATACTACTATATTAGATAGTTCTATATTATTATTAATATTTATTAGTATATAACTATTACTATAAGTATTATAAGTAGATATTATATAATATAAACGTATTATAAGGTAAATAATTTAAATATTAAATAAGTAACTACTAATTAATATAGAATATAAGAGATAGTAAAGTAATAGTATATTATCTAGTAAAAATAGATAAATTGTTACTTTCTAGATAATAATTCTCTAGATCTACTTATACTTACGCTAGGTTAGGTTATATAACATTATCTAACTATCTAGAATATAGGTTTCTAATACTTAGCTAGCTTAATCTATACTAAAAGTAGTAGAAGTAAGTTAATAGTTATGTTAACCTACCTCTTAAGCTTTCTAAGCTTACTTTAGATACTTACTAAAAGAGTAAATTTAAGCTTTTATACTACTAGTTTTTTATTTTAAAGCGCTTTTTTATTATACTTACTAGCTTCTCTCTCTAAATAAATAGAATAATTAAAAGCTTTAAAAAAACTATTTCTAGAGAAAAGTATTACTAAGTTAATTTTCTTTTATACTTTTAAAAAGCGTGTATTAAATTTAAGCTATATAAACTACTTAGACTAAGTAGAGCGTTTTTTAAAAATTACGCTACTTATTAAAATAAGTATTAAGCTTACTAAGAGGCTATAGTTACTTATAGCTACTTATAGATAAAGTAGTAAGTAGTATATATATTACTAACGTACTTAGAGTTATTAGAGAGAAGTACTACTATAAGTATAGGTAGTTAATACGCTAAAAGCTAGTAATAGCTAGTTATCTTACTTATTATAAGAAAAGAGTTTAAATAAAAATTAGAAAAGTATCTAAATATATTATTTATAGCGTTATTATTACGTAAAAAGAATAAAACCTATACTTTAAAGCGCTAGGCTTATAACTATAAAGAAAATTAAGCTAAAAATAATATATTTAAGTAATTAAAATTATAATTACTACTTTTATAAAATTAAATAAGAGTAGTATAATATATATAGGTAAGCGCGTAAAATACTAGTATAAAAGAGAGAAAGCACGTAATTAACCTAACAGGTGCTTAAACACCTGTTGCGACAGTTATTCCCTCTTACTAATTCATCACACCGATACCGCTTATCATCGGTGTTCATCACTCTTCCCGGGCTAATCGTCAGTAAGACATGAATATGCATACCTGACCCTACGTATCACTTTCATCACAGTATCTCACACCGGTCAACGCAATCCTCATTCAGCCTTCTAGCTTGTTCTCTCGCATTCGAAGCACGTTCCTGTTCACCGTAACCGAGACAACCCTTCTGATCGGTGTGACGCCCACATGTCATGCATGGAGGGATCAGCAAAACGCGGACATGATGGAACATTACAAGCGACTTGGTGTTTCGTATCTACGGAAGTTTTTCCCGACGAATGAAGCCCTGAAATGGATTTCTTGGGGTGAGGTGAGATCTGACGAGGTGCCCTTGCTTACTCTACACCCAGCAACACCTCGTATACCCGGAGATGAACATCGCGGGGTCTGGGGGTGGTGTTACGTGAGATGCGAGATGTGTGATGAGAAAGTGTCATGGCCAGTCTATGTCATGCATGAAGAGGATGACTGCCACGCGAGAAAATGCGGGGAAGGAAAGGGCCTTGTACACAACGGGCAATGATTTTCAGTGGAAGTGAGGAATGTGATGGGATGTGATGAGATTAGGCGGGCGACATAAGGTTGTCTTAGTAGAGAGTCGGACTTCGGAGCGTGCCGAACGGGGTATGTCACTGGCTGACTTGATAGAGCAAGTTTGCCGCGGAGGTCTAACGTCGGTGACTGAGATGAAACGGTTCTTGAATTGCGGCAAAGCGCGCTTGTGGAGAAATGGTGGTGATGATGACTTGCATGGTGGTTTATCGCTGATAGTTGGAACCCGGACTTCGCTCATGGCGCGGCTATGGAAAATCGCAGTCGCTTCCAGGTAACATCAAAGGGATGGAGTATGCATAATGGACTATTGTCATACATGGCATGGTCAAACAAGGACCCCCGAAGCAATACTGGTGGTTTTCAGCACATATGCATGTAGCATCAGCTAACACCTCATATGTGTATGGACCTGTTTCCTGCTTCGTGATCCGCAGTATATCCGCATTCGCACACTCCGCAGCTCTTTCTAACACCCCATCCAATATCCGCCAAATTACACATTCCTGCACTGGCCTCCAGATACAGAAGCACAACCGCCCCCAACCCCATCACCGCGTTTGCTCCCTGTATTCCAACGCATAGCCTCGGATCCGGCAACCGAAGCGAACGGGAAACAAGGGAGACAACTCCGAACCCAGCGTGCTGGTATAGGCCCCGTAGAAGAATGGAGATTGTGTATAGTGTTCAGCCTCGCTAGATCGGCTGGGATGTGAATCCTGGCTTGATTGTGATGAACTGCACCTCGAGATGCTTTGCTCAGCATTAGTTTTCTGTCAATGCGCTGTACGCTGTATACGCTGCGTGTATGTAGACGACAAAGAACGCTACTTTGTGACCAACCTGCCAGTAGCTTAGGATTGTGTGCTAAGCCCCGCGAAAGGTCTTTCGCACGCAACTTTTAGCGATAGTGCACATCACCTCACCTCGCTTGCAGCCTCCCTCCACGTCAAACCCAACGAGCTAGTTGCGATCCTGCACGTCAATATAGTCTTTACTCAACTGAGCCTTGTCGACCCCGACCTCCGCGTTAGCCACAAACGAAAGCGATTTCCAGCTTATGGTACTTTCCCATGTTTCCGTTCTCATGCAATCGCATCTGGCTGCCAAACATATGCATGTGCGTCTTTTTGCTCGAACCTGCGTTGGCTAGCCTCAATCGCCCATCGGTGAGATGTCTGCGGGTCGCTCATTCCAGCAGACTTGCTATCTACTTGCGATATGATGACTTGCATACAGTTATCCGTTGTCAGAAGGAAAAGGAAACAAATGCTTGGAGGTTTATGCAGGTAAGAGAAGGATCCCCGATCTGTACACCTGCATGCATGCAGGTTCGCGATCGGCGATCTGTGGTCAACATGTTAATGTCGGTAATGTTGGTGGGGAAAATGGATGAGTTCAGGGAATTTTCAGGGTTCGCAACGTTAGGAACTCCGTCCGGGTAAGGCGGCTGTTGAAAAATAAGAGACGGCGGCGGTGACATATTATTACTACATAGATTACTATGTATATACCGCTCGGGAGTCGGTACAATACCGATCGGTTGGGAATCTTGTTGGGAGATTGGTACATGCAGGTGTGTCGCAACAGGAGCGATGTCGGAAATTGACTTTTTCTTTTACTATGGGGTGCCGAGTTGCTAGGGAGGGAACCGCAAATACGGTTGCGGTTGTGGTTTGTCAAGGGTGGAGATGCTCGATGCATGTCCAACCGAGGTGTGTGGAGAATAACATCATCACTGAATACGGTGAAGATCCTCATGTCGGTCAAGTTCAACAAGATCAGGCATTATGCCTGTTCATGCATTATACTACACGGCTTGACAAACAGCCAATATGCTATCAAAGACACTTCAAAGAAGCGAAGAGTAGTAACTAGCTAAGGACACAGTAATCCATCCCCTTCAGTTTGCCATCTGCGGAACAGCTTCCCAGGAAAGCCAAACCCCCTTGTTGAGCGCATCACTTACCGAGGTTATGTCCTCATCGATCATCAACAATTCATCCTTCATTCTCAACCAAACGGAGGCCCAAGCCACACAAGAGAAAAAGTGGAAATAGATACAGAATGGTAATAGTAAATGCTGAGAAGAGAAAAGAGACAACGCCGTCTTTTGATAACGCTCGCCGATGCATGCAGCCTAGATCCAAGCTAAGTGAGAACGCCCTGCGCCTGCCCTTGGTGGTAGTGGTAAAGTCATGTTGTTGCTTTGTAATTCGTATATGTACACACGCGTGAAACGGGAATCCAATGTATGTGTATTCGTACAGCGGGTAGATCTTGGGTATCGTGTAGTTGATGACGGAGATGACAGTAAAGTTGTCAGTGTACGGTATGTGGGTGTTGTTATTGCGATTCAGCTGTACGATTGTCCGCTGGCTCTAGCTCGGGTGGAGGAATCTTCTTGACTGTTCCGTTGCTTCCACTGCGAGTGGATCGCCGGACATGAATGCTGGCACGAGCAAGTTCGCCATTGGAAACGGAGTTGCTTCGTTGCGATGATGACGCGACAGACCTCTTCTTGCTGCTGAAGTTCAGGACCATTCCGTCGTCGCTCTCTGAATCGTCGTCGCTTTCAACAGCGTGGTCGCCATCGTAGCCAGCAGCGTCATCGATAGAGGCCTCGAGGTGATTAGCTGACGCTGCGGAGATCCAGGAGTGTTCATCAAAGGAACCGCAACCAACTTGAGTTGGGGAGCCGGCCGACGCGACCGAGGGAATTGATGGGTTCGATTCGGATTGTGACATGGCAGAGAATTGATCCTCGGAAGAGGAAAGAGCCAACCCGCGGCTTGATCCACCAAGAGGGCTATTCTCAGAGGACTGATCGTTTCGGTGCCAGCTTTCTCGATTGTTATGTTGACTGAAGACTATCTCATCATCTGGACTTGGTGGACATGCAGTCTGTGCATGAGAAGATGTAGGCCGTGATCGTGTAATAGAATCGGTTCGCTCACGGGCTGCTGACTGTTCCACTCCGAGTCGTCGACGGTACTCATCCTTCGCGCGATCAAAACGGTCATCTGACTTCTTTCGTGCGATCGAGGTAGGGCTGGAGGGTCTTTGATCGCCGGCTTGAAGCAGTTGCGATGATCGTCTAGAATCGGGCGCCATCCCAAGGGTGGGTCCAACTTCTTGACTGTTTGCGGTCGCCCAGTTTCGATGCAGGCGGGAGGACAGTGACGACAATGAGGATTGCCGCGACGAGGGGTCAAGACGTTCAAAAGACTGAGCTTCTGAATGGCTAGGCGATGAGCTTCGAGCAATGGGAGACATGTCTTTTAGGGCGTCAGGTTGATTGACTTGGCCGGAAGCACATGTAGTGCTGATTGCCAGGCTTGGGACGCCATGGGCATCGTCGTCCCCACCAACGAGTCTATCGATTGACCTCGCGCGGCTATGTTCTTTTGGGGGCTTCAACTTGTCTCTGCTTCTCATGCTGTTGACCACACGCCTTGGCAGACCACCAAATAGACCACCCAACTGTGAGCCACCAGGTGTGTCTAGAGCCGTTGGGGTACCAGGTAGAGCTGGAGGAAAACCTGGAGATCCGGTTCGACCGGGAACCAGATCCGCTTGACGAATGGTGCTTATGGAAGATATGGCGCGGTCCTGCATTTGCGGTCGCTGTTGCTGTTGGCTCTCGAGCATCTGGGCGGGTGATGCAGTACGGGAGTTGGGACTGTCAAAGTACCTCGACCGTTCTCTCGCCTCCGGACTCGCTGTAACACTGTGAGAGAGCGGATGCTCAGCTTCACGCGAGCGAGTCAGAATCTCTAGGATAGCACCGGGTGCTAGACTGCCACGTCGGCCTTCATAGGGCCGGGCGTCTTGACTGATGGTACTACTCGAAGAGTTTGCGCTGATGTTGGGGGGCGCGTCCTGGTTGGTAGCTGAGCTCTGCGCACGGCGCCTTGAACCTGAACTGCGAGTTGTGAAACCTTTGACAAACTCGGACGTCTTCTTAGCGGCTGAGCGGAGGCGGTCGACGAAACCAATAGGGACAACAGCCTCTTCGACATCCTCTTTGGAAATCTGAATCCTTCTTCCATCATAGGACTTGCTAGGGTCTGTCTCTTCTGCCCATGAGATGTGGTTGGGAATACCGGATAGCAGCCACGGGTGGCGCTTGATCTCTGGTATAGTGATGCGACGTCGCGCATCCTTGATCAGCAATCGTCGCAGTAGGTCACGTAAGTTTTCATCAACCTCTTCGTATTCGAGATCATGCGGTGCTCTCTTGGTGCTCGTCATTGGCTGACTGTTGCGTCCGTGTGAGTTGGGCCGCGAGTTTGATTGCTCAGCGACGGGTTTCAGCCGATACCTAGGGATGTAGGGCTCGTCTTCGCTGATGACCTTCATCAGCGTGAATGTGTTTGTGTCGTGAAAAGGCACGCGCCCGTAGATAAGGCAGTACAGCGTGACGCCGAGAGCCCAGATATCGATCCCGCCGTCGATGAGGGGAGTCTCTGCGTCAATCTCTGTACGGCAGAGCTCGGGGGCGTAGAAGGCCGGGGTTCCCACAGTCTTCGCCAGCTCAATAGCTTCGTCGACCTCCTGGTAGTCTGACTCAGAGTGTTCGCCGTTGCTCTCATCAGTCTTTTGCCGTCCCAAGTACGACACACCAAAGTCAGATATCTTGATGCGATGCTCCCTGGTTACAAGAAGATTGGCAGGTTTGATGTCTCGATGGATGACGTTCTGATAGTGCAGGTATTCTATACCCAAGACAGTGTCCTTGAAGGCTTCCCAAGCTGCATGCATAGTCATCAGAGGGACGTAATTGAAGTGTTCAGGGATCTCTTCGCCAGAGTCGGTCACACGTGACGAGGAGCTGCCAGCAACGCTAGGTACGCGGCCTCGGATGAGCTCCGTGTCGTAAGGGCCGTACATGGTTCCCTCAAGCCCGTCGGCCCAAGAGTTGTTCACCGGCTCAGGCGATCGGAAAGCGGTCTCCATGTGGTCTTCGTGGTGGCCTGCGACGTCTGATCGCTCGCGAAACTGGACGCGGCTGTGCGGACGCTCGTCTTCTAGATGGGATGCTTGCGAGCTACGTCCGTTGTCGGAGCCCTCGTCTTCAGAGTCGGTTGCAAACTCCAAGCTCCAGGGTTGGTTGGAGGAGCCGTCTTTCCGACGTAGGTGTGCCTCTCTGGCCATGCGACGTTGCTGGCGGGCAAGCTTCTGGTGGGCGATGCGGATGATCCTTTCGTCTTCTAATGTTGCACTGTCATTGTCGAAGATGCCCTGGGACTCGCGCTTGAAGCGACGCCATTCGACGAGGCAGATCTCCCTGGCACCCTCAGTCCGCCACTTGACCTCGCCCAGCTCGACGTGCTCGAGTACGATATAGACCTTCTTCTTAGCTGGGTCATCTATAACCTCGAGCAAGCTGACAATGTTGGGGTGGCGGGCCTTTTTGAGGATGGCTATCTCGCGCTTGATCTTATCTTCGTGGCTGTTGTTCTTGCCGAGGCGGCGACGTTTGGAGTAGCGGTCGACGATCTTGATGGCGACGTAGCGGCCGTGCACCAGGTCCTTGCCCAGCTTGACCTTGCCGTGAACACCTCGGCCAAGCTCGTCGATGATCTCGTACTGGTTCACAATCTTGCGTCCGGAGACGGGATCGGCCTGGACATCGGCAATGTGGGTCTCCTTGGGCGCCTGGCGGTGGGTATGGTGGAGCCAGGGCGTGGAATAGGTGCCGTCGTCGGGCTGGTCGGGCTCCTGGGAAGGGCGGCGGGTGGTGGGGTTGAAGAGGCCAGGGCTGCTCACCGGTGAGTTGCCAACAGTGCGTGGGGCCGACTCCATAATGTCCCTGTAGTGCTCGTGGGAGAGGCCGAAGGCGCCGAGGCTGGACAGCGAGTTGGCGGCCGAGTGTGAGGGGTGGGAGCTGCGGGAGCGGACGATGGGCGGGACATAGGGCTGGGGGTACTGCTGCAGGTGGAGGGCAGCATAGGACTGGTTGGGGTAGACGGGCCCATCGCGGTGGCGGGGAGGGAGAGCGTAGGGGTGAATGGGGTCGACTGAGTTGGCCCGCACCGTCACGTTGCTGGCCGTCGAAGCGCTCGAGAGGTCTCGCATGAAAGCCGGGCGGTCGGGGGCAGGTGCAGCGGCGGGCGCGGCCTCGTTGACGGTGGAGAGCGAGGCCTGCGAGGCGTGGGCGCTCGTGCTGGGCGAGGGGTTCGAGGACGCGGGCGTGTCGCGGGGGATGGGCGACGAGTAGATTCGGAGGGGTTGTGGAGAGAAGTACGAGGGCTCTGGGTCGAGCGTGTGTATCTGCGATAAGAGGCTGGCGTTGAGGGCCTCTGGCACGGAAGGCACCTCGGAGCGGGGCGTGCAGTCGTTCTCGTCGTGCTGGTCTTGACTCGGCGGCGACGCGCCATGTTGCTGCTGCCCTTCTCTTTCTTCACCAAATGCCTCTGGTGCTTCTGGTGCGTCCGCGGTCGGGGGGCACACAGAGGACGCCGGCGACGAGTGCGCCTGGTCGTCCCGCACTTCCCCTTCCGCTGTCAGGCCCGCATTCGGGTCGACCATGGCAACCACAGCTCGGGACGTGTCAGCTCAGCAGCGGCGTGCTACCATGCCAGCCCGTCTACGGTTTGTCGAGGCGCACGTCGTGGGCGGATGGTCTCATGTCGCGCTGGGCTGGGCGGCGGCGGCGGTGTCACAGCGAGGGCAATGGCGTGGGTGCACTGGTGCTGTGAATCGACGTCGGGGTGAAGATGGTGGCAGTGGGCCGTGGTGGGCTCAACGGCTCGATATGGATTTGGTTGAGAGACACGATCGGCTCACTTGCGCTTTTCCCTCTGGGGCAGTGATGGGCGGGATAGTCAAGAGTATTTCGGGCCCCATAGATGACGCTCTGAAGCGGGAGAGACACGCCGGGGCTCGCAGCAAAAGGTGGAGACGCTATGTATCGCGCTGGGCATAGGCGAAGACGCAGATAAAGGCCGTCAGGGCAGACAACGAGGCGCTGCACGGCAAGAGGGCAATGGCACCGGCGACCAGAGGCCTACAATGCGCCCGGTGGAGCGATTTCTTGTTGAGCGAGCCACGAGCGATATGGGCAACTTTTTGTCTTGGGGGATCTGCCACTCGACGGCAGCGAGAGTATCACCTACATGGTGCTAGCATGCAGGTGACAAGAACGGGTATGGCTGCATGCACTAGTCCCTCCTGCCCTCAACAACAGGTGGCGTTCAGCTGTTCGAGGGTGTGGTTCGTTTGCAGCGCCCTCGTCCAAACTGCTCTGCGCAGCGCCATCAGCATGTGCCTGTGTCCTGATCCCAGCGGTGCGCGCGCATGGGTCGCCTCTGCCGCCTCCGGTTGCGTCGGCACCCGTCACTTGGGCCCATGCAGCAGCCATTAGATGAGGAAGCGCGATAAGCACCCTGGAGAAACTCTAAATCCCTCCCTGCAACATCTGCCATCATAGCACATGGCGACTGACGGACCCTCTCTAGCACAAGCCCTTCCCCAGATTTACCCTCGCTGAGCGTCAGGTACTCGCTTTGCTTCTTCGCTCCCGCTTCGATATAGCTCCAGGGCTGCCATGTCCAATCTCACGCTATCGCTGCGTCACTGGCGCGCCCCGTATCGTCATTGTTGGGCCGGCACACACAGCCATCGTACCACGAGCATCCAAGGGGGGGCAAACTGACGGCTGGCAACAATCCCATCCAGCGTCCTCGCGCCCTGCTGCCTCCCCCCTCGCCATGCCACGATGGCGCTCCAGACCGCCTGCAGTCACCGGTAGATTATCAATCGTGACCTATCGTGAGATTGACCGGCCTCGTACGTGCACAGTCGCACGGCGGTGCATGCTGCAGAGGGCCAGCGCAGATGAAGCCGAGTCTAGGCGCCGCCCGTCTCCTCAGCAATCATCGTGAAAGTCCTAATCCGGTAAGGCACGCAGCATCAATTTTCTGCACCGGGGCGCGCTTGAGCACGGATGCATGACAAACGTGACTGCCTGTGCAGCGCGCCAAGGAGCTAGACCACCGGCTTCGCATCCTCACCTCTGCTGCGAATCTCATCTCACTCTGCTCGCCAACCATTGCCCCGGCCTCCCGCCTGTGCTCCTTGTTTCTTGCTCTATTACCCAATGCCGACCCGCACCAACGCTGCGAGGGACACGAATCCGAGCGGGACTGGTGCTCCACCACGCGCTCCGTCCAACAGCTATCGTGACTCGACGCTAAACATCTTCGCTCTGCTGCTTGCCTTCCGCATCGTCAATGCACTAACCCTGCGCTCCTTTTTCCAGCCCGACGAGTTCTTCCAGTCCCTCGAACCTGCATGGCAGCTTGCGTTTGGCCCCGCCAGCAATGCCTGGATCACCTGGGTAAATCCACTTCAGAGTGCTCCAGTATCCCCAGTCCGCTCACCGTCGCCAGGAATGGAGATCCCAATTGCGGTCGTCCCTGCATCCAGCGCTATTCGCTGCCGTCTATCGAGTCGCGGCACATGTTGCTGACCTCTGTGGCTTGACCTTGCCTGCTAAAGCCGAACTACTCCTAGCTGCTCCGAAAGTTACCCAAGCCGTCTCTGCAGCCTTGCTTGATTGCTACACATGGAAACTTGCGGAAAAAGTCTACGGTCGTGGCAGTCGCACTGCCCTTACTACTGTACGCGACCATCCTGCAAATCTAACATTGCAATCTCTGATATTTGATCCCACCTACTTCTAGCTTGCATTGTCTGTCTGCAGCCCGTGGCAGTGGTTCTGCGCGACCCGAACACTGTCCAACTGTCTTGAGACTACCATCACTTCTGTCGCTATTTACTATTGGCCTTGGCAGGGTGCAGCAACAGCTAGCAAGGGTCAGACGCATATTGCACACCACGACCTCGGCTCCCTCTCAAAGTAAGTCGTGGAATCAAAACACCCTTTGTCTGCTCCGCCACCACTTTAGGCTCATGCTCGTGCAGGTTGCGCCTGTCACTGCTGTTGGCAGCGCTTGCGTGTATTCTCCGGCCCACCAATGCACTCATCTGGCTGTCCGTATCCGTCCCAGCTCTATGGCGAGCCTCACATCGGCTGCGCTATGTGTTGGTCCGTGAGATCCTGATTTGCGGGTAAGCCTTCCCTCTCCTTGCATCCGCTGCACGTTTTTCGTCCCCATAGTGCAAGGCTCCATTGCCGGGCTCTGCGTTCTCTGCAGACTACCGTGCCCCGAGGTCACCAGACCATAATCCGACTGACGATGCTAGCTCCGCCGTCCTGGTATTGTCAGTCGCGACCGATCGGCTCTATTACAGGGTCTGGACTCTTCCGCCGCTTAGATTTCTCTATTTCAACATCGCTCAGTCGTTAGCCGTCTTCTACGGGAGGAACCGCGGCGACTACTATTTGACCGAAGGTTTGCCGTTGCTCCTCACGACATCGTTGCCATTTGCCGTTGTTGGCCTGTGGCAGTCGTTGAGGGGCTTAGAGCCACGTAGCCCAGCCAAAGGCGACAGCCCGGGTAATACAGCAGCTTCAGGTCAAGATAATGCGGGCAGTCAGATACTAAGCCGTCTGTCATGGACGGTGATCGTCATGACTGCTACGCTGAGTTTGATATCGCACAAGGAAGTTCGCTTTCTGTACCCAGTCCTACCCTTCCTTCACATCATCGCCGCCAGGCCACTCAGCAAGTTTTTACCTCCTCGCGCTGCGCTATCGCACAAAGCAGTCATCCTGTTCTTGCTTGCTGTAAACATCCTGCTTGCAGGCTATGCCTCTCAAGTTCACCAGCGTGGAGTCATCGATGTACTCGCCTATCTCCGTCATAAACATGAAACGCGCAACAGCCTATTACACGTTTATGGCAATAGCGATAGTAACGTCGCTGCTGTGACCAATACAACAGTCGGCTTCCTCATGCCCTGCCACTCTACACCCTGGCGCTCCCACATCATCTACCCTGAAATCTCTGCATGGGCTTTGACGTGCGAGCCGCCCATTGACATACCGCTCTCGCAGCGCTCAACCTATCTCGACGAGGCGGATGAGTTCTACATCAAACCTGGCCCTGTAGCTTGGCTCCGAGCCAATATGGAAGATGTACAGACGATCAAGGCGAGTGGAAGTAGGTCTGGTCAGCATTGGATGCGCCAGGATCCAAAGTTCAAACGCAAGTACCGGCGTGAATGGCCGCAAAACCTTGTTTTCTTTGAGCAGTTGGAAGGGACGCTGAAGGAGTATCTTGAGGGCACTAGGTACCAGGAGTGTTGGAGGGGTTTCAACAGCCACTTCCATGATGACTCGAGGAGGACTGGTGATGTGGTTGTCTGGTGCTTGGATGGCGTGTGAGGCGCAGACTGCACTCTTGTATAACTGTAGCAAGATAACTCTAGTAGTAAGATTGTCTGTGAATCATCTAGATAATGTGACCTCCCATTAGTGCTCCCTTACATACCACGCAAGATGTCATCACATCTGATCATCGCCCTTGATACTCCCTAGTCACCTGTTCGCGCCATCCAAGTGTTTTCAACGTATCTCTTCTTCCCCGCTGTACCCAGAACCCACGTCGCGAGGATCCGTGACATCGAAACACGGCCAGTGCCAAGAACATCGAGCAGCAACTCTCCCATCGCGAATTTGCTTAGACAGCCCAGAAATATGCCGAGACGCGAAACCTATACCACGACATTAAAACTCTACACATAACACAGTCAACCACCCCGTCTAGCTCCCAACAGAATGACCTCATCGACCCTGCAGATCCACAGCCCACAAACCAAAAACCACACCTGGGCAAACACTGCCCTGGATCCCAGCACACCGGACACGCGTCCCTGTACCTGACGATGAAGATAGCTTGCCACAGATGTACACACATGTAAGTCTAGAACACCATGATCGTCAGGGCAACGACAAAGGGTATCAGTCTGGACCTCAAAAGTCGTTCTGGGCATGGAGAAGAAGAAGCAATGTGATGATTAGTGTCGTTGCTAGGCGGGGACCCGGATCAGACCCTGACCCTTGAGCGGAGGGAAGGGAAAAAGGAAGACCACTGGGCACATGCATCGTGTTTTTGGAATCGGGGGGAGGGCGTTGGGAAAAAGCAAGGGTTTAAAGGAAATGAGCTACATCTCATATGAGGGACAAGCTGAACGGGCCTGCAGACTACACTGAGGTTAAGATGAGCAAACGAGAAACCTTCAACGCAACGTAGGCTCCATGATGTTAAGTGTTTTCTTCCAGGTCGAGGTAGGTGATTGGGCGTGCAGGCTTCACGGTGGCAAAAAGATCGATGAGAAGTCTGAATTCAGTGACTGGAGTTCCTCGTATGGGACGCACAGTATGAGACGTATTGTTTTCTTGCAGTATAACATAGGGAATAGGATCCTGGTAGACCGATGTTCTTTGTCGGCAGTTGCCCCCTCTTCCGATAACAACAGAAACCAGTAATGTTCAAAAGCAACAAACCAACCCAATGCACAATGAAAGAAAACACATCTCGCTTGGAGACAGAGAAGCCATGTTCTAGGCCCCAATTAAATATGTTCTGAAATCAACGCCATGATCCCAATGCCCGTTGTTGACGATGAGCTTCTTGAGCCTGGAACGCCGCGCTGAAACCTCAACTGAGCCAGCAAGTGATCCGGCATGCTCGATGCTCCCTTTCGAACGCCTAAGAATGCAATATGACACAAGAAAAATATCAAGCCAACGCGACTGCCTTTGCGCTGGTGCTTGAGCTGACTGAAGCTGGGGGTGTGGGTGGTGCAATGTCGATCGCAGGCGCAACCCAGCCCTCCTTGCGGGCAATCCACATGACCAAATTGAGGTCAAAATTCTCGAAAAACACCTCGTCGAGGAAGCGAGCCTTCGCGCCGGCGTAGGTATGGTATTCCTCGCGAACTGTCTCTGGGTCGACGCCGAGGATCCTCCGGAAGCAGGCGATGGTGCATCCGGTGCGGTGCTTGCCCTTGTTGCAGTGGACGAGGATCGGGTGGTTGGTACGATCCATGATGAGGCGCAGAGCTCGTGACATTTCGCACGATTCGACGCGCACTTCGCCTTTGTTGGCTTTGACGTGAACGTGGAAGTGCTGTATACCAGCGTCCTTCATGAAGTTTTGATACTCAGGCGAGAGTGGCTCAGGAACCAGGGTGAGGATGGTCTTGATTCCGGCTTCCTTAAGGTATTCGTAGTTCTCCTCTTTAGGATAGCTGCTACGATAGACGCACCCAGGGAGAACTGTGCCGTAGTTTGATGGAGGAGTGAGTGACTGTAGGCGTTCGGGTGCCGAACGGATGGAGACGGCCGGTGTAAGAGTGCCGTAAGACTCGGCTGTGCAGGTGATGGAACACTGGTGACCCTGAGGGTCTACGACAACCTTTAGGTCCTCGTGCGTAGTCTCGCCAGCGTGCTGTATGAGCCCGTCGCTTGCAGAGAGTCCGAGAGAGGCGACGAACTCCCTGATTCTTTCGAATACGCTTTCCTGAGCGTTTTGATCCTGGCTAGCGGACGTCGTGGAGTCTCCGTTTGATGAAGACATGTTGAAGCGCTGCGGAGCTTCGGGTTCGAGTTTGAAGGAGGGTATCAAAGGTATAGGTGAAAGCTCAGCTAGTGTTGTACTCGGACGATTTGTCCTGTACCCTTCACAGCGCGGATTTTTCGATGCGGAGGTGCTTGGTGGTAGGCCTTGTCGAGTGCTCTTGTGTGCGTTGAGGGTATGGAAGTCTGACTTCGGAGGATGCTCGAAGACAAGAGACACGGGGGCAGAAGCCGACGCGGGCAGCCTGTATTTTATTAGCCAAATGCTCGTACGTTAGGAGGATAGCTCCGAATTCGCGAACTATGGGTTGTCGCCGCTGTCACCCACGGATCCGGCGGTCGCGTCGAGCGCGCGGCGAATGGAAGGGCATGCTTTGAAAATGCGGCAGTTCACACAGCGTTGGTGACAGTGCAGCTTCCAAGGTTGCGTGAAAGGGTGAAACTTACTTCGCTGTTACCGGCTGGTTACAGGACACATCTTGCGAGCGTCTTGCGGTGATGCAAAGAGGCGTTGATGTTCATTGTGAGTGAGTGAGGTAGGTAGAGTGTACTGTGGGCGGAGTGGTGTGCGCAGTAGACGGATATTTGTGTGGTGATGGCTCGGGGCGGTAGCGAAGGATGTCAGCCGTAGTTCGCGGGGAGTGAGAAGTAGTGTGATTATAATGAAGGCTGGTGTTGTGGAAGAAATCGGGCGGGTCGCCCTAGCGCGCCTTTCACTGGTCCGAGCCAGATGCGTCGGAATCAATCCGCTGGCTTGGACCGCCGGTTCCAGGGTCCGCCAAGCGCCGTACGTCACTTGCCGCACCTTCCCAACGGTACTTTGGCTATGCAGGAACGCAGAGCATATAATTCATCGAAAAGATTCTGTGGGCTGTGTGCTAGTTCAGTCTTCTGGTACCAGCAAACAGCGCGCGGACCCCGCACCAGTCTTGTCGTGCCTTGCCAAATGACGGCAAGCACAGAGCAAGCGCCAGTAGCACCTGGGCAGTGGGCAAGCTTCGCTAAATTCGCTTCTGTTCCAAGGCGAACCGCCCCACTGCATGGCTCCGACCTGGGCGGCGTGTCTCAACACTGTCTCGCTCCCGTGCCTCAGCGACAGGCTTGCTACTTTCCAGCGCCGTTGACCTCGTCATCGCTCCACTCGCAACCTACGGAGCGGTGGGTCTCTAGTGCTTGGGTGAACCACGACGTGTTCGCCAGAACCGCGCGGAAGAATCGGCACAAGAGAGACGCCAATAACACAGTCAGCGCATCAAAGCATTACTGTAGACGGCAAATGCCAGTAGGCGAAGCTTATGGGCCGGGTTCCCAGAGCAAACCGACTATGAGAATACAACGATATCATAATTCGCCTTTGCCCAGCTTCTATGCCATCATCAAGGCAATATTCATAGCCGTTCATCCCGGGTTCTCCTGCTGTCCGAGTCTTGTGGCCGCTTCCTCATCATTGCAACCAGGTAGCCAGGGCCTGGACGCCCAGTGGAACTTGGCAGAAAGTATCTCGAAATCTCTATGACGACTCCGCGACATTCCGTAGACATCGGCGTATTCGAAGGGGTCAACTGCAGACTGCAGTCGGAGGTCGCGGCACGAATTCGTGAAATTTCTCTGAGTTGAATATTTCAAAGTTCCATCGCACCACTTTCACGTGAAGACTCTCGTGATCGGCAGCTAACCATGAAAGGTTAAGCCTCATTTCCCCAGAGTCTGTGCGTCTAACCTGCTGGACCTCGGTCACTCCACCAAATACAGTAAACATCGGGACGTTTCTCACATCCTCAGCGTATCCCAGTGGTCCCACGTTCTCCAGTTGAGCATCATGGAGCCTCCACGCTCGACATCCCGATCGCGTCGCTCCTATCCGAACCTCCACAACCTCTCCATAGCCCCGCTCAGCGCCAAATACCCTCTCGATGCATCCGTACCACCTTCACCCGACGAGCAAGGCACGCGCACTCCTCGGACGTCGTACATCGCGCAAAAGTCGGCACCTACAACGCCAGGTGTTCTAAGCCTCAGCCAGAGCCGCAGCAGTTCACGGCAGCGCCCGAAGAAAGCCTACGCATACGACAGCTACTTTGTCAACCCCCGTGCCGAAGTTCGCGATGTTGGTGACATACCAAAAGCAAAGAGTACCAGTGTCCTGCATCCCGGCGTCAGCTTTGCCGACGAAGTGCTCAGGGTAGATGATGGGGAAAAGAGACATCATTCGAGGAAAGGCACAGCGCCTCTACCGCTGCACTCACCACTCGTAAAGCATCACACCAAAGAGTCAAATGAAGAGTGGCTGCACCGCGCTGGTTTGGCAATCGCTGGCGAGACGAGGGATAGCAAGGGACAGGGTTGGCTTGTGAGACGAGAGAGCTCCACCAGTCTAGTCGGACAAGGTGACGAGTACGAGAAACGCTCTTCACATGAGGATAGGCCCATGGCTCTACTCTCTGGCGAACATGTCGGTGACGCGGACTTTCCCGTGTTCTTCTCCCCGCGCATGTCCAGGGTGGGGAGTCGTATCCCCAGTCGCGTAGGCTCCCGCGTACCCAGCGCACGGCAGAGTCGACGGGGCAGCAGAGTAGGTAGTCGGGCCGATCTCATGATGTCTGCCGGATCGAAACCGCAGTCAGGAAGAGCCAGCTTCGAGATCTCTGAGCTAGACGAACGCTTCATTGAGCCTGACTTCATCGAAGCAGACGAAGAAAGCGATGGCGATGAGGAAGAAGTCGCTCGGTTGGCGCGCGAACGCGGGTTCGGGCTTGGAGGTTGGATGGATCGTCTCATCGGATGGACACTGTTCTCTGTTGACGAGGACAGAGAAGCGTCCGATGAGGATGATGCGGAATATGATAGGAGCCTGCGACTAGACAATCTTACAACGGAGGAGCTGAAGTTACGCCGCGAAGTTGAAGCCAAGCGGCGTAAGCTTGAACGAGAAGCCATTATTGCTGCATCTGCTCTACGGAGACAAGAAGGCGATGCGACGACTACAGATACAGAGAGCCGCCCAACAACCGGGGACTCGCAACGTACGACGGCCAATGAAGAGGTCGGCGGTTGGCAAGATGCCGCGTGGCTATTGAGCGTTGCTTCGAAAGCTTTGTTCTAATCACAGTAATTAAAAAGTCAACAATTATACCCAAACTACTGAACCAGGCAGTCAAACCAGCGAATGGATTTCCCATGATTGCGACTTCCAAGGTTGCTACTACAATATACTGGTTTACAGCACTGATTAGATTATTCCATCGCGCTTACATCTTCGGCGCTCAGTGGTTTCCAATTACTTCTTCACCTTCCCCATCTCTCTATTCTCTACTGCATCCTCAATCCCAGGTCTACCTCACCTTGCCCATCCGACATACTAGGCGGTCTATCCTCCTTCTTCGTACCCCAATCACTCTCCGTATCTCCCAGCACAAGCTCCAGCGTCCATCCTTGCGTGAAGAACTCGTGTCCAATCCAGTTCTTGGTGTACACCTCGCCATTCAGCTTAGCGCTCTGGATATAAATGTTCTTGTACTCCTTGTCAAAATTGGTGTTACGAATAGTGGCAGTGGCATTCGTGAGCTTGTTAGCTATGGAAACGGTGGGGAAGAAAGGCGGAATGATGAAGTATACGTTCTGGCCCGGGTTAGGAAATAGGCCAAGCATGCTGAAGAGTGCAAAAGATGCCATGCTCCCTGAATCGTCATTGCCTGGAAGGCCGCCGGGTGTAGCGTTGAACCGTGACGGAATATCTACATCTGATGTCAGCGAACGCATTCAAACTGGACACTTCCTTGATGTCTAGTGTGGCAGAACTTACAGTAATGTGCCCTTTCTGCACTCAATGCAGGTCTTCCTGCAAAATGAGATAGATACACCGTAAGGAAGACCGGCTCGTTTCCTATGTCCGCTAGGCCGCTGGTATGGAAGAAATCCAGTCTGCGCACAAACGTCTCGTCGCCCCCAAGTAGCTCGATGAGTTTCCCAATATCGTGCGGGACGAAGAATATGTACTCCCATACACTACTCTCGAATGTCTCGGACGGATTTGACGTCAGTGAGCAAAAGTCGGTCAGCGGACTGCAGGCAATGGGGTCTTGGTAGCCCCATGTCCCGTTCAAGTTCCTGGGTTGAAAGAAGCCTGTGAAGCCAGTATCTGTACCGTTGATCGAGGAGGTCTGGTCGGATTTGAAGAGGTTCCGCCAGTTTGTTGCGCGAGAGAAGTACTTCTCAGTCGTGCTTTTACCGAGGCCTTTTGTCAGAGTGGCGAGATTGAAGTCGTTGTAAGCGTATTCCAGAGATCGCGATATACTTCTCGAGTTCGTACCAAAGCCGTAAGGGTCAAAGTCCGACACTGGGATATAGTTTAGCGATTTCCAACTTGTCAAGCCGCCACGTCCCTCTTGGCTCCATTCCAATGGCTCGTTTTCGGCGTCGTTGACGATGGCTTCGTAGGCGAGTTCCCAGTCTATGCCTGTGATGTTCTTGACGTACGCATCGACTAGGACGTTATCGGCGTTGGAGCCGCCCTGTGTCCAGCCTTTGCAGGTACTCATCATGCAGTCTGGCAGCCATCCACGATGTTTGTACGTGTCAAGAAGACTTTGTACAAAACTAGACATTATAGAAGGCTCCAACACAGTGAGAAAAGGTAGTTGCACGCGCCACATATCCCAGAGACAGTAGAAGCTGTCGAAGTATGGCTCATCGCTCTGCCAGTGCGGGTTTTCACCCGTATAGTTCTGAGGAGATATCATCGTACGATAAACAGCGCTCCAGAAGCTGGTCTGTATGCTCTCGTCCACTTCTCCAGTTTCGATGGTAATCGGAGCGAGCTTCTCACGCCAGGCTTCCTCGGCTGACGTGACAAGTCCGTCAAAGTCGAAGGTGGGCCCCGGGATTTCCCTCTCAGCATTTTGGCAGGCTTGATTAGTACTGATGAAGCTCAATCCCATCCTTGCTAGCACCTGTCCTGAGAGTGGGCCGTTCAATCGGATGAATCCACCAGCTTGGACGTAGAACAAGTTGAAGCCGCGCGTCACGTAAAGCTCTTTCGGCTGTTCGCCAGCTCTGTCGTTGACCCATACTCCAGAGTCTTTGACAGGTCCTCCGGAAACATCGAGGCAAAAGTATGCCATATAGGACCCCGCGCCGAAGCTTGGTAGGAATGTAGCATTCCCTCTCATCCTACCTGACTGTTGGCCGGCTTCGGCCTCGATGGTAATAGAAGCGTTTTGCCGACTCGCCCATAAGTCTGTCAGATCAAGCATGATGAGAGGATCGTTGCTTCCATTTCCATTAGATGCTGTGGAGAAGTCGAAGCGAAAGAGCGCAGCATGTTCTGAAACGGCCATATCAGCATGTATGCCGTTTTCCAGTGTTACCCCAAAGTAGCCGGGTCGTGCTTCGATTGAATCGTTTCGATAAGGAGTTGCGCGTGCTGTAATTGGAAATTTGCATGTGTTGATGTCATCGCCTGAGCACAACCGCGGAAAGATGGGAAAGTTGCCTAAGCTTGGATTTCCTCCTGTTCCCGAGTCATGTAAAGCTGAGAAGCCGGTGATGTTGCTGCCGTCCGTGGAAAATCCGCCGGTATTCGCACCATCCACATCCGCAACGGCTGCAAGGTTTTAGCAGTGAGCTATCAATGTTGCGCGCTTGTAGCCGACCTTTTGCCATGCCGTATGGTAGTGTTGCGCCTGCGAAGACGTTCCCCCCATCTCTACTACCAATCAATGGGTCGACCCATTGTAAAGGATCGAAGTCAGCGGTTTGCTGCGCTAGTGTTCCTACTGTCGTCGATAGCGCTGCAAGCTGTGTAAAGGTCCAGACATAACGGCATAGCCTTTTCATTTTGAGATTCAGGCTCGATTCTCGTGCCCGTGATGTTGTACCAAAATTATCGAGGCGCGTATCTGCGTCTGGTTGGATTAATCGCTTCGTAGACAGGTCGATGGCACGTGTGATCGTGTCTACGGTTCAAAGTAGGCAGGACTGATCACTCAGCGAACGCAACTCAAGCAAGAATGATCGATCAAACGTGCGAGTAGCGACTCTATTAAGTCATCCTAAGTACCACATGGCGAGTTGGCTTGCGTCGGGGTGATCGCAGCTCAACACTGTCCTAGTGGGGTTTATTGCGGGGTAAAGCAACCGACCGTCTGGTACTGCAACCTTAACTGCATCGTAGGTAGCATCTAATAATCAGTGTGAGTGCCTTCGAAGCGCGAGCGACAGGACATGAAGTTGAAGGTCTGAGTCCACGTTCAGCCTTGCACAGCTATCTCGCCGTAGCGTCTCGTCTTGTCGCAGGCCAAGATCGCGCCCAGTCCTGCCTACCCCACAACCGGCTCCTTGTGCTGCTGTGGAACATGTGACCCTACCGCAAAACCTTATGCAGCGGTACGGAAAGCGCGAAGGGATTCCGGTGGCCATGCATCAAACCAAAGCCATTACCCCGAAATGGAACCACCGACAGAGGGAAGATCGTCCCGGTCGATATGCCCTGTGCAGCACTTACGCAGTGCCGGGAGTCCAGCGAAGTTTAGGTGCTTACTATGAGCTGTTCTGCTCGATGATTGGCCTGGATCCCCACGATCGGAGTGCTGGCCTCGCACGGGTACACGACCCGACCAGTCGGAGATCTCATGGGAAGAGCAGGCGCGCGTGTGCCTTCCATTAAGACTGACTCTCTCAACTTCCCTTTCCCATGAGAGCTCCAAGCCCATAACCCATGCACCCTCAAGAATGAAGAACAGTTTGGAGCCTAATTTCCACCATCGTTCCGCTCCAGATTTCTGCCACGTATGACTTGCGCCGTTTCGGATCGGACCTGCAATACGGCGACGTCGTGGTCATTATCCACGTTTGCTGTGAGGGTGACGTGAGTTTGCGCAGTCTCCCATCCAGTAAAGACGAGCGCCTCGTGAGTTCCCGGTGCATCGCATCGCCAGCCGTGTGCTACTCTAAACGTGTGGTTGCCTTGGAGCTGTTGCGCATAGCTTGTGAAAGCCCTTTCAAGATCCTCGACGCACTCTTCCTTAAAACGAAGTCTCTCCATTGCCAAGACGGGTGCTTCTAAAGGAAGCAAATGCATGCCATCTAGTTCCACATGGACAGTCCAACAAAATTGGAGCATATCTTCTTGGGGGCCGAGAACCTCGTCCCGCGCTGGAGATTCTAGGAACTTCAAGTGTGCTTCCAAATTTGGCCATATGCCCAAAATAAAGATCAACTTGGGGTCCTCGATGCAGTTGTAAAACTGTGAGCTTGTGTGCAGTTTCTCTCGCACGGCTGATAGGTTCTCAAGCAATGCTGGATCGTCGGCGGCAACATTCCTGAGACGCAATTGGGTTATTTCGAGGACCGCCATGCTTCACTAGGATTGTGAAGAACGCAGAGCTCGTGTCGTGGACTAGAATAGTGCTGTAGAGAGGATGTGTATGAACACAGTGGTGATGATGGACGGGAAGAACCTGGAACACGGCCGGACGGTGACTGGGGTAGGTTAGCGCCTTGGCATTCCACCCCTACGCCGGCGATTGAGATTGAGGCCAGTCAGCGGCTGCTTCGACACTCTCGCTGCCTGAACATCATCTGTGCCTGGTACGCCTCGCAGGCTTGAGACGGTAATGTTACGCGAAATCTCCCAGCCTCGGTCGATCGAAGGGATCCTATTGGTGTTTACGGAAACTTCGCATGACCTCGCAGTGCGCCCATCGACCACGGTGGCCACGACGTTACATCACAGCATTCTCTGAAATAGTTGCATGCAAGTACAACTATTATTAAAGAGCTCTCTGGTACATGGGCTCTTGGTGAGTCAAAGGCGACGCCATGTGCACTTCTGCGCCCTTCCAGCAACCCATCTTCTGGACGCCGCCAGTGTCAAGGCAACCTATCGGCGCACATCCTCCTCTTGGCGATGCTTGTCGCTATCTCGTAATGCAAAAATAGCCTGTCAAACAGCTGCAGGCAACAGTGAAAGCTAGACGTTCCATACCATCGTTGGTTCGTGATAAAGCGACGTCATTGCGACAGAGCCGGCATCACCGGAATGTGCTTGGGATCATCTCGAGGAAGGTGTCTTGCGATTTTGATTTGGACTCGCAAAGTAGGCCTGAAGCGGTTCCAAGGCATAGACGCTCCGCCGGTTGATGCATATCAGCAGCACAGCCCTCAGAACCACCAGACGCCATCTAACGGTATAGCTGCATACCGGTGAGCTGGCTAGTAACCGGAGACATCTAGAGCTTCACCATGCTAAACCACTTTGGGGACTCTGATTATCAAGGCTCTAGGCGAACTGCGATTTTATTAGTCGGGGCCGTTTGTTTTACAGTATAGTGCTGTAAGCCCGCCACATTTCAGCCGTAAACCTGGCGTCCCCTGATTAACGGACCACCCACACCCGCGGGGTCGCTTCATACTCCCGCTCTCGGCCCCCAAACTGTGCAATCCACATCTTTAGAGACATTGGATACCGCATACAGCAGAGTATATATCGCCACAGGGGAAGCGAACCGCAGATCACAGAATCCTTCTCATACTTTTGATATCAATGTCGTCTCCACAGGATCACGGTACTGTAGTCGAAAGCTCTTCGAGTGACTCACCGACTTTGTCGGATAGTGGAATTGGGAATGCGCCACCGATGCCTCGTAGACCAATTCCAAGGAAAGGACACACCAAATCCCGCCGCGGTTGTTTCAACTGCAAGAAAAGGTACTCTAACGATGTTCAGGTACTCGTGTTGTTCAAGTATCCTAATCAGAGCACAGGAGGATCAAATGTAACGAGAGACATCCTGAGTGCCACCATTGTACCAAGGCGGGATTGCAGTGCGAGTATCCAGCAAATATCATCCAAGCAATGCAACGTCTTCCTACTTCACCGCGCCCTCAGGAGGGGGGCAACCTGGGATCGACGCCAGGCGTCTTCGTAAGTGTGCTTCGAGCGTGCTTTGAATGGTGTAGTGGCTTACAATCATAGTCCATGGCAGACATGCGTCTATTCCACCATTTTCTCATCACAGCCTACCCGCATCTTCCGGTCGGAGCCGACAAGATTTGGATCACGGCAATTCCCGGCTTCGCACACAATGTATGTGTTTTCATCAGACATGGAAGAAGCCTTACGGCTATACTTAAATATAAGAAGGGGTACTAACTATTGCAGTACGAGTACCTTATGCATTCCATCTTAGCGCTGGCTGCGTCACATCTGGATGCTGTAACGCAGTCGGGTGTTGCAGAACAAGCCATACAGCACCGAATCCTCGCGGTGAAATCGCTCAATGAAGCGCTCTCAGTACCCCCAACAACCGCCTGCGAGCGCGACGCAAGAATGGCCGCGGCTCTAGTACTTGCTTTCCAATCAAGTCACCTGCAAGACGGCATGGCAGAGTTCATGACAATGGTCCGTGGGTGCAACCTGATTGCCGGCAACAACATGATGTTCATCGCCGACTCAGTCTTCAACGTATGTACAGGGATCTGTGTAAGGAATTGAACGCTCACACTGACCCCTTGTAGGCATTCTGCGCAGATTCTCACCTTGAGAGAATGCAGAAGCGGATCGGAACATCGAGGGTGAGCTGCTTCAACCGCAAAGATCTCGACATGGCATCATTATCCCTCGACCTTGTTCAGAACTTGAACATGTCCGACTGTGAGCGGTCATACTGGGAGTTGCTCGTATGCACCATCACCCATGCGTATGACCGCCCACCAGAGACATATCAGACCTTTGTTATGCTCTACAACACACCATCCAAGTGGACGCATGATGAGTTCCAGGCCTTCATCGATCCCAACAACAGTGTTGCGCAGATTCTACTGGCTCATTTCATCGCGGTTCAAGCTATCCTTACACCCATTCTCTATCTCGAAAGAGTGGGCTTTGAGGGCGTACATGCCCCTACTGCCGTGCTGAGCTGGATCGAAGGGATATACTGGAGCATACCGTGTCGCATGAGGCATCATGTGGAGTGGCCCAGACAAGTGTCGCGGTATCCTTATACTCGGTTCATGGGACAGAAGGAGGTGGAATATTGCGAAGTAGACCCCCTTCTGATCTGAAATTGTCCGGAGGTCACACTTTGAGTGGCCTCTTTTCGTTGCCCATTGTCGAGCCTGTGAATCACTTACGTATAACGACCTTCATGTACTACCAAGATACCCGCCATCGCTTTGTAGCTTCTACTCGCAATTCATTTCACTTTATCACAGGTTTAAACTCTCATTGAACATCCACACATCGTCATTGACATGATACGGATAACACACCTGCTTTCTCTCATACGTCTAGCCTGCAAAAGACTTCGCTCGGCATGCACAACACATCCCCCTTTCCTAAACACTACCCACAAACCTCACAAGCATCTTCATCCTCCATCGTCATATGCTCATGATATTCAATCTGCGCACGCATCTGAAAACCCGCATGGCCAATACCAATCCTCGCATACCTATCCATAACCGCCTTCCAAAACGCGGTTGGAATTTTCTCCGCCATCTCATCTTCCAAGTGCATACCAGGGGTCGCGTTGTGGACTTCCCCCGGTCTATACATAGTGCAGTGATAGTCCACCAGTAAACGCCTCAAGCGGTCGGAGGCTTCGGTGTGAGAGTGAAGCTTTGTATACGCGAAGATGACGGTTGGGTAGTACGGGGTTATTCCCGTTGTGAATGCCTTGTCGACGAACGCGTTCCCTACAGCTTCTGCGAATAAGGGGATCAGGTATTGACCTGCAAATTCCAGGCATTGGGCTACGAGCAGGCAGTCCCATTCGGAGGGTTGTGGTAAGTTTTGCGTGTACACCCAGTCGACGAAGATGTCGAAGACTTCAAGCTCTACCTTTTCGAGACATATTTGAGTACCGCGCGTTAGGTGTAGCTTGAAGACGGTGGAGTAGTGCGAGAGATAGTCGGTGTGGAGCAGGTATAGCTTTTGTTCGGTTCCAATGTTGACTAAGACAGTACCATATTTGCCTTGGCGTGCGATTTTACTATAGTCAAAGTTAATCGGCCGTTCACGACTGCAGATATGAAAGTTTTCTTACCTCATCCGGGGTGGCTGTGTATCTGCCTCTGCAGGACGCTTTAGGGACTGTGACTCTGGCAGTTGGTTGGCGGGGGCCATGACGACGATCTTTGACCTGTTGTGGGCAAAGGGTCAGGATGCAGAATTTGTAGTGTATGTTAAGAGCAATGGAATGAAATCTTGATTTATAGCTATAAAATTTGCGTGTGTTCGCTGCGCAATGATGTTGGACCACTGGCTAACCAAGGTATCTTGGGCTCGGGACCAGATTATGAGAAGTTCGGCCAATAGGAAAGCTGTGGTTTGTATTCGCGAGTAGTATAGTAATACACGGTATTATTTTGTATGGCCCTCGAAGCGTTTGCGTCATGTGCTCTTGCGATATTGTTGCTGTGTAGTTCCCAAAAGAATGTAGTGCAGTATACCAGGCCTGTGTATCGTGCCTGGACCAAAAGCGGACCCCATCTGCCATCGTACCCATCCAGTACGATACCAAATCACGCAGACATACTTCCAAACCACTTCCTCATCAAGCTCTTCCTCCCCTTCTTCAACTCATCAACCTCCTCTTCCACTACGACGGGCTCCTCCAGCCTACCCACCCACTTTGCAGGCCCCCGCTCTCTGACCGCTCTCTCCTGTGCTCTGAGCCAATAGTCTTGCTCCATATTACGATCATTGCAAGCATTGGTATACCACTCATGCCACTCCTGATGATCCCAACCGCACCTGCTCCCATACTTCTCTTTGACCTTCTTCGCGAAACCTTCAACCTCAGTATGTGCGCAGGCCGAGCAAAGAGTCTCTTGCGGCAGAAACGAGGTACCAGAAAACGGTGTGCGGTAGTAGATGTAATGGTTCGAGTATGGTGTGTAGTAAGCCTTGCAGTGGGAAGACGTGCAAGGACGGAGTGTGTACCGCCAATCCCATACTTCTTCCTGCACCCCAGGCTTCGCTCTTGCGTCATTGCTTTTCTGGTTTAGGGGCACGGGAGGGGCGCCCAACACTCTTTGCTTGTGCTCTCGTACTAGTGCGGCATCTTTGCTTCTGCGATCTCGGCGGAAGTTTTCTTTGAATATCTCGAACTCCGAGGCTATGTCGTTGAGGGTCTTGCGTCCGGCGCTCTGGCGTAATTTCTCGTAGGCTTGCTTGCATGCTGTGTTGGCTTCCTTCATCTCTTGGCTAGCATGGCGTGGGCAATAGCCGTGAAGACGAGTCAGGTCGTACGGGCCCTGGGGGAGGTAGTAGTTTGATCCTGTGTGGGCAGGTGTGTAGTGCAAGGTGCATGCGGGATACAAGCAAGGTATGTAATGATCGAGGGGGTTGTATTGGCCTGGCGGAGGGCTACATGGGGACAACGGTGCCGAGGCTGCTGGGGCAGATTGTGTGGACATTCGTGAATTGGCAGACAAGACGGACTGGTAGGACACTACTCGGGATCTTGCGCTCAGAGTTGGGGGTTTATAGTTGGCCGGTAGTGGTATGCCGGTCCATCTCGCATCCGATTCTTGGTTTGAAGTTGACTTGATCGTGAGGCTGCTCACACGCTTTCGCATAACTTTGAAAGATCCACTTCGAGAGATGGGAAGAGAGTCGGGACGGTGGAGACCTGGCGACTTTGGTGTTCCCCATGCCTGGAAATTATCGATCTGATCCATCAGAGTTGTGGTCGGGCTGATAAACGTGGGTATGTGATGGTATTGCGCCTTCTTCGAAGAGTTTGGTATTCTGTTGATCAGGGGTTCCGGTAGCTGTATAGTTTTCGGTCTTGCTCTCGGCCAGGTCTTTGACTTGGCCAACGGATCTGGTTCTGCGAAGCGTACCGCAGGTGGTGAAGACCTCCTGCTAGATGCCATAGTCACCGCGTCGGAAGATTTGAGACTAGGCTTCAGGCTCGATCGTTGAGGCCTTGGTGGCGTAGATGCTGATGTTGTATTAGACTGGTCACTGAAAGATGACTGAGAAGAACGCGGCGTCGAACTGCCACTGGAAGCCGCATCGGCGAAAGGCATATTAGGAGGCATTAGGTTGATTGTTGATAGAGTACCGGTAGTGACTGTTGTGGAGCGACTTGTCGAAGTGCTGGCCAGAGAAACTTGGCTGGCTATCGAGTTTTGTGTACCCTTTGATTGCTGTGTCGGTCGCATAGTGTTGGTCCCTGGATGTAGAATCTGAGACATGGCGGGCGGGGATGATGCCGGTAAACTGCCGAATCCAGTCTGGCTTCCAGGGCTCATCGATGAAACAAAAGGAGATCCAACGGACGTGCGTGGTCCAGCAGGAAAACGGTCGTCCGTCTCTGAACTGGCCAGAGAAAAAAGTGGATTAATGATGCGTGCGGGTGAGGAAGGCTCAACCAAAAAGCAAACTTGAGGACGAGTGCCGACCAAGCCAAGGACAATGCAGCTTGCGTCGAGGCATCTGCATCATCTAAAAGTACTCTGTATATCGGAAAGCAAACAAGAATGAGAGGCACAGCATATGGGGGCGGAAAGGCCATGTGTATGCGGCCTGGTTACCCACACCGAGGTACGCCGCACAACGCATCGCCCCTAAAGCACCGAGAACTCCCTAACCGTAGCAGCTTCCTGCAGAGCTAGGCCAGGGTTCGTTTATCGAAGTACCTCAGGGTGTTGGATTCGAAGACTTATGCATAAGGTCTGCAGTGTCAAGAGGCGCAGTTCAGTGCCAGTCAGCCTCGCGAACACCAAATCGCAACGTGATTGGCACCGTCACACGTGGGCCGGCCCCCGCATAGTGGAAGGTAGCTTTAGTAAAAACACAAAGTTCACGTGGGTCAATAGGAGAGTGACTAGGTGCAGAAGACACTTGGCGTTGGTCTATGCAATCTATCCGTACGACAGGTTGTCGCACATGTATGGTACATCTGGTCTGAGACTCTGCTGATCGCCCCCAAATGGTAACGAAGTATGGTACAGGGCCGTTTGGCACCGATCTGGTGATCTGTCTATAGCTTGGGTTTGGGCTGTTCTTGCTTGAGCATAGCTTCGGCAACAAGACGTCGCTGGATCTTTCCTGTTGCAGTCTTCGGCCTATAAGTGCGCAGTCAGTGCATGATCCATTTGTAGTGTTATCGTTGACGTACATGATATCGGTGAAGAAAATCTGCAGTTTGTTAGACTTTGCTCCACATATGCGGGTTTGATTGGGTATCTGCATACCTTCTTCGGCAGCTTGAATTTGGCAACGCGATCCGTCAACCATGTCTTCAGTTCTCCCGCAGTCAGGGCATGGCCCTCCTTGACCACGATCGCAAGACCAACGTCTTGGCCGTACATCTCATCTTCAATCGCGAAGCTGACAGCTTCAGATACAGCGGGATGCTGCGCAATCACGTTGTCGAGCTCAATAGGACTGATTTTTTCACCACCCTTGTTGATCAGCTCCTTGATGCGGCCGGTAATGATAACATATCCCTCAGCATCCAGCTTGCCCTGGTCTCCAGTGCGGAAAAAGCCACCCTGGGTGAAGGATGAAGCATTGGCAGCTGGGTTGTTGAGGTATCCCTTGGTAACGTTTTCACCACGAATGCAAATTTCAGCTTCTTTTCCTTGCGGCACCTCTTTGCCAGCTTCGTCGAGGATCTTGACTTCGACACCCTGACCAAGCCCCACACTGCCAGGCTTACGCTGGTTCGGGGGGAGGGGATTACTGGTCATCTGATGGGCCGCCTCAGTCATGGCGTATGCCTCCAATACCGGAGCACCGAACGCCTTCTCGAGTTCGTGGAATGTTTTGGGCGAGAGTGGACTGGAGCAGGATCGGATGAAGCGGATGTTGGGCATGGGGCTTGGGAGAGGGCTCTTGAGCAAGATCTGATGAATCGTCGGAACAGCCGTGTACCAGTTTGCCTTGTGTTCATTGAAGTCTTTCCAGAAGTCCGAGGCGGAGAACTTGGGCGGCACAATGACTGAGCCTCCTGAAGCCAGTGGCGCGAGGAAGCCAGCAAGCAGGCCGTGGACGTGGAAGAGAGGCATAACCAGCATGGTACGATCCTTGGGCGACAGCTCGTAGGTTGCTTGGATGTTCTTCATCGTCCGCAGCAAGTTACGGTGCGTCAGAGGCACAGCCTTGGGGCGTCCAGTGGTACCGCTCGTGTGCAGCACAAGAGCGACATCGTCTGGCTGCGCGGACTGGACGGACGCGGTCTTACCCGCAAGCTTTCCAGCCTCTTTGACGTCCAGGACGACCTCGCTGCCATTGTAGTAGCATTCTGCGATGGCGGCATTGTATTTCCGTGCTGCGCGGACAGCTGCCGCATCTTGCGCGAATGCACCCTTTGGTACCAATGCAATCGCTGAGCTCAGGTCGTCGATGTAGAATTCGAATTCGGACTGTTTGTAGGCCGGGTTGAGGGGCGCTGCGATGGCCCTCTGCCACGAGGCAGCGATGAAGGACACGATGAACTCGTACGTGTTGGGTAGCGCGATGGACACAGCGGCCTCGGCAGAAACGCCGACCTTTGCCAGCTGCTGTTGGAAAGCCTTGACATCGGCAGCAAGCTTCTTGTACGAGACAGTCAGGGCAGGGCTACCGGGCACGATGACGGCGGTCGAGCTTGAGTCCTTGGAGAAGGCGTGTTCGAGAGTGGTTGGGGCCATGGCGATGGATTACTAGATAGGAGATCTGATGGTCGCGATTAGAGGAACACTGCTATGCGCGGGCTTCCTGGGCGATGGTACCTTTATGCTTCTATGACGCGCAATGAAATCTACAATTGATAAGAAACACCAGAGCCTGCTCAGATGTATTCGGAGATGTGGAAATGACTTATCACGGATAAGGATTTGGATGACAGCATGGTAACAGGCGTTCCTGCATGCCCGCGCGATGCGGCTAACCCTTAGCGTGGAGGGCGCGCCGAACGCCGGCACGCGGGCTGGGGTGCTTGGCGGCAGTTGACATCGCGCCTGCCGCACCACCACCCTCACAACCAACACACTGCCGTAGTCGAATCTCACCGTCGCCGCCTCATTGTTCAATCTTGCATCCGCAAGACAGCTGCTAATCTCTGCATTCTTAGACCTGTAGCTCAGCACGCCGCCGCTCACGAGTGACGTGCGCCAGTCGCATTTGCCATTGTTCAGCGCCGCACTTGCGCGTATATCGATTTCAACATGGCCGACCAGCCGCCGCAGAAGGCGCAAGGCCTGCCGAACCCATATGGTCTTCCCAACCCCTACGCCCAGAAAGGCCTTCCGAATCCGTATGCCGCGGCCACCATCTCTGCTGCGCCTGTCAAGTACACAGAGGAACAGGCCAAGGCCGAGCAGCTGAAGAAACCTGGTATCTAACTGAACTGCTCCACACTATTGCCTTGAACTACGACTCATTTGATTGTCTAGCTTTCCATAATCCTCACCAAATCAAGCGTCCCCAGGCCAAGAAGGCTGTCCCAACTGTCAAGAGGGCCACCATGCCTGTGGCTGCCCCGCTCTCTTCGTCAGTTCCTGGACCCGCCAATCCTCAGCAGCATGGCATCGACTACTACCGAAGCACCGCAGAGGACGATGCTTCCATTCTGGAAGAGCGCAGGATGCGCGCGTATGAGGAGAAGCAGAAGAAGAAGGAGCAGAAGAAGTTCACCAAGATGTACGGACTTCATGAGCCTCTGGCCGCTCATAAGCCCGACAAGCCGTCCAACTTGCTAGCTTACAAGGCGCAAGGTGGTTACCGACGCAAGAAGGAAGGCTTCACTGCCTTCTTGCGTGGAGCTGCCGCTCAGCATAAGTCTCGCGATGGCAGTGAGGAAGCCAGTGGCACCCCGTCGGCGTCTTCGTCTAGCTCAACCCCTGCTTCAGTTGCGACCAAGCCTTCATTCGCTCCACCTGCATACTACGACGACAAGTCTGCGGCACCCTCGTCCGACCCTTCAGGAGAAGATGCTTATGCCCGCCGCATGCGTCTGTCGCAGCAGCAGTCTGATGCCGTGCCTCCGCCACCTCCGTCGGTCACAGATGACTATGTACCTCCGCCTCCTCCCCCGCCAGCTGGTTCACCACCAGCCCCGCCGGGCTATCAGGGTGCTACCATCTCTGCGCCTCCAGTCCGATACGCGGCCGCCACTATATCTGCGCCTCCAGTCCGGTATGAGCGTCCTGACGTACAGATGGAAGATGCAGACAACGAGCCCGCCCATGACGAACGCCCCGCCAAACGCGCCAAGATCAGCAAAGCCGAAGCCATGATGAATAAGATGGGTTACAAGAAGGGCCAAGGTCTCGGAAAGAACAACGATGGTGTCGTTACCCATCTGGAAGTCAAGAAGCGCAGGGCCCCTCAGGGCGCAGGCAATCTCGACGCCAACGGCAGAGTCCAGTCTCAACAGGTCTGGGATGTCAGTGGCGGTATGCGTATTCAGAAAGACGAGCCTAGCAAATTCGGCGACAAGTCAAGTGTCGTGGTCACATGGGGTTGCGTCGACGGTGTTGACTGGGACGCCAACGCCGAGCGCAACGACGGTGGCATCCGACAAGACATGGGCGAGGCATTCGGCAAAAAGGTAAGGCTTAAGATGTGGTCGTCAACATGCATATGCTAACAGAGTCCAGTTCGGTGGCGATGTCGAGCGTATCCAACTGGACGAGAGCAACAAGGATGGCGTAGTCTACATCCAGTTCAACTCCCCGATGGCCGCCCTCAACGCCGTGAACCGCTTCGACGAAGGATGGGAGTTCAGAGGCAGGAAGATCCGCGCCCAGTACTACGACGAGCGCAAGTTCCACTCTGGCATCTACGACTACTAGAAGCCACCGCTCTGATCAGTGTCGGCCTGTCGAATTCGCGCGTCCTAGTAGTTAGCCTTCGAAGAATCGTTGGAGTATTCCACTTTATGCTTGGTGTGATGGACAAGAATTACGGCAGGGAGGATATGAGAGGTTGGAGCATGTGGGATCGCTGGTATGGATCTGGATACGCTTGAGGGGCAGATGTGTATGACTATATGGATCGGGGATGGGTCTCATGCTCGTCTCTTCAAGAGATTAGAGCTTTGCGCATCCTCTTGGTCGCTCTACAAGGAGCATAATCCTGAGATATGCCCAGCCTCTGCTTATGGTATATCACCATGGAATATGAAGCCCGTAACTCACAACACAAGCTTTGCAAACATGTGGTGTTTAGATTCCCATACTCGGAACTTGAAAAGCATATATGATGATAAAACCTCGCAAGGCAGCAAACGGGATATCGTTATCGTATCGTCTAAAAAGAGCTACGCCGCAGTCTCTGCACTCCTACTCGTACAGAAGTATAACATGTTCCCCCATCTAATATCAGACTCCAAGATTCGCCCGCAACTAACCCATGTCTCTAATGCGAGGTACGCCCGACTCCAAGGTATATATGCTCTTCGTCCACTTCTCAATCACTCTTCACTCGCGCCGTCTCTCCAGCGCTAGCTAAGCATTCCCAGGCTTCTCATCCGTATCGATATGCCAGACAACGTAGTTGGGCAATCCATATACGCCGTAGCCTGCTCGCTTGGCCATCTTGGCAAAGCCTTCTGTCTCGGCTTGGTTTTCGAAGGGGTAGCAAGGGAAGTTTACGCCGGAGCGGTGGACGTCTGCTTTAACGATGATGTTTACGCCGCCGATGCCGTCGAGGGGTATTTCTTCGTCTTTGTCGGCGCGCCAGTCGCCCATTGTGGCCATGTACTTGCGGTTCGTGGGGTATTGCTTGTAACCTGTGGGTGTGAGCTGATGTCGAGGGAGGAAATGTGGAGGGCAGGGAAAGTACCTTCTGCGAGGACAATGTCTTTGTCGAGGGTAGAGGCAAGTTTGAGGCCTTCGGGAGATTCTTGCCAGGAGTTGTAATCGACTGAGTCTTGTTAGTGGTAATCGGAACTGAGTGGGGTGAAGACTTACAGCGCCCTTCGATGTCGACCATCTTGCCATTCTCCTCCTTGTACCTGTGGAACCAGATGTCTGTCTGCTGTTAGTGTGAATTTTTAGGGACTACATCTGCAAGACGTACTAGGAACGAGAACATCCCGATCATGCGCCACGAAATCCTCGATGATCTTGGAGGGGCTGTCGACGATATCTACGTCCCTCCAGTATACCCAGCTGTGCTCCGGCTTCAATGCAGTGTAGAGTAGGTAGTTCCTGGCCTTGCCCAGCGCCTTTCTCCGTGGACCTTGTGCCTCAAAACTGTGTCTGTCCTCTACACTCTGCGAGAGTGTGACACCGAAATCTTTCTCAACAATCATGGTCGACCTGAAAGCTACTTCAGGGTTATTTTGAACTCTCTCCAATTCCTTTGCCAATGCTGCCATGGTATCGTCTGTTGTGTCGCCGACCAGAAACGCCAGATCGATCAGCTCGTGGGGATACGTGAGTGACGTGAGAAGGTCGAAGTGTTTCGCGAGATAGTACGAGGCATCGCGGAGCGGAGTGAGGATCAGAACACGCTCCTTGTTCTTGGCTGCGTCAATGGTCGAAGCGACGCCGTTGAGATCGACGTGCTGGATTTCGGTGGCGTTGACCTCTATTGGTTTGTGGTGGTTGAATATCACGGGGGTGTTTAAGTGCGCGTGCCAGTCTTCGTTCTCGTTCGCGGTCATGTGCATTGGAGGTTTCGAGGGGCCGAAGCAGTAGAACCTGGGACAGTATGATTAGCGATTGCTCCATGTAACACATTGGGAGACCTGACATACCTCTGCATCTCCCCAGCTGCTGACCCCATGGACCGCCATAGCAGCACAATTGCTGTAACCAGACCAATGGAGATGAGGAAGCGTGGGTTCCGTACTGTGCTTATGACCTGTCTTGATGGTGGCAGCCGGGCTTTGGCAGCCTTCCACGAGTATCCTTTTCCCGCAAGCATGTTGAGTCGGTAGGATCCCGCGTGTTCCTTCTCCACCTCTTCCCCTCTGGCCTGTGATATGCGTATCGATGAGCTACGCGCTCGGACGCTATCGGTATTGCTGGTTTCCCTCTGTGAATGAAGCGGCGGCGATTGCGACTGTGGCCTCTCCAGTTTGGCGGTTGAGAGCGCCCGGGCGCGCGACGTTTGGGGTGTGGACTAAATGTTGCTGGTGACGTCGCAGCGAGGTCGGGGGGAAGCAGCGGCGGAAGCGACAGACGGTAATGACTAGTGAAAGCAGGGTCCTGACTTGCTGCACAGTGGGACACACGAGGGAAGCTGCGAAAGGGGTGAACGACAGGCGCAATTGCGTTGCAGAAGCAATTCGTTCAGTACAGATTACCGTTGAGCGCGACGAGCATGCGAATGACGCTAAGTGCAGATCAATCGCGATAGTGCCGCTGATGACGACGCCTCGGAAATATGATAGACGGTAATTCTCTCATAATTCACCGGAGACCACAACGAAATGCCAATGTTACATGTTTGGCCTAGAACGTTGCTCAATATACTTGTTCCGTAGCGATTGGGCCCTGCGTGCGTACCTTCCATTTTCCTGGGTAACCGCACGTGAAAGCATGTGCTGGGAACACCAAACCGGCGGCGCCCCCGGCTCCTAACAAAGAAGCTGCGTGGTACAGAATGTCGTGCATGGGACATGTCTGCGATATGTACGAGAGAAGCTCACTCGTTTACCCACATCATCTGTTATACGAACTTAGTGACTGCGGCCCGCACTTTAGAGCCCGCTCTCCGTCTTACCACCCATAACTGAAGGGATGCCTGAACTAGGTATTCGAGACATGAAAGCCTCGTCTTAGGTATTCAAGAGCCGAAAGAGAGTTCAGGTATAAACGACAATGCGGTATGGAATATTCTACTTGGAATGCATGGACGTGGTTGCAGGTGCGCTGCCAACTAGCGGCGCAAGACAGTCTCAGAACGTATGGAATCAAGTTATGCGGGAGGATGGATTGAGCTGAGCTCCTGTACCACATTCGACAGAAGCCCCTAGCTGTTCTTCGAGCGCTTGCCCTTGCACTTGTCAGTTAATTTTGGCAACACTATGACATGATCGATGTCCGTCGCGTCAATAAGGTCAAAGCTCATGCGCCAATACCCACCACTGTTGGCGTTTCATCCTCCTTTTGAGAAACACTGTGAAGGCTTGATGAGACGACATGGACAGACATGACACATTTGAAAGCTCCGTTCGGCGAAAAGCAAAGTTCAAGTCATAGGCGGTGAAGCTCGCAAAGGCCTCAATGCGTGACGTAGGATTTCCAGACAAGCACATGCTAATTTCAACACATCACAAGAAAACGCAGAGCAGATTTAAGAAAGACTGTATGCCACTATCCCAAATAAAGCAACTCCTCCTGCAATTCTGCACACCGTGTCGCGGGGCAGACATATATGTACTGCGAATTAACAGGCTGCTCGACCCTCGTAGCCAAATGATACATTCAATTGTTACATGCTGAACCATGAAACCGTCCCCGATGCCCCTTCAGTCCTCAAATGCTGAACTCCTGCGTCAGCGCCTGTTCGCTTGATGCTATACGCTATCAAAGAAAGTCAGGTGGGGGTAGTCTATGCAATTATGATGGAACGCCAGCGTCATAAGCTTTTTAGAGAAGGAGAACAGCGGCCATGGCGGCGAGGCCAAGGGCACCGTTGACAGCGCTGAGAGTGGTGGCAGCGCCGGTCTTGTCGTCACCGTCACCCTGCTTGGTACCCTTGTGGCCCTCACCAGCGGGGTCGATGAGCTTGCCCTCGCACCTGTAGCCACCCTCGATGAGCTTCTTGTCCTTGAGGGGCTTGTAGGTCTTGCAGGTCTCGGTGACGTTGTCAGTGGACTGGAGGTTGAAGGCACCGGAGACGCTGTTGAGCTTGGGGGTGGTAACGCTGGCAGGTGTTAGCAAGGCATGTTGTACAGCGAATATGGAGCAAACTTACTCAGTGAAGTTACCGCTCATGTCGAAAGCTCCGCCAATGCTCTTAAGGACAGGGTAGCCATCGATCTCGATAAGCTTGGAGTTGTTGGCGATCTGAAGGTTGCCGGAGATCTTGGTGAGCGCTGGGAAAGAGACGTTGGACAGGTTCTCGTTGGCGACAAGGGCAACAGCCTCGCCGACGGAAGTAAGGTTGGGAGCGGAGAAGGACTCGAAACCGTTGTTGTAGAGACCGAGGGAGCCGTTCAGGCGCTCGAGGGAGGGAACTGAGACGGAACCGCAGAAACGGAAGGTCAGGTTGCTAGCCCAGATAAGGTTGGGCAGCTCGACCTTGACGGCCTCGTTGTTGTCGGCGAGAGTCAGCGACGTGGAGACGTTGCCGAGCTGCATGGAGATCTCATCTATGTAACCGTTGTTTGCGATGAAGACAGTGTCGACCTCCTCAATGTTGATACCCTTGAGGGAGCGGAGAGCGGTGTTCTGGATGTCGACCTTGTTGGCCTTGGTGACCTCGCCAGTGAAGCCAATCTCCTGAAGAGCGGGCAGGGCGTTCCACTTGATGGAGTCGATGGCCTTGAGCTTGGGGAAGTTGACGGCGTTGAGACGGGTCAAGTCGTTGAGCATCATCTCTCCGTCGAGCTCCTCGAGGTCGCTGGCACTGATCTGCTTAAGCTCGGTCGCGGTGTCGGCAATCAAGTCACCCTTGATCTTCTTGACGCCGGGGAAGGAGATGTCGTCGGTGGTACCAGTCGCAATGGCGATGTTACCGGAGAAGGTTGAGCAGGAAGCGATGGCGCTGGCGTCACCGGCATTCTGGATGGTGGTAGTGGCGGAGACACTGCAGGCAGCTGGGGTGTTGTCAGTCAATGTTGACGTGGTCTGGTGTTAGAGAGCCTACCGTACGCGCCGCTGGCAGCAGCCAGGGCCGGGAGGGCGATCTTCATCATGGAAGGCATTTTGTGTAGTGCAAGTGGTGTGGTAACTGGGAGGAAAAGTCAGCGGGCGCGTCCATGAGGTGAGGCGACTGAGAAATGTGGACTGGCAACACGGACCTGGGATATTAAGACTGCTCGTTCCGGTTTCAGTTGTGCGGGTGCTGCGGGCTAGTTGTCGAGCGTGGAAAGATGCTGGAGCGAGGGGAAGAATTAACAAGTAAAGCAGGCAGTATTAAATAGAGTAGTCCCAGAGACGCGATCAAGAAGGCGCGGTCGTCGGTAGCGAGTGTGGGTGAAGACTGAGAGAGAAAGGGCAGGAGGGCATTCTAATGGGAGCAGGCGCGAGAAAAGGGGAGCGCGGTGGTGCCAGTCCGGGCAGCCGCTAATAACGCTAGTGAGGCCGGGTGGAGATCATAGGCGGCCAGAGCGTGCCCACCATCATCGATCAAGCAAGCAAGCCAGAGTGAATGTTGCAAGCGGGCCTGGGGCCACGCACTGGTTGCTGGTGCAGATGGTTTCGCCGCCTGCGCGCGACGACACCGCCAGCAGTGCCGTGGATGCTGCACGCTCGTGGCTACCCGCATCGTGTTGCCATGACTGCACCACGGCCGCCGTACCGAGCGCGCGGACGGAGTGGTTTGACAGGCGAGGGCTACCACAGCTCTGCATCCATTATCCATGATGCCTCCTCGCCGCCCGTCGCCCGTCGCCTGCCACCGCACGCTGCTTGTCGCTCTTAGCTTCACGTGCCGAGCACGCTGCTCCCAATTTCAAGCTCTGAACCCTCTGCCCTGATAAGCACCTTGCAGCATCCGCAAACAGCAGCCTCTCATGCGTGAGCCTCAACAACAGGGGTGGCGTCTGGATCGCCGCTCTGTCGCCCTAGGAGACGGCCATCCGCTACTGTGCCCGCACCATTCCGCTGCTCCCCAACGTCTCCATCCGTCGTCGACGGACCTGTTAGTTTTGCTGGTAACCGCTCACTACGCGGCAATGCGGCACCTTCGCTCCATGCCCGCCCATCCAGAGTCTTCTTTTGCCACTGTCTGGCCGACACGAAACACAACAAGCACCGTGGATTATTACGCGGCCTTTTACTATATCCGCCACCCCTGTCCAATGGTTTCAATGCGGTTACACCCATGATGGGCCAAATCCGAGTTGGGTATAGCGCAGCCGTTGCAATCTCATGAGATGCGAACCCCAACAGCGGTTATAATTACACCACGACCTTGCGCGCTGGAGCTCCATTGCTGCTTTCGGCCATGTGCACTCGCCTCTCCTTTATATCCATTTCGCTCCAACATCTGCATTGCGCCTCATTTCGTTATTGAGCTCTCCAGACGGCTGTTGCGATGAACCATCTCGCTTATCGTCCACCCCAAGCGACAGCCTCACCTTCGATCCTTCCTGCCAAGCTTATTGCTTGACGCGCATTGATTGACCTCTCATTTCCAGCCTGGGGCTCCAGAGGTCCACATGCGCCGCACGCACAACGTCGTGTTTCCTGCCATGACGTCGGCAGTTACAATTGTTTCAGTCTCGTATTTTTTCTAGAATGGCCCACCACCTCCCACAACGAAGAAACTTAACAGTCGCGTTGCCGTGCAGACGAACACATGAGTAACCGTGGATGGATTTATAAGGTAGTTTAGAATTGTGAAACGATGTATCATCCTTTGAGAGCTAGGTATTCGAGTCTTCCATCGATGGGCTGAAGTCTATATATTAGTCCACTTTGCCGCCCTCACGATGCCCGCGGTCGATGTCGTTTCGTTGAGCTTACTTTTTACATACAAGGAGCGAGCGCTGCAACCTCCTCATTCGCGCCGCTTTTCGCTTCCGACCTCATCTTGCGGCTGTACTGAAATAAGCCTTTCTGGCCGATTAGTGGGTCCGTCTCTGATCCCTCCACAATTCGCGACTTCGAACATCATGGGCATTTGCGACATTGTAGATCAGTAACATTTCGCTTACGAAGGGAATACGAAGTCGAGTAGAAGGACGTGTTTGACCTGGTTCCTTTGTTTACGCATTTATGGGGTCTTATTGACAGTTCTCGCATACAAACTTCGCGCCACTCTTCTAGTGAACCAAATATCTCGCTGGGTCATCAGCAGAGGCTGCTCATGATTCGGTCCTATCACATCACTTCAATTTACTACAACATATTTCTCGACCTGCCTACATGCGAATCTCTCGCGGGGCATCATTGCCCACATGGAAGGGCACGGCGTACCATACACTTGGCACTTTCTGTCTCGATACTGCGGTTCTTCAGCATTTCATCCCGTATATACACAGCAACAACAGTTTGTAAACATTCATGGCGAGAGCAAGCCACAAGCTTTTGTATACCAATACAGTACCCAATGTCGAGCGTTGATATACAATACACCTGGCCCATCCACGATGGATGTACGTCGTAGTCTACCGTCCCCGACCCACATTGCATCTCCACCAAACAGATCATCGACTCCACCACAACACATAGGCCTCATGCTGTACATGCGTATCTCACTGCAAGGACCAATGCTCGTCCATGGGAAGGTTGACCTCCGACTATCAAGTCTTTTGCAAAACATTAACGTCCACATCGGCAACTCGCCACATATACCACATAAAGAGTGACCTAGTAGCGGAGGACATGATTAGTTTACTCGTCGTTGGAAGGTCATGTTCAAGGTCAACGTACCTGTAAGGCGAGAACTTGGAGGCCATGTCGAGCATTTCCTGCTCCGTCATGTATCTGCATGGCATACGTCAGTACATGTTACATTGATGCGAGAAGACATCATGAATAATACATACTTCCACTTCCCACCTTTACTCTTCAGTTTATTCACATCGCGGCCCGCGTACACGGCCATACCCCGTCTGCAAATACATCAGTCATGTTCTCGCCAAAGAAGTACACGCTCGTCTCTCAAGCGTTCAGACTCAACTTACTGTACACCCAAATCTCCAGTCGCGAAAACATCCATCCTCTTCAACCCAAAGCAAGCAAACATCTCCACGCTCCATCGTCCCAAGCCCCTCACCGCTACGAGCTTCTCGATAAGTTCTTCGTCGCTGGCACTGACCAGCATCTCGGCTGAGAGTTCGCCAGAAGCGAATTTCTCGGCTAGGCCGTAGATGTACTCGGCCTTGCGCTGTGAGAGACCTGCTGTACGCAGCGTTGCGATGTCTTTGGTGAGGACCTGGGTGGGCGTTGGAAAGGACGGGTGGGTGTCTGGGAAGAGGGCGGTGAACTTTGCGCGTATGGATGAGGCGGCTTGGCCTGATACCTGTGAGGGATGGTTAGTTCTGCATGCTCATTCTAAAGCCTTCTTTGTATATGACTTGCGACGATGGGCTCCAAACATCATCTACCAGCTTACTCAGGTCACTGTCCACATACCTGCTGTCCAATAATCCCCTTCCCCAGCGCCTCAAACGGCCTCACCACCTCCCTCAGCCCCTCGGGACTAAAAATCCCACATTGATGCCCTCGCACCACCTTCTCAAGTTTCGGATCCGTCTTGATGAGAAAGTCCTCTGCTTCTTTCAACAGATTATCGATATCGGTGCTCGCGGCTGGAATGGCACCAACATCTGGTGGAACAAGTTCCTTTGCTTTCCTTTTCTTGGCTGGAGAAGGGTCGGTGGGTTTCGCGGGGGAGGATGCGTAGGCTTGCACCACGTGCGATCCATTGGGCGTGGCTAGGTGGGCGTTTGTTGTGTGGGGCTCTGCTGGACGGGTGGTCGGATCTGAAGGCGAAAATGCGGGGGCTGAAGAGAAGATACTGGCACCCGCAGGTGTGGGTGTGAAAGGGGGTTGTTTGAGTGGTGATTCTGATGACGCTGCTGATTTTGATGCTGTTTTACGCTTCTTGGGAAGTGGTGTCGCAGGGAGGGATGAAGATAGATCTGCTGAGTCTACAGATTTGTCTCCGTTGGTTTTACCATCCACAGTGATCTTATTCTTCGTCTTGCCTGGTGCAGATGTTGCTGTGGTTTTGCGCTTCTTCGTGGGTACACTCGCCTTGCTAACTTTCTCATACTTTGCAATACCGTTCTGAACTTTGGAATCCAATGGAACTTGAGTACTACTACTGGCGACGCGAGCGGAGCGTCTCAAAGACATGGTGTGAGGGTTGTACAGGTGGTCGAACGTTCTGGTGAATGGGATAGTCTGACGTCATAGCGTTAGGATTCGAGACGGCTGCGAGACTGCGACAACGTACTTTTTGCTTCAAGACTCTTATTGCAATCATGAAAACGGGTCAATGAGAGAGTGTGTTGTTAGTTGCGCAAGTGGGGAGCTTGACGCGATGCGCGGGAAGCTACCTACGTATTCTTGAGCTGACGCCTGGGCACATGACAGCGTGGCGCTGACATATCTAGAACCCTGACATTGCGCATTCCTCGGATGCGACATGATCGGCATATCACTCGCTCCATATTGAAGCATGGCGAGGTGCAAAAAGGCTTACTCGCGCAATGCACAGCATTCTGAGGATTCGCATACGATCTTGTGTTCAAACATTTGTTTGTAATAACCAAGAACGTAATAAAAGCTTGGGGTCCCTGCAGTTGCTATCCCATTTCAAGAGCAAATGCTATAACGTACTGCAAGTTCGGCATTTGCATGCAGAAATGGTACTAATTTCTTGAATCTGAGATAGTTGTTCAAGTGAATTTCTCCTGCGTCTTACAACCGGTCATGTTCTATCTGTTATGACGGCAATTCCATGTCTTCGGTCTTAGTCGTGCAGTAGCTCATCACTTCATGCCTGACTGTTCCTATGAAGTGCATAGAAAGTGCATGTCATTCATCAATTTCCGGTTGTATCTGTGCGTTGCTTTCCGAAGCCAAAACCAGGCGTCATGCAATGGCCGCCTCCCCGATAAATCATTTCCCATGGATCGCGAGACAAATACCCGCAGCTGAACATGCGCGCATACGTGAAAGCTCTTCGGAGAACGGGTATAAGAGATACGTATTTCCAGACGCAACAGAGGGGAGTCCTGTACGAAATGTGTTGGTATGGTACAATCTATTGCGCAACCTCAGACTCGATCCACCAAGCTCCAATTGATTCCCCCAGACTCGGTATATACATTCTAGTGTCCGGTGGCCTGGGCGGCGTTCTTCTGCCTCTTCTGGATGACCATGGCCTCGAGGTCCTCGCGCTCGGCCATCTCGGACTCGATCTCTGTGATGAGCTCGGCGAGGTATGGTGTGTCCTTTTGCATTGTCAGCATCTGGTATTCGGGGTTGAAGCGATATCCCTACATCCTCGGGCTTAGTCCACTCCTCCTTGGGCAGAAGCTGGTGGGACATGGAGAGCTGCCGCAGATTAGCCACATTTGCCTTGTTCTGTATATCTTGTTCGGTAGTACCTGGAAAGCTCGGCGCAGACGGAAGACACGGTCGTAGGCTTCCTGTGGTCGGAGACGCTTCAGGGCGGTCTGAACTACGTCGTTCTCCTCGGGGAGCAAGTCATCGGCCCTGCATCACAAATCCCGTCAGCCCATCATTTCACAATCGGCCATATTCTCCCCTGCCTCCTTCTGTATTCGTGTATACACCGCGTCCGAATCGGGGCTCCGTACCTCAGACCGAGCTGCCTGTAGCCGGCGGCGTTGCAGTACCAGTTGGCGAGCGGCTTCATCCAGCGCTGCAGCCACGGGCGCTTCATGATGTAGGGGGCGAGAGACGGGGCAGACATGATTGCGGGTGTTCGACGGCGGATCGGAGGGGTCGAGACGGGTGCTGTCGTCAATTGCAGTTTTGACGGTCGGAGGTGGTGAGGTCGTAATGCGAAAGAAGCGAACGCCAATAGGCCGGCGGGCAGCGCTTGGCCCGCCGCAGGCCTTGGTCTTAATCAGCGCCTGTCCCCACCCGCCAGAGCAACTTCACTCGTGCTCCATCCTAGCTCTGACGTCTGCCCACAACCGCCCTCTCACACCCGGCTTCCGAGCGCATATCCTGGCACGAGGCCCGCACGCGACTGAACGCTTTCACCACGACTCCCTCACTGCCCGTCCGTCTGTCAATGGAGCCGAACAATCGCTAGTCATCGTGTTACTCAAGTGCTGCGGGGTTTCCGCAACACTGAGGCACCGCACAGGGGACGACGGCCTGTATGCGCCCACCCCTCTCGCCCCGCGCTCTGATTCAAGCTCTCTAACAAGTCGGCCATGGCAGTACCCCTCATGTCGACACACGAACCCGCGCCGCCGTCCCCGCCTAACGTTCCCGACCGGTATGCGCCTTCCGCCGTGACAGTCGAACCGCGAAACATGTCCACCCCAAACCAGCAGCGCACCTGGAGCTCTCCCGTTGCCGCCCTCGCCGTCAGGGTCTCCAAGCTCCCCGACAGCTCCGTCAATGCTCTGTGCGGAGCGTTTGCCGGAGTTGCTTCGGGCATAGTGACGTGCCCGCTCGATGTTATCAAGACCCGCCTGCAGGCGCAAGGCTCTTTCCGCCCCAGGACATACACCGGGCCAACGCGCACAGTGTACAAAGGCCTCACTGGCACTGCGCGAGTCATATGGATCGAGGATGGTATCCGCGGCCTGTACCGAGGACTCGGGCCTATGCTGCTTGGGTACATTCCAACCTGGGCCGTCTACATGAGCACTTATGAATCGACGAAAAATGTTCTCTATCCTCAGATGGGTTAGTAATACACATGGGTACGCAAGTTACTGTTGCTGACGAGACTGAACCAATAGAGAACAAATGGCTCGCTAGGACCATCGCCTCGTTGTTTGCTGGCGGCTGCTCGACGCTAGTCACCAATCCCATATGGGTCGTCAAGACAAGACTCATGTCCCAGGTCAGCGCCCGCGCATCGCCAGAACACCGGCCGCCATGGCACTACACAAGCACCTTTGACGCCTTTCGCAAAATGTACCTCAAGGAAGGCATTGCCTCGTTCTACTCAGGACTTACACCTGCGCTCCTCGGCCTTACCCACGTCGCCATTCAGTTCCCGCTATACGAGTTTCTCAAGATGAAGTTTACTGGCCTGGAAATGGGCCAAACAGACAGCAAGACTGAAGACGTGCACTGGTTTGCTATTGCGCTGGCAACAGTCTTGAGCAAGATGACAGCGACTTCGGCGACGTATCCACACGAAGTCTTGCGCACGCGCCTGCAAACACAGCAACGCTCGCTGCCCTCGCACTCCGATAATCATGTATCGTTTCGAGGAGGCCAGCACGACCGATTCCATACCCGCCCTCCTGGCACGGCTTCGTCGGATGGTATGATAAACCTACCCCGCTATCGTGGTATCTTGCGAACATGCACAGTCATCCTCCAAGAAGAGGGATGGAGAGCTTTCTACAACGGAATGGGGACTAACATGGTCCGTGCTGTACCTGCTGCAGTCACGACCATGTTGACATTCGAGTCGTTGAAGGCCGTTCACCAGAAGCTAAAGAACGAGGGTAGGAAGATAGAGAACGAGGTCGAGTGACGGTAGATATCTGCCTTTCGTCTCTCAATTCACAGGAACCGATCGGCATCATCACCGGGCGTTTAGTCATGGTCAGGAGTGGAAATATCCCAGTGAGCACTCCTGTTCTGTTTGTTCATACGTTTGTACGCACAGGGCAGCATTTTCGGGCACTGTCAGCATCAAAGCTTTGGCGTTTGTAGGGCAATATGGTTGATTTCCTATAGGCTGTCGCAAGTGCGAGCAGACTTAGCACTTGTTTGAGAGGCACCATTTACATGATTATCTAAATATACTACTAGGAGAGCATTGCTTCTAACAGGTGCATTGTTGCCAGGCCTCCTGAACAAAGCATGCCAACAGGGCGGTCAGCGTCGCAAACGCAGCGCCGCATACGCTGAATTCATGAGCACCGCCAATAACGGTGAGTTGACGTGTCTACATTCTTCGAGTGAGCGAAGCCCCATTCGCTGAGGTTGGAATTGACAAACGCCCACGCCACTCACCCTGGTTCCGCGATCATGCAGGCGCACCCTTCCTGAAGTGCACATGCTTCACGCGTCAGACTTCACACCCTTTGCTAGGCTATATACCTTGTATGTTGATCGTGTCCATTGTCTTGGCTTTTTTGCCGGCACACCATCATGATTCCGTGTACCGCTCCCGCAGAGCCGCATATCTCTCTGTTCTACAATATAAGCCCACCGCCCATACCTGTCCGCAGCCGGCTACGACACGGCTCAGCATATCAAAAACGGCTGCGCGCTATCTTTTCCAAGCCTACGAATGCAACTAGTGTTCCTTCGTCTCCTACCTCACAAACCCTTTTCGACGAACTTGATCGGGAGTTGACGGAAACAGAACAGAGACTGGTCAGCGTCGATTTGGAGGGAAAGGATATGAGTGACAAGAGAGAGTGTCTGCTCTGGGATAATTGGGAAGGGAGCGATACATCGACTGAAAGAGGGCTCAAGAGTGACAGTGGTGGTGCTCCGGGAGACGGCTGCTTCAGTGAACTCGAATCTGGAGCGAGCGATGGAGAAAACTATCCCGAACCATTGCGACTAAGTGAGAGAAGCGGGGATGTTGTGGAGCAGATGGTGGTGCAAGGGCGCGTGCCGGGACAACGAGGAAGTCGCGACGGCCCACCTTCTGCCATCCACACTGATCACACAACGCGCTCTGAGCACATCTCACCGTCCTCTGATTACAGTATTCAGACAATGGACACGAAAGTGTCCGACTGGCTGGCACAAGGTGTCCATACCTCTGAGTCTCGGGAACCAGATCCTCCACGACAGATCTCCAGCAACTCCGATCGCCCCTTCCCTCCCAGACATGCTGCCTTCTCACTTTTTCCACCAACGTCCCCGTCGACCGGTAACAAAGAGTATACACCACCCAGCAGCCCTTTTGCTCGACCTGCTTGCCCGATGTCCCCGTTGAACAACGGAAGAGATGTTTATGGCAACTACATACCTTCAAACACGAAGGACTATTTCGCCCCGCAGTCGCCTCCAATGTCGCCCAATATGCAGGCCATCCCGGAAAGCCGGGTCTCTTTGGATCAGGGTCAATCACCACCCATGGTGCGTCTCCGTGGTGGTGGCTGGAATCTGAAGGGACTGTGGAAGACATCCGATACTGGAGGCTCTGATCAAAGCCCTGGTTCAACTTCTATGCCACATCTGACTGGCAAGGATGCCATTGTGCGGGACTCACCTACAATCAGACACGCTGGGCACCCGGAGAATCAGGTGGCGCGAAGTGTGCGATCGCACTTCTCGACCACTCGCGATGGTAACGAGACAAGGACAGCACAAGGAATTTCAGCAAGATCATCCCCTATCGATACTAGACGACATGGTCAATTCCCCGTTGGAGGGGGCGACGTTAGGCCAGGCTCGAATACGCCAGACTCTGCAGGCACGGACGATAGCTCTGTTCCCCGAGCTCGTGCTGATGCAGTCTTGTACCAGTACTTTGGGGCTCAACTATCTCCGCTCGTACCGGCATCCCAGGGGATGACATCATTCACCGTACCAGCGCATCAGACAACTCATAGCGGAGCTGATGTACCAGTGATGAATGGGCACCGCTCGCCTCGTATCGACGGGGCTCTCGCTCAATTCAATTCTCGAAGTGCGCTTTCCCCTCGGAATGACGATGCGCGCGGCTCTACAAGCCCCTCAAAACCGGAAACAAAGACTGAATACGAGCGATGGGATGCTGTAGGATCACAGGAGACTCCGGATATTGATGGCACAACTCCAAGTCATCTGGTCAGTCCGAGGGACAAGAAGAGATGGGATAGGAATAACCCCCCTCCGCCACCAAGACTCCCTCCGCCGAATCCACCCAGATTTCTGCGAGCTGATCCTCCCGATGATAATGATGATGCATCCGAATACACCGACGACAGCCATCCAATTTCCTCCGTGGTAACCGCCAATATGGGGCATGATCAGCTAATCGACCTTCTGGATCTGAACAAGACCGATGTGTATAGAAGGGTTGAGCGTGAGCGCGAGGTTCGACGTATACAAGCACAGCGAGATTGGCACGAGGAAGCAGATCGTAGACGCGATGTAGACGTCAGGCGGCAGCAGCAGGAGGGACTGGGATCGCGAGAGCCTGATCTGGACACTATCTCACCGGACGACAGCGTCACTGCAGTAATGCGGCGCCAGCAAATCGAGAGACGGCATGATTTGCAGCGCCCGGCAGCTGTAGGAGATTATCGCCCTACCAGCTCGCCGACACCTTCACAATATCTGCCTCGCCACGGTCCTATTACAGCTAAAGCTAAGGTCATGCCCCGGCAGCAAAGCGATCGCATTCACACGATTGGCTACCCGTCTGTTGTGCCAGCCCCGGCAGCCTTTGAGCCAGCTTCCATCAAGCGCAAGCACTCTTTACAAACAGTCCTCTCCAAGGCAGGAAAACTCACACGTTTAATCCTCGCTGCTCCTTCGGATCCCAAGTACAAGACGCATTCACAGCGACAGCCTCCAGTAAAGCAATCAGGAATGAGCGCCGATGCCACTGGGTGGCCAAGAAGTGGAAAAGCCTCTTCAGCAAACCATGGGATGTTCATGTCAACTCCGGCACCACAGCAAAGGACTATATTCAGCCGCGATCGGCCGCAGACTAGTGGGGATGATGGGAAGAAGTCGGACAGCAGGGGTTGGGAGCATCCAAGAGGCAGGAGAGCGAAGAAAGTCGAGAAAGTGGAGACTAAGAAAAGGAGAGGGAGGTGGGGAAGAAAAACAGATGATGAGACGTCCGCTGGAGATCCTCAAGTCATCGACTTTGCGTCCAAAGACACTGCTCGGTCGAAAGGTGCTACAAGGCTTCAACACGCACGTCGCGCACGTTCGCCATCACCAAAAGCTCTAACGCGAGCCGCTGAGCCTCATAGTGTTCCTGTCTCCAAATCTTCCACGTACCACCACCCAGAACCCGATTTCACGCCTAGCGACGCAGCAGGTACACCGCAAACAAGATTTGGCCCACCAGATCGCGAGGGAAAGTTATACGTTCGCCGCCGCGATGGGGAGGTCCTACCATTCAATCCCGCACTGGGATATCCGTACCACTCACGTCTCAACACCTACTATGACCACAAGACGGTAGATGCCACAACGATGGCCTGGCTACAAGGCATCCGCGCACAGACCGATGCGATTCCTCATCCCATGATCAACATGCGAGGCGGCGACGGTAGCATCTCTTCCGAACTTCGTTCTACGCATGGCGAAGCGAGCAGTCTGGCATCGCACCACCACCTCCTAGCGTCAGCGGCAATGAGTCTGGATAGTGGCGACGAAACAATCGATGGTACCGATATAGACGCCCTACTTATGTCATCCATGCATCTCAGTTTGGGTCAAGCTACACACGAAGCTATTGCTGCCGTCAACGGTACCCATGAAAATGGAGTGGACAACGGGCCTGAATGTGATGAACCACACGTCCGGTCGAGTTTCAGCACTGATTCTACGGTGGAGCTCAGGCGGGAGAAGAAGGTCAAGGAGAATGCTTGGCGGAACGAAGATCAAGCTAGGGCTATGGCTATGGCTATGCATGGTTTTGGGTAAGGGTACCCGGGCGTGGAAATTTGTCAAAAGGAACGAAAGGGGTTATTATGGGTCATTATACCTGACAAACTCCGCGTGTGGGGGGAAGATGGCACTTCGTGGCTTTCTGTGGCTACAAACTGGCATGGGAGCTCAGTCACGATTCCACATGCATATCTGCGACAAAATCTCTTAAAAATCTACATAACATTTCAAGAACGCCTCATTGTTGCCAAAAACAGTGCCCTTGTTATACAGAGTTGAGATGATATCCAAAAGAACGCCATTCAATGCCAACCATGCTCATCAAATCATCAATAATCGCAGTGATTATAGTCATAAAGCGAGCCCATACCCGCAGCCGTAAGCGCAAAGTCAACCGTCTCACTCCTATCCCAAAAGTACTCGCGCATCCACGTCGAAACCATATCGAGAGCCGAAACGGCCGAGTTGCTCGACCACACTTTTTCGTGGCGGGCCCAGGAAGAATGCTGCCATAGCGTCTCAGGATACTGTTGCTGCAGCATAGGGAGTAGCGATCTGGGTGCTGCGGCTCGTGTGCCGTGTAAGATGCCAGCTTGAACGAGGGGATAGATCCCTGAGGCTATGCTCATGATGGCGATGAGATTGGGGTTTAGGCATTGCGAGGTGAGGAAGGAGGTAGCTTCTACTGGCATTGCGGTCGATGAGAAGGATCCAGGGATGACGAGGATGTCGAATTGAGGCGCATTGTCGAACGAGTTCTAGTTAAACGTCAGTCACAGTACTCGAAAAAGAAGTTGAAGCGAATAGTGGGTAGGGGCTCGTGTTGACCTTTACCTCCCTGCCAGACTTGTCAGAGATGACTACTTGAAGGCAGTCAAGACCAGGCGAATCCAGCGCGACCAAAAAGGGTGGCTCTTCTTGGCCAGAGGAGATGGCTGTTTGGAGGGTACGGATGGATGGATGGGTGGGTGGGTGGTCGTGTCGATCGTGTTTTCGATACGGAGCAATTCGAAGCTTAGCTCACCGTCACCGGCATTCGCGTGCCAGCCGTGACAGGAAAACTCCCCTCTCCGGTCACACTGACATATCGAATGTCGATTTCGTCCACAGCCGAGTCCATGGCGGATGCCGTGGCGTGCATTCTGCTGATTCTGTTTCTTCCGACCATGGCGAGGAGGTCAAGTGCGGCTAGGTCGGCTAGTTGGATTTGGTCGTTGCTGAGTACTAGCACGCCGATGCGTAATGAGGATTTTGAAGGAGGTGCATAGTGGATATTGAGGTCTTCTTCGGAGGTTGATGAGGTGGTGCAGAAATAGAAGAGGTCGGCCTGACTCGGGAATGATATTGCGCTTCTTGGTGGAGACGGCATGAGGAGAAGTGACGGTTGATATGATGGAGTGGAGATTGAACTTGAATGATGAATAGGTGTTTTGCTCAAATGAGCTGATGTGTATGGCAATATTACCGTGCGGCCTCAGGATAGCTTTATACACTCCAGGCAGTAAGCTCTCGTGCATCCCTGAAACCAAGGTAACATTGAACAGGGCAAGAGTATTGTCAAGCGTCATACGGATACCCATCCCCCACTCTAAGATGATCTGCATTAGTGAGGTGCGGCTCAGCCCCTTGGTGCCCTTGGAAGCTCGCTGACTCAGTCCGGTTAGAAGCCGTTCGTGACCGACTGCTCCCGACCAAACTCCTATCGTGCAGCAAGGCGTATACAGGCCCATATACCTTTGCGTTCGAATCAACTTGAATGTTTGTATCGCCTATGGTAGCTCTGGTTTGGATGTAGCTGCCTGTTCTCACCTCGTAGATTTCCGTGATGAGAGACTAGGCATCCCAATTCGCATCCATGCCAGTGGACGAACGCGTTCGGTAAGCGGCACGCGTAACGGGAGCGCCGAAAACGCGGATAAGCACTTGAACGCATTGAAACAACTCCAAGATGATTAGACGGTGGCTGTGAGCGGAGTTAAAGGAAGAAATCGGAGTAGTTCAGATTGAGCTCAAGGCTAAGAGGTCCGACGGAGCGCCTTAAGGCTCAGGCACCAGATTCTGCTGGTCAGCTGTCGCGGAATTACATCAGGGCCGGAGATTTGTTGTGACCAAGATAGCAATGGGAATCGTAATGGGGGAGCCTGGATACGGTGGCTTCTCGATGATGCGTGGCGACCCGGCTTCAGCTCGTGGCATGTGACGTCTGCGCGCCGCTTGGGGCAGGAGCAATCTGGTGAAACACCGAGATGCCGCGACGCTGGGGACTGTGATGGCGTATGTGCACCGCTCTTGACTCTATCGGAACCCCCTGAAATGATTCAAACGTGCTACTTTATTCATGTCTTGACTTGCATCGCGCCCAAAAGCGACCTTGGTATTTCACATAGTCAGGTGTGAATTTAAGGTGGGAGGGTATTCTTCATTTATCCGCTGCATCTACAAAATCGCACCAGATGTAGAGGGCTGTGGCGGCACCTCAAAGTCAGAGCGTGCGCACAAACACAGCCGTGAAATCCATCGCTCGTTGACCCAAAAACAATATAGAAAACGGCTGTCGTAGGTGCATGCTACGTTGCACTCTCTAGATGTCCTTGGCCTCACCGTCAGCCTCACCGGACTTGACGGTCTTGCCAGTCTTCTTGATCTTCTCGAGGACGGTGTCGTAGGATAGCGAATCGGCGGCGGTGATCTCGGCGGTCTGGTTCTCGAGCGAGACGTTGTAGGACTCAACACCTGTGGAGTAGTTAGAACATGATGCCTGGACCGCCGGCGCGTGCTGCATCGGAAACTGACCCTCGAGCTTCTTGAGGACGCGCTCAATAGCGCCAGAGCAGCCGCCGCAGCTCATGGCAACGTTGAACTTGTAGGTGTGCGTCATGATGTATGAGGTTGTAGGTGGTGTTGCTGGCAAACTCCGAGGTTCAGTGCGGGTCGCGGGGCTGTGATGTGGCGTGGTTGTGTCTGTTTGATAACCGCGAAGAGAGGAGCTGTGACTAGTATATATAGGTATCACTAGCGGAAGGACGTCGCGACGAGCGGATGAGCAAGTTTCAAGATGGTGGTGCAATTCGGCTAGATTGTTATAGATTGCCGTCGTGCCCCGCTGACATATTGAGCCTCCATCACAACATTTCCGGGTTGTGGAACCGCGCGCGCCTCAGCCATGTATGTACAAAGTCCGTGTCTCGTTTGACATGGCGATACTTTGGCGGCATGAAACATGCTCAGTGAGGGTCCGGGAGCAGACGATTAGGTGTCCTCGCCGGTACTCTGACATGGGGACACGGTGTCTTGGATGCCGCGACCCGTAAATTGCCATGTCCAAGTCTCGCATGTGCTGGGCCCGTTCCTGCAGGTGAATTGCTGAACCCTGAGGCCGCGCCCGCCCCACGTTGGCTAGCGCGGGGCTCAAGCTGCATCCATGGATGCCTCGCACGCCCAGGCGGTTGGGCGGTGACGTCGCCCACTGCCGCCCGTAAACACGGCCAAACATTTCTTGCCCATGACTTTGAGTACAGCAGCCAGCCAGCAGACGACACAACCCGCACCATGGCCAGCAACATCCTGTTCCTCCCGTTCCGGCGCTCGCACTCTGTGAACCTCACCGACGCCATCAAGCAGTACATATCCTCCAAATATGACCAGCATCCCGACATGTTCACCAAAGACCTCGAGACCATCGAGAAGCTGCGGTCCGTCGCCACCCACGCCCAAGAACCCCACCCGAGCAACATCCCGAAGCTGCAGCAGTACGCCGCGCAGCTGATATGGCTGAGCGGAAAGTTCCCCATCGACATCGGCGTCGAATTCCCCTGGTATCCTGCGCTGGGGTACAACACGAGCCGCCCGACATCGCGCAACAACCTCCGCTTCGAACTCGCGAACATCATGTTCAACCTCGCGGCCATGTACTCCCAGCTGGCCATGTCGTCGAACCGGAGCACACCAGACGGGCTGAAGATGGCAGCCAACAACTTTTGCCTCGCAGCCGGAGTCTTGTCACACTTGAGGAATACCATTCTGCCGGAGCTGCGGACAGAGCCACCCGAAGACATGGACCTCATGACACTCGAGTGCTTGGAAAAGCTCATGCTGGCTCAAGGACAGGAGTGCTTCTGGCAGAAGGCTGTCAAGGACGGGATGAAAGACGCGACCATCGCCAAACTAGCCGCCCGCGTATCCGATCTATACAACGAGGCGGGAGACGCAGGCATACAATCGGACGCTATCAGCAGCGAGTGGATACATCATATGACGGCAAAACACCACCACTTTGCGGCTGCTGCACAATACCGCGCAGCCTGCGATTCTCTTGAGAAGCGCAAGTATGGCGAGGAGGTCGCGCGGCTACGCGACAGCCTTACGTGCGTCAACGAGGCTCTCAAGGAGCAGCGCTACATCAACAAAGTCGTGCTTGCAGATCTCAACGGCTTGAAGAACCGGATAACGGAAGACCTGAAGCGGGCCGAAAAGGACAATGACATGATCTACTTGCTACCTGTACCACCAAAGGCGGAGCTCAAAATCCTCGATCGAGCCAACATGGTAGTCTCGAGAGTCCCCAAGGAAATAGCAGAGTCTAATTCGATGCTCGGAGAGCGCGGGGAGCTTGGCCCAGCACTCTTCTCCAAGCTGGTGCCGTACTCAGTACATCTGGCTGCTAGCATCTACGTAGACCGCCGGGATCGATTAGTCAACGGTACCATCGTAGAAGAGCTAGAGTCATTGACAAATAAGATTCACGAGGTACTCCGCAGCTTAAACTTGCCCGGCTCCTTGCAGGCTCTTGAGAAGCCACTAGGACTTCCCCCTGGTCTTGTAGCGCACGCTGAAGAGATCCGTCAACAAGACGGTATCAACCGTCTCTTGCGCTCAATGGAGGATACGAAAAAGCTCATGTACACCGACCAAGCTATATATCAAGAAGGTGTCGATATCCTGAGGTCCGAAGCGACAGAGGACGAAGGCGCACGACGCAAGTTTGGCACAGAACGCTGGACACGACCACCTGCAGAGCAAGCAGCGCCTAAGCTCTATGCCCAGATCAACGAAATTGACGGCTACTTCAAGGCTGCTACTAACAGTGATAATATCGTAAAGACGAAGTTGAAGGAGAATGAGCACTTCATACGACTGCTCAGTGGACCAGATCACGAACTCGAAAACTATGTCCCGAGCGGCCGGAGACCTGCCATCACTGGCGATGTCGAGCGCGAGGCCGGCAAGCTTCGTGGCAGCTTCAATGAAGTCAGCAGGCTCGAGAGTAGGCGACGGCGGAAGATTGAGGCCTTGCGGACAAAGGCGAAGCAAGACGACATAAGTAAGTCCCGCGCATCCCTACACAAGCCATATCCTGACAGCAGGCTAGATCCGGAGCTGTTGCGCGAAGCTGCTCGCTTAGAACGGGAGTACCCTATGCAGACAATTGAGGCTGTGCAGTTTGAAGGGCTTTTCGACAAGCGTCTTCAGATGTACGACGCCGACCAAGACATGATCCAAGAAGAAGAAAAGGAGCAGGCAGAAGCTATCAAGCGACTGCAAGACGCAAACGCGGCCTTCTTGATCGCTCGTCGTGGCGATCAATCCACCAAGAAGCGTGAGCAAGCGTTGCAAAATCTAGAAAACGCATACTTCAAGTACAAGGAGATCATCTCGAATCTCGACGTTGGGCGAAAGTTTTACAATGACCTAGCTAAGATCGTGAATCGATTTCGGGATGAGGCGCGCACTTTTGCTTACAATCGCAAGTCAGAAGCTTCACATCTAGAAAGGTATACAGATGCAACGACTAGTTCCAAAGCCTGTGCTAATGGTACCAGCGATCTCACTACTCGAATGAGCTCCCTCGGTCTCCAGCAAGCAACGACAAACTCATTACATCAGCAGAAAGCGGCAGATGCACAAAACCCGCATTATGGTGCGACTGCACATGCGGAAGAACCCTTGGCAGCCCCGACACCCACGAGAGCAAATGTACCCCCGCCGTCTGGTATGTGGACACCAGAAGTTGGAATCCGGTTTGGTGGGGTGCCTACATCATCCGGGAACGCTCGACCTTCTGCTGGTCCTCCACAAGATGGGCGGTGGGACCCTGCACAAGGCCTAAAGTTTGGGTAGATTTGGTGGCCTGAAGCGTCATGCTATTAGCACAAGTAGTATATGGTCGAGATGTGGATCCGATGCACATGCACTTGTGCGGCTCTGCGAAAACACACAATTGGGACCAAATATGCTATTATTATCGTAGCTAAGTAATGCATCTCACAACGTTGTCGAGCATAGGAGCGAGGGCTTGGTTTGTGGGGACATGGGAGTGCGCCTTGAGAAAGTGCGCCTTGCGACGTTGGTTCGAGCGAGGCAGTGCAGAGAACGCTCAGTGGGCCTACGGGTAATGACCTCAGGGACGCGACGGCTCGCCGAATGGCCTTCGCGCCAAAGAATCGCGCGGTGTGTGAAATTGGGCCAGTAGTGTTGCCCGTCGGATTGGTCGCCGAGGGTGTGATTCGAACGTTTTGTGACGGCTCGGCATCACTTTGATGTTCTCAAGCGGTGTCGTCGACCGCCCGCCGTAGCCGGCTATTAGACGCTTCACCAATGGACGGCCCGCGTGAATATGCGCAAGCTAAGTCGTTGTATAAGGCTGGGGCGGAGTGAGCAGTTGAACACAGTGATTCCCCAAGACCGAATGCCAGTAGCGGTCAGCTCTATTCCACCGAACCTAAACCCGCGAATTGCTTTGCGACCATCACGCGACAACGATCCACGTCGGCCAGCGCGTATCTCTCAGGGACTCGCAGCCGCGCTTGCTTGTCGCCATTGCTACCGCCCACGTCCAGCGCCCTCGCCCGCGTTGCTCCCGACGTCATCACCGGCGGGCAGAAGAACAACGCATAACGCATCCCCTAGCTCGTGGTTTCACGTCTCTCAAGAGTCTGAAACCAAGGAACACACAAGGAACTTTGCAGCGGGCTCTCCCATTGCGGGGCTAATTATAGCGGACTAGGCCGCTTCCAGCGCCGTCGCTCTTCGTGAGGTGGGCTGTGTCCTGCGACCGACGACTACACTGCGCCTCCTTCACACTCACCAGCCTCAGCAGACAAGCCAGTAACCCGACGACATTGCGTGTACCTGGAGGATATTCGACCACTCACAGTCGGCCCTTGATTCTTGGTGTCTACGAAGCTCTCCACGTTGGCCCAAGCGCGGCCTCCAGGGCTCCCTCCTCCACATCCCACCTATTCTTGGGCACACGCGAATCCAGTACCTACATCATGGACATCCAACAGCGAGGGCGCTCTCCCTCAGTCGGCCAGCGCATTCATAAGGCGCACTCTCCCTCGCCCAGCCCACATGCGCCCTTTCAGCACCAGCACAACGTCGGCCTGGGCTTCGATCCTGCTCAAGACCCATCCTCGTACGCCGTCACCAGCGCGGGGCTAAACAACACGCACTTTCTCACCACGACCCAAGGCCAGCCATTCCCCCAGCAGAACACCTTTGCCGACCCAGCTTTCTTCCAAGCTGCGCAGAACATTTCGCAGCACAACACTCCGCAATTCGGCCCCCAAGGCAGCAACATCTCGCCCGACCCACTCGACATCGCCAACTCCACCAACGCCGACTACGCCAACTTCTTCCAGGCCAACGACCTCGGCCAGAACCAATCGCTGCCGTCGTATCTTGGGAGCACGCTTGACCCGCACATGCTCGACAGCCAGTCGCAACACAACCAGTCCATCGACCCTTCCGATCTTATGCACCAGATGGCAGCCACACAGCACAACGCGCCTACCCCGCCGCACCTGCTGCCCAACATGAACAACCACCATTCTCCGAGCCCACATGCTTCGCCGAACCTGAACCAAGGCCCCTTCAGATCACCCGGCCATTCGCGACACACGTCGTTAGACCCCAGCGCAGCCTACGGTCAGATTACAGAATGGGGGCAGATGGCGGGCGGGTTTGGCCAGCACAGGTCTAGGTCTAGGGGCAACAGCGATGCTGCGTCCTCTGTACACGCATCGTCGGTGCACAACTCGCCGTACCTGCACCACCAGGACAGCTTGGACAATGAGCAGCCATCACCCCTCATCAACGCACAGAACGACCCCCAGCTATTCCAGGACCCTGTCCCAGGATTCGACCGATTCAATCTGAACAGCAGCAATGCGCACATGAGCGCGGGTAATAGCCCTCACATCTCGCCTCGTCTGCTTCCGCAGAATCAACACGTCCTTCCGCAATTCCAGCCCGAAACCTTTGGTCTCACCCAGAACATGAACCCGTATGCGCCTCCAGACATGAATAGCTACCCAGGTCAAGCTGAGCCGTTCCCCTCACTGAACCAGCCTGTGCCTGAGTTCGGTCAGGCCGACGCCATGTCGCCGCCGGAAATCAACATTGACTTCGCACCGCCTTCACGGCAGGCAAGCTTTGAGCCACCCAAGCCCGAGCATCAAATAGATGCGCTGAGCCCGCCAGACAGATGTAAGCAGCCCAATGAATCCTACCAACCATTTCTAACAGCGAATCAGCACGCAGTCGGAACAGAACTCGCGCCAGATCCGATCCTTTCAGCAGTGCTAGCTCGCGCGCATCAACACCAGGCTCGGATGTGAACCGCTCACTTTCCCCCCACGCTGCCAAGTCTCGTTCCCCTTCGCCGTCGAACAAATCCTCGCGCCGTTCTTCTACATCAAGCGTACCCAATCGCGACTACATCTTGGATCTTGCAGATCCGTCGCGACCTGCGCCGGCGGATGGCTCCAACCCAAAGCGAACACAGAAGCATCCGGCAACCTTCCAGTGCACGCTGTGTCCAAAGCGCTTCACTCGAGCCTACAACCTCCGATCGCATCTGCGAACACATACGGACGAGCGTCCGTTCGTCTGCAGTGTCTGTGGGAAAGCCTTTGCGCGCCAGCACGATCGCAAGCGACATGAAGGTCTCCATTCAGGCGAGAAGAAGTTTGTCTGCCGTGGCAACCTCAAGAATGGCAACAACTGGGGCTGCGGTCGACGTTTCGCCCGTGCAGATGCTCTTGGACGTCACTTCCGATCCGAGGCAGGCCGCGTGTGTATCCGTCCGCTACTCGAAGAGGAGGCGCGCGAGAAGGGTGAATGGGATGGCCAGAACCAGCAGCTGAACAATGGCAATGGTATGTTCGCACCAATGCCAGCTCAAAACTTTGGTAGCATGATGCCCGGGCAGACAGGCTTCGAGTCGTTCCCTCAGGCTGGGGGCATGCAAGCCCCACAGCCATTTCTGCCTGCTGCCATTCTCGCTCAGTACCCAGCACTCGCGGGCATTCAGTGGGATCAGCTCCCAGCCGGGCCGCCTGACGACGATGGCGATATTAGCGGTCGCAGCAGTTTCGATGCTTCTAGTGGAGGCGAGTACTTTGAAGAAGAGAGCGACTACCAGCAGGGCGGTCAACAGCCCATGTACGCTGGTGGAAACAACAGCGGGTGGGTTAGTGACTCGTATGACGGACGGTAACCGTTCTTCTTCACGCTCTGCTTTCTCTGGCGGCCTTCATCTCTTCACGATTCTGCAACGCATTCACGACTTGTTATCTACGAACCATGCGCGCTTGTGCCTTCTGTCACTTCATGTTTCTTGTTTGGATACCACTTTCATTGCCTTCGTACGCGCCTAAGGGTCATTGATACCCCCGGATTGGAGACTATCAGGGAGTTTTGCTTTGGAGATCATGGGCCTCGATGCCTGCTTGTAGCCGTCTTAGCTCGGTGGCGTTGTGTTTTTTCATTTAGACCAGAGTATATACCACAGGAAATGTAGCTTCAAGCCTTCACTTTGATTCTTCGTCGTTTGAGATGTGATGTGACTGGTGCTTTGGCTACGCTGGAGAATCATCCTGATGTATGTAAGTTTAATCATACAGCATGGGACGCCAGCCGGAGATCTGATGTGATTACTATTCTGGGAGCGCATGGTTTGTAACGTATGTTCGCTTGTGTTCCTTCCTGTACCGCGTGTCTGTGAAAGCAAGCACAAGAGAGTTTCTAGTCTGGTTACTGAATGCGCGTTTCGTAGGCTTGTGCTTTGCAGAGGCGCATATCGATACGCAAATTTTAGGATCTCCCGTCGTGATATTGGTTTATGCTATACTTTCCTCAAGACACTCCGGAAGATGCGAAGATGCTCGTTGTAAGATGTTCCCTGTGTTATATGCGTCCTCGTCCCCACGTCTGGAGGCTGCAAACATACAGAGCAAGAGAAAGCATTTTCTGGAAATGGTGAATTCCAATATTAGAGTATACAAATAGCGTGTTAAAAAAAAGATGCAGAGAATCACGCAGAGAGTGCGGAGCTTCTGTGAGCTTTGCAAGAGCAAAAAAGGAGAGTGGGCCTGACCGGGATTCGACTTTACAAATGTTAGATTCTAAACTTCACATATTCAAGAAAGAGCAACTTACACCCGGGGCCTGTCACATAACAGATACTCTGTATCCAGGATAATTTTCCCGAAGCGACAATCATACCACTAGACCATCAGGCCGACTTTTGTCTTGTTGATGACAAATTTTGAAAGTAGGTAGTAATAGTACTTGGCGAAACAGCCTCCAAAGGACACATCGAGGACGTCTGAGAGGTCGCTGGGTAAGTGGAGTCGCGTGGGAATGTTGGTTTGAGGCGGCTGGTGCAGATTTGGTACGTGGACATGGTGCGCAGTGGGGCAGTGGTATATCTTAGTCAGGGTGGGCCGCTTCTAATCATGGAATTCACAGCCTCACTTTACTCCTTTCGGAAGACTTTGCGACAGAAATCTCGAACTTCTTGTCGACCTTGACCGTCTGTGCTGCAAGCATTGATCGCGAGGATAGTAGAATCAAGCCGCAGACCCAGCACGACATCGAGATGCAGACTGCCCAGCACAGCACCACCACAACCAGATTGCATCGTATATACATGCAAGGTCGGCATGCAGGCATCACAAGACCCCGATCTTGACGTCTTGGTAAAACAGAACAGGCTGGGCGTATCTCCTTATCGCACGCCTCATTTGCCCAGTAAAGTGTCACCGAAGCTTATGCGCACTGGGTGGAGAGCCGATCATACAGGCACAAGTATGTCCTGTGCATGGTGACGGGAGGGAGCCGACATCGCTAAACCTATGGCGATCCCCCCTGCAACTGTGCGCTCAACAACTGCTACACCGACATTTTGGCGCCGTTGCGTTCAAGGTGGACGCCATCACGAACGAACATGCTGTGCGTAGACGTTCAACGACTATCATATTTTCACTTCAATCGAGTGCCGTAGTCACAGTCAAGACATCAGACGGTTTATTTGAGCACGCTGCGACCATGATCAAAAGTGCGGGGGAGACGTGCTGGGCATGCTAGAGTGGGTCCCTTCCATTGGTTCGGGCCAGCCCTTGTGCCACATGCAGTATAGTGGGTGCCCCAAGCTCCCTTCCAGCAAGCTCCCATCCACTGAGCACCACGGAGTCCAACGCTGCATCCCCGATGTGCCCACTCGTTATGAAGTGAACAATCCACGAGGGTGTCCTGAGTCGTTGTACAGCACAGCTCACTGACCGCTCTCTGTAGAGATTCCAGAACGCAGGCCAAGGAATCCGAAAGGTGGTCGCCGCTGCTGTGTTTGTGAGGCTCGAGGGCTTAGAAAAGGGAGAGCTTCCCCTCACTGTGTCGCGAGCTCAGCTGTCATTCCTGTCCTCTCAACACCTGTTCCTGTCTACCGGTTCGCCTGATAGCGCTTCCCATTGCCCGCCGCCTTCCGAAGCTTACTGACGCCCGCATCTTTGCGTCACTGAAACCTTATCGTCTTATAATCTACCACTAATTGCTCGTCTTGCTTCTTTCACATACTACTACTTCTTTCTCTCCGCGCGCACTTGCGTTTCGTTCACATCCAACTTCCCATACCTCAACACTACACACACCTTCGCAATGGCCGCCTCAAAACCTAGCGTTCGCATCATCAGCGCCCTCGCCGGCCCCCGCCTTCTGGGCCCTCGTCTCACAGTCCGCCAGCTGTCAATGACAGGTTCGACTGCCTCTTCATCGCTCCTCACAACCGACAAGCCGTATGCCTCAAATCGTTCAGCTGGACCCATCCGCCTTCATGGCGAGCAAACCATCCCAGTCCCCGAGGCTACCGAGACCGGCAACAAAGTCCGCCGCTTTAACACATCGAGGAGTTTAAAGTCCGTTGGCGATTCCAGTACCCTGGACTTTATGCACTTCCCGGAGTTCGACCTGGAGAGCCGAAGCGCGCCCATGGGCATCAGAGTCCCTATCATCCCATGGGCCAACGTTGCCAGCCGGGGTGCTGAGAGCGAGGATTCCGTAAGTCTTATCCCAATTCATGGTTTCTGCTTATCGCGCAAGAGTGCTAACGATATGCTTCTTAGATCCCCATGCAGCCCACAATCTACACCGTCTCCGCTGACGGTACCCACATCCACTCCCCTTCCGCAATGACCGAAGTGTCCGACACAAACCAGTCTGGTTACCAGGGCATCGCTGAGGCTGTCGCCAACAAATTCACCTCGACCCGTGAGGAGGGTGAGGGTATGGTGAAGCAGATCTGGAATGACCTCATGGAGGATCTTGCCGATCTTGCGAGTGGCTCAAAGCGCGGCTCTAACAAGGCTTAAGTGGGGTGTACATACACCGTCATGAATGCCGTCGGCGAACGGTAGTTCTGATGATTACGTGGGCTTCGCACTGTACTGGACTTCCGATGGCTATCGGGTGGGTCTGGGGATGTTGAGTCGAAGCATGTTTTTGCTTTCTTGGTACTGTGGAATGGAAGGGTCTAGCGCGAAGTGCTCGGGCTTATGAGATCACGAAATACATTTTAATCGCTCTTTGACCAGTGTCTCTCATTCTTCGTTGCAATGCGCTCGTTCAACTACGCTGCCCGATCCCCGACTTTTGATCAAGGTGTGCGCGAGCACAGTGCTGATTGACAAGGAACTGTATGTTGACAATCAAGATCGTAAGCGTATAGTCCTGCCATCGCAATGGAATATACCAAGTCCTTTCATCGAAGGCCTCCCAGTTCTTCCATCAGTCCACAAAGCGCCCTTACAAGAGGCGGCCCAGTTTCACGATCCACGTCAGGATGTGTGGATTCAAGAAGCATAACGCCCACCTTCATAACCTGTGAAGGATACTTGAGGTTACAGATTTCGGGCCGCGTGATGGCTCCAGACTCCGATGCCACTGGTTGGTGCGTCGAGATAATACGAAGGCACGGTATACCGCTATTCGTAGCAATGAAGGCATTAACGCCAGCCTGGTTATCAGAGGCGGCATCATCGAGGTAGATAACCTTGCTCGGAAGCGAACTCGGCCGTGTGCGCATCGGCGTCGTAGTGCCGGTCTTCTTAGCCAGGTCGCGCATCATCATGCTGTATGTCCAGAGGACCATGATGGCATGGTACAACATGAAGGAATCTGGGCCGCGGATCTGATATGGTGGGATTTGTCGCGCAGCTCTTACCACCTGTCCAGCATGCCAGATTGCGACTCTAGCTTCTTTGGTTTGGCTCCAGGGTGAGAGGTGAGTGTACGCGCTGTTGGCAGCGCTCTCGCCGCATTTGCCGGCGAAGCGCGTGATTAGATCGAGGTTGACGTGGAGGTACATCTGCAAGAATTGGTGGAACAGACAGGTCACTGCTGGATGTTTGCTGGGTAGAAGGTCTTCGCGTTGAAGGTATTGGTATCTGCGGGGGAGTGTCAGCTTCATCGAGTATGAGAGAAGATACACCAACAGTTTTTCCTGACGAGATCGAGCCCAGAGCTGTGAAGCGGCGTCGCTGCTCTCGTTCATCAGCGCAGATTGCTGTCCATACTCCCAAATCTGAGCTGCAATACCGTGTAGATAGGATGAGTGAGCGACCTGCATGTCGATGGTGGCAGGAAGACAGCGTATGGCAGCTTCGTCTTTCAGAAGTGTTTGCAGTGAGGGAGCGCTGGCGACGACGTCCATGTCAAGATAGCGCGTTCGCCATGTCTCTGCTGAAGGTGCCAACCACAGCGTCTTTGATGCAGGCAACATGAGCGTAAGTTCAGCGTAACTGATCAGTGGCGGGCGATGCTTCGCCATAGTCATGTGGATGTCGTGCTCGAACAAGTGATACACCAACCTGTCTGTATTAGATGCTGGGTAAACAGAATCTACTGTGTCTGTCATACCTCTTGTAAGATTCTTGCTCCACCCACTGCTTCCACTTTGCATGTAGTTCCTCGTCGCCATCCTCTGCAGACGGTGTAACTGCAGGATACCGGATGTAATCGAATCTACCGGCGCGCCGTAGTGCCTACAGAGTCAACGTGTGTTACACTATCATATCAGAGCTTCTTACCGTGACAAGAGATTGCAAGCTACTCTCCGCGATTTCCATCTTCCTCCTGTACCCACAGAAGGCCCCGATGTCAAGCCAAAGCATTGAAGCTTGGAGGTATTCAAGGTCGCGTATCACACTGTTATCATTCTCGGACTGGAGACGTATTAGATGTCCTTCGACTTGGTGTCAAGCCTGGTATTTGCAAAAACTTACCAGCCTGTTCAACGCGACTCGAACTATCTCTTGTAACGCCAATCCTGTTCTGCTCACCGAGAGTACGCCAAAACATACACACCCAGCTGCCACCAATGCAGTGAGATATTCTGGCCGGGCAGTCTCGCTTTCGAAGGTATACGGATGGATCCATGCATCAGTCTCAGTTCGTTTTGCAATTCCAACTTTGATCAGCTTGTCGACGCACTCTGCCGAAGGGAAAGAAGGAATGGTGATATGGCTCTGTGCAGTCTTCGACACCAATTGGAAGATGCGGTCACGGGCTGCCGGCGAAAGCTTATCTGGGATCACAACGTTGGAAGAATATGGCATGTGTGGTGACGAGGCAAGATCTACGTTACGCTCGTCTAAAGCGATGTTTTCGTGCTCGCTGAAAGCGTGCTGGTTACGCTCGGGGATCCAGAACCTAAAGCAGGTCAGCGCTGATTGGTCTATCGGTTAGTGTGGCTTACCAGGCAGACTGTTTGAAGACTGCATGGCGCCTCTTCGCGGAGTTGCTATCAATCTTCTCGTGAGAAACATCTGTATTAAGAGGCGGCGTTGCAGAAGGCAAGGCTGTCACCTGCGATGTCTGCACTTCTAGCATCTGACTGACAGTTGGAGTGAAATCATTGCCAAAAATGTCAACCTGACCAAGCCAGTCACTCTCTGGCATCCATGCGGTCAGATCTGGAGGCGGTTGCATGTAGTCACTACCCAAGAAGTCTGGTGCGGGAACCATGATCTGTTCGAAAAAGGCCGGGATGGTATGCTGGGTATAACCAGTGGTATTGTACAGATCGAGTAGAGCTTGCGCCTCAGTATTGGTCTCGTTGAGGTAGACATCGTTCAGTTGTATGTCGTCGTCAAATTGGTATGGGTTGCTTTGCTCTTCAACAGATGCTGCAAACACTTGCGCTGACTGTTGTCCTACATCTGCTTGAGCGGGCGGTGACGGATCGGGCGACTTTGTCAGGCATGGTAGGCTTTTCTTTTGGCACCGTTTGCATGGCCTTCCATTGTCGCATTTGACTTTTGATACGACGCAGGAGTTACAGGCCTTCGTGGCACGTTCTGCTACGCGATATGGGCCTACGAGCCCATCTTTAGCATTCTTTGTGTGAGTTGCTTGATGCCTGAGTAGCAAATCCCTTCGGTTGAACGCTGCAGGGCACTCCTCACAATGAAACGACCTCTCGTTGCGGTCTGTGCATCGTTAGGATTTCGTTGAGTGATGGCCAACGGTGAGCGAAACTTACGTGAGTCTAGATGTCGGTTCAAGTGGTCGGCACGTTCGTATGATCGGTGGCAGACTTGACACTGAAGCCCACCAATTGACGCATCGGAAGTCCGCTTACGTTTCGAGGGTCGCGCATTCGTTGGGGTCACCGCTATCTCGACTGACATGATTCAAGAACTGAGTAACGGAAATGTGGGAAAAAACGAGCAGGTAGTTCAAAGCGCATCAAGGCTTCCGGCCATCGGAAAGTGGGCGCCCCTACCCTTGTTCAGATGCGGGGTGTGTCTGAACCGTCACATCAATCGAGCCGACGGCATATCAATTGCCGAACCTTCAACATCCTCGGGAGTAGTCACGTTTCACATTGCAAGCCTCACTCATCGAGCCATGTCGCCTATGTCTACAATTGCAGCAGAAACATCGATTCACAGGGTGCGGCTCAGGTGTCGCCAATGCCCGTGTCGACCGAAGTGTGGGACCTGGTCTAAGCCACTGCTGTTGTTTTGAGACCAACCGTTATTGCTGACATAGAACGCCTTTGCTCCCAATCATGCACTCCCCGATAGGTGCAGTTGTAATCCATGAATTCATCAGGGTGCCTGTTCCGGTTAGATCATGTCAAAAAACCTGAGCGACTTGCACTCACATTTTGATCACATTGCTGCCTCGTTCCGTTGCAGGCTTCGCGGCTTCCCGGCTGAATCGCTGTATCAAGCTTGCACGTTCGTGTCTACTTTTGAAGACGTCTTCTAGGATCGAAGACACTTCGTCCTTGGATGGCCTGTCAATGATGTGACTGAAGAGCGTTCCTAAAGCTTCGGCGTCCTCAATGGTTTGGCTTGCACCTTGGCCTTGAGTCGGTAGCATAGCGTGCGCGGCATCCCCAATGATAATCGCGCGTCCAGAGTGCCATTTATCTAGCGGATCCAAATCGCGCAGCTGCCAGAGACCTATGCTTTCGGCATTCCGGAGTGCATCTTTGGTCCAGCTGGGGAAATCCTTGAATGTTTCCAACATCTTTTCAGGGTGTCCTCTCGTCACCCACGACTGCGCTCTGTCGGAATTCTCGTTCATCTGCTCGTCCGGTACCAGTCCAACGATGCTGTAAAGTGATCCGCCGCGTGCAGGACCCATGATGAGTCGACAGGAGTGTGCCATGATCATAGAAGTATAGGGCTTCTCTGGGTTGATGTTTGCGGAGAATTGTGGCGCGCGCTCATTCAGAATCGCAGTTGGCAGCATAAGCCGGTATGCCGAGGAACCTGTGGGTTTGGGACGGGCCTCTTGACCGAGTATAGAAGTACGTAGAGCACTGTGAATGCCGTCCGCGCCAATGACAAGGTCTGCTTCCAAATGCTCACCATTCTCAAGTATGACCTTGCCTTCTTCACAGTCACACCGAGATACTCGTGCCGAAGTACGCAGTATTGCAGGCTGGCCATCCCGTTCGATGGATGTAGCTGCCTTCTTGAGATAGGCGTGGAGATCTTCGCGGTGCCACATGATGCGGTCTGCGCCATACTGCGTCTTGCTCCGTAGAGGTATTTCATTCACCATCTTGCCGTCAGCATTGTAGATCCTGAATCCGTGGTCGACCGTGCCGTTCGAGCCGTTGAGCAGATCTGTCAACCCCCACGACTGTTCTAGAATCCTTGTGGCGTTGGGTTGTAGTGAGATCGTAGCGCCGATCTCTGCGCTGAGACGAGATTGTTCGAGGATCGTAATCTGTCGGTTGTCCTTCCGAAGGGCTATAGCTGCTGCCAGTCCTGCGATGCCACCGCCCACAATGATGATCCGAAATGGTGTTGACGATGACATTGTGAGTGCAGTCGTGGGTGTGTAGGAAGAGAAGTTGATGGAGTATCACGATGCCGTGCCGGAGGTTTATCAAACATGCTGGTGGTATTCCGGGAAAGCGGTTACCTGATAATCGATAACCTCTTGCCGTCCTAGCACGGGAAACCTGCTGGAATTGATCCCTACCCTCCACTTTACGAGATCTTCTCTCAACATCCCCGCAATGTGTATTCAGGCTCGTGCATTTCGCACGCGCCGTCATCGTAATCGGGGTTCGGAGAGGTGGGCCCACACACGTTCGGCCCGTGTGGGCAATGCCAAAGGCTGCACATCGCACAGGCGCTCAGATATTGTGTGAGAAGAATGTTGAATATGACCTCCAAGCCAGTCTTCCCAACACAGCAATCAAGTTTCATCCAATTCGGCAAACAACCCCAAGACCAATATACGCATCGACATGATCTCCACCGCAACGAAGACAGCGTCGGTTACGCTGAAGGCCGTCGAAGATCAGCGCATGAGAGTGGACGGCACGGATACGACGTTCGGAGACTGGAGGGACGACCTGGCTAGAGATGGCTATGCAGTCATCAAGGGTGCAATTCCGAAGGAGAGGGCCGACAAGTACGCAGACAAGATGTATAGCTGGTTGGAAGGATTGTAAGTACAGACACCGACATGATATCGCAAAGCACTTACATTCTTCAGCAACCTCGGCTACGACCACAATGACTTGTCCACGGTCCACAAAGACAAGCTCCCGTTGATAACTGAAAAGGGCATGTGCCTTCAATATGCTGTTACTCACGAAGACTTTGCTTGGGCCATCCGAGGAGAGCCTGGCGTTGTTGGAGCCTTTGAGAAGGTTTACAATACCAAGGACTTGATCGTGTCGTTTGATGCGATCAACTTCACATTGCCGTATGTTGGGCGCATCCATGTCTCGAACAAGCTGACAGCCACTCTAGTCGCTCAGACCTGGCACCAAACAAGCCGTGGCCTCACCAAGACCAAGACCCATTGAAACCTGGATTCCGGTGTCTGCAAGGCTTGGTGAATCTGCTTCCCAATGGTCCAGAGGACGGCGGATTGATCGTGTGTCCGGGCGGACACCTGTTGTCCGACGAGTTCCATAAAGACATGGCGGACGAGGAACGCATTCCAGCGTGGACACCAGAGTGGTATGGCTTCACTGACAACGGCATGAAGTGGCTCGAGAAGAAAGGCCTGAAGTGGGTGAAGGTGTGTGCAGAGCCCGGCGATCTGCTGGTGTGGGACTCCCGCACCCCTCACTACAACCTGAGCTCCAAGACGAAGCAGCCTCGTTTTGCAATCTACACATGCTACATGCCTGTGGAAGATGCCACTCAAGAGGACTTGCGCAGGAAGAAGGATGCGTACGAGCGCTGGGTGGGAACGACCCACTGGCCAAACGCGAGGCACACAGGCTCAAACGTTGCGAAAAGAGACGGAGTGGACGACCCGCACAATCGGTTCGAGCCGGTGAACAAGCCGATCATGGATGAGAGGACATTCAAGCTGACTGGCATTCCGTATATCAAGGCGGAAGTCTAAGTGTGAGGGTGGCTTGATTTTGGAGCGCGCCCAAGGTGGTAGGGGAGGTGGTGGATGAGTAGCATCCAACGCGCCTGATCTGGTACGCGTGCCTAGCGTGACGCGTTAGTCCAGATTAGGCCGCTTTCTCTCGCTAGCTGAAATAAAAAACTATGACATCAACGAAGCTTACCCAACGTGCCCGTCTGACACCCATCTATCACGGCATGGCTCAACAACCAGATAACGGCGCTGAAGAGGATCACCAGACTATATCCAGCGTTCTGATCACAGTGCGCTGCTGTCCAAATGACTCGACTTGATGCCGACAATGCCTATGACGCGTTAACGCACCCATCACCAACGAAGACCTAGCCAACACCGACACTGACATTGCTATGCGAGGCCATGGTACCCATTCATACGACCGTAACGTACCGGCTTTCTCAGGCCGCCGTTGAAGGGCCCTTCCAAGGACATACAGCACATTGAAGCTAATGCTACGTTGTTGACATGACTGCCCGTGTATGTTGCTAGCCCACCTCTGCCACAAGCGTCACTGATCAGGCGAAGCAGTCACATAACATGATACGATACGGCTCGAAGGCCAATCAAGGGGTTTACAAGCGATATCTACTTTCAACAGATCTGAATTAGACTAGGACGCACGCGCTTCCCCAGCTACGCCAAAACAGCAACACAACAGTCTCGCTGCAACGCCAATACAACACAGCTCCACTCATCTGCCTGGTATTTCCGTAGATTCCCCGCCGACGTGACACGAGCATACGACAGACTGTCTTCTCAGTGCGACATCGAAGGGTGGCCTGACACCTTCTTCATCGCCCACTTGCCGGTATAGGCCCTGATCTTCTTACCATACAGGAAGACGGGTATGCCAAAAAGACCGAAGAGTGCCGTGAGTCCGGCGTACGTTCCGAACGTTCCGTCGTAGCCATCGGTCTCGATGAATCTGGCGACACCATAGCTGGTGCCGAAAGACACGAAGCCTCGAAGAGCCGTGATGACAACAAGAATAGGGCCAGCGCGTGCTGGATCTAAATGTAAATATGTAAAGTCAGTGTATGTCTCACATGCCGTCCATCCGGAAACACTTACAGGAGTCAAGAAGGTACGTGATTGCAGCGATGTTGGCGCCAACGAACGCGAAGTAATACGCTGCATTGGCGAAGACGAAGATGAACCAGTGGTAATCTCCTGGGTTTTCCGCTGCCAGGCCGTACAACGTGGCGGCAAGGCACCCACATAGCAGGGGAATCCAGAGCAGCAACAGGCGATTCTCAGGTTCGTGAACTCCACCATTGCGTCTTGCTCGCCACTTGATTATGACATCGCTGCCGTTACCAAGGAGTGGGAGTGCCACAAAGGCGACAACGATCTGCCCAGCGTTGACGTATGATACGGAACTGTCCGACCAGTTGTACGGAGGCGCGTGTACTATTGTGCCGTACGTTGTTCCAATGGCGATGTTGACGCCAATAGTAAGACCGTTTAGGCAGAAGGCCCAAAGCACATTGGGGAACAACATGACCTGGAAGGTGTTGACGAAGCCGTAGAAACCTTCCATCCATTCCGGTTTGTTGACGAAGATGCGCATATCTGACCAGACTGTGCGGGGAAGAAATTTTGTGTTATCCAGAGGCGGTCTTTCGGAGAGCTTAGCCGGCTGTGGTGCAGTCGCCCTACATCCTTCTAGCTCACCTCCCTCTTCGGCTGAGAATTGACCATAAGCGGTCAGAGGGCGATCGTACTTTGACTCGGGAACCCAGAAAATGGAAGCAATGAACGTGGCTGCGCAAAGACCGGCGCCTAGGTAATACCAGTTGGATGGGCCAACCGCTCCAGCGATTGGTGATGCGCAGATGATGTACACGGCTGACAGAACTGTCTGCGTAGCAGATTGCCACATCAGGAAAGTACTACGCTCGTGAACGAAGTGGATTTCCTACACCCTAATTAGAGAACGTTTCTCGCGCCTTTGTCTTGCTATCGTTACCTGGATCATCATGGGGACCAGTGCCTCGCTCTGACCTGCAGCAAACCCGAGGAGCATCCTAGCGCCAAGGTGCTCGTTGTAGTCTTTGGCATTTGCGGCCCAGACGGCTGATGCTATCAAGAGCAACAGCGACAGAAGGTAGACAGGGCGCCTTCCGATCGCAAGAGCGAGTGGCATGCAAACTAAGTTGCCTACCCCCATGAACATTGAAGGGTACGTCATCAGCGCGGTTATGTCGGCTGCACACCCGGTCAGCGCAGTCAGAGCATGTGAGGAGCTGAGATCACTGACCATATGTAGCTCCAGCTGCGGCATAGATAGGGATATACCAGGTAAGAAGACCTCCAAATCCGGACACGAGTGCGAGACCCAGACTGGAGAAGATCGAGACCAACACGATGAAGAGAATCTTGCGAAACTTCGATAGATTCAACGGGTCTAATGAGAAGACTCAGTACGTGAGGCGGCGAGCTACGTGCTACAGAGTACACAAACCTTGAGGATCAGCGCTAGGGGCTGGAATCAAGAAGATCTCGTCGAGGTCGGTGATGGTCACAGTTCCCATCGCCGCAGGCTCCTGGATGGGCTTCACGATGCCTGTCTCAGCATCTGAAACAACCTCATATCGTTCGACTTCGGTCTTCATGGTCTTCGGGGTTTTGATGTCGTCGAGCATCTTTGCGAAGTAAACGATGTTCTCGCGCTATAGCGAGATGAAGGTGAAGTCAACGGAAATATAAACCCGCTCGTCCAAAACGGAAGAGCACAAATGGCTGTTAAGTTCGATGAGAGTGTACTATGCGCGCAGAGAGGTGGTTATATCTAAATATGCGCTTCGGCTCCTCTTCTTCAACGTTCACCTATTGGTACGTGGCACTTCTTCTTGTCGTCTAGCCCGCGTCCAGACTCGTGCCACGGCCGACGATTTCGTTGGCGTTTCCAAGCCTTGGTCTGGAAATCAATGCCACATTCACATCCCGGCTGAGCAGAACTCCACTTCACGAGCATTACGCGGCAGTGTCGCACGAATGTCTATCTGGGGTTTCTGGCATGACTGTGGGGTAGGTAATCCGGGGTAGCGCGTGCGTCGGAGAGTGGGCTAGCTCGCGGAAGGAGGGCCATGTTCAACCAATCAGTATCGTGCAATTCGCAACCATTCTTGGCTTCAGCTCCTGCGCGGCGCAACTGCCGAGCTTCTTTACGAGTGTTTGCAGTTGTCTCAGGGAGCCTTTGCAATGTCACAAGCGGAGAACATACCCTGCAGACGATGCGCGGCAGTCCTATCGCTATGCCAATGCACGGTCGAAGTCACTACTATCATTTCATCGTACGGTTCTGCGTCCACGGACGCGAACTTTGCATGCGCAGAGTGTGTCACAGCAAGCATATTCACGAACAAACACCGAGTGACGTAACTTAGATGAAGTTGTGCGATATATTGGGCTCATTCAACGCTCTATACAATTGCAACAGGCAGAAAAGGCAGTATGATCTTGCTCGGCGTGTCTGCTCCGACGTGTATCCTGTGCTCGCCCTTGTTCTTCTCATGTTCCGGTCGCGGTTTCGAGAAGGCCGTGTACTCTGCAATACTAGGAAACTCACCGGAGACCTGAACGCTGATCGATTCTCCTTCGTCAAAATCGACACCCATGGACCAAATACCGATTTCTAGTTTCACGATCTCACCTGGTGTGATCTTCTCTTCCTTCTCGTGGGGGTGGAAGGGGAACTGCTCATGGATGCTTCGCGCCGGGTCGAATGCCCGGTGGCTGGCACGCAATACGCCAACGCTGCCGAGGTGCAGATTCAGGCTCGCGCGTTCCTTCTCTGGAATATCATCGATACTTTTGTAAGCTGAGGGTATCGCCGAGAACGGGAAGCAGAGATGCATAAGCAGCTTTCCGTCCTTATCTTTCTTGCGCAGGATGACAAAGACATTCATGTCGTCGTGTGAAGGAGCTGACATGTACAAAACGGCTTTGGGCAGGCCAATGAGCCGTGACTTTTGCGTGAACTTGTAGGTGAATTCGGCGATCGATTTCGAGTCTTGCGAGTCGTAGCTGACCATCTCGGTCTTGGATGGGGGTTGTTCGGTCAAGCCGGAGCCGGACAGGTAAAAGTCCTTGTATTGGGTCCCTGGAACAGGGAAATCGGAGAACTCGATGCCATCAATAGCTTCACGGTCGCCAAATTGGAGTGCTGACCATCGCACCCTAGCCATCTTCTCCCAGTCGTTGTCAATGCCCCGCAGATACTTATCGAAGTAGGTATGCAGTTCCTTATCCGCGTGAGGATCACAGTATAACTCGAACCATTCTTGGTGTGAGCTCCATCGAATCCACTTCTTGTCATGAGGTACTTCGAGCCATCCACGTACGGAGCCCATTGTATGGATGCTGGAAAAGTCGCTTCCGCTGATGAAGACAGGAACTTCGATCTTTGTCATATCAGGGCGCTTGTCGCTCCAATACGCGTTTGCGACAGGTGACCTCCGATGCATCTCAGCGAAGTCCTCGATGCCGCCGCCCGGATTGTTCGTCTTGATGATGAAGTGTGTGATGAGATCGAAATTTGACATGCTGAAGACGCCACCTCGACAGAATTGCTCGCGGTAGATATCACCAGACCCTTCCCAGGGTGCAATAGCGGCAAGGTGTGGAGGTCGTAGAGAGGCAACATGCCACTGGATGATGGCCAGCGCACTATTGCCGGCCATGCCTACTTTGCCATTACTCCATGGCATGTCTGCCACAGCTTCGATGACATCGTAGCAATCTTCTGCATCTTGAGAGCCCATGATCTGCCATGATTAGCTAAATAGTAGAGTTTGCAATACTGAGCATACTGGTATGGAACCGTCGCTGTTGCCCGTGCCGCGAGAATCTACCGAGATGATCGCATAACCACGTGGGCACCATACAACTGGATCAAGTCCCTCGAACTTCTCCAACCCGCTGAGCGCTTCATTCGGCACGCAGCAATTCCAAACGCAGATTGGAAGCATGTGTAGAGCGGAGTACTTCTTGCCGTAGCATGACCAGCTTATCACTGCTGGTAGCTTTTCGTCTTCGGGAACGTCGGCGGGCCGGTAAATGTCGACATAAAGGCGACATCCATCTCTGACCACGATCTCGACATCGTGATCAATTCGTATGTCAGATTCGAGAGGGCGGGCGTTGTACGGTTTCGCGCCTTTGCGAAGAACTTCGGTTTTACCGGGTGTGAAGCCTTGGTAGTTGTTCACACCCGGCTCAGGCTTTGAGATGGGCTTATAGGCCACTTGCATAGCGACTGGCATGTTTGACGTTGGCAATGGTGAAACGTGTGGACGAGAAAGAGGAGGAGAACAGTGAGCGCAATCGGTAAAGATACCAAGCTCCGTGACAGCTACTTGAACAACAAACACATCTACCCGGAACGCGACGCGTCGAGTGCACTTTGCGACGTCGTGCCGTCCACCTCGGCAAGCGTTCTAGCCCGAAGGGTTGTCCGTCCCCCACACGTCCCGAGTCCCACAAATCCTGCGGCATAGCTACATATCGCGGGGTATGGCGCCCACATGTGCCGAGACGGTCGGCAACGCTGCCCCGACATCCCCAAACGATGACTATTGTCCCGAGCACAACATCATACAAGCTTCTCTTCAACATCCAACATATAACATCAACTAAGTGCAGTCAAAGGCTATTCCACCACAGCTTCATTCCAATAAGTTTCGCCATCTCCTGCATTTGAGCATTTCTGATCTCGTCACTAACAATACGCATTCAAGCCCTCGTCTTAAGAAGATGGCGCCTCACGCCGAAGAGCCAAAGCCAGATAGCGGTGTTGATCTAATCTCGTACGACGGTACCGTATATGGCGATTGGCGCGACGATTTCCACAAGAACGGCACAGCAATCATTAAAGGCGCCATCTCACCCGAGCGCGCAGAGTACTACAAGCAAAAGCAGATTGAGTGGCTTCAATCCTTCGGTCGTGGCTTCGATCCCAACGATGAGTCAACATGGACACAAGAGCACCTTCCTGTGAGCTTCAAGGGCGGGATGTACTTTGCCTACTCTAGCACACACGAGAAATTCGTTTGGTAAGTTGTCAATGGAATGCGATGTTTGCAACATACTGATGCAGACTCAGGGAAGCTCGCACCGAGCCCAAGGTCATCGAAACCTTCTCCAAACTTTGGGGCACCGAGGAGCTCCTCTGCTCATTCGACGGCATGAACATCACACTGCCGCGCCAGAAAGATCTCAAGTGGAGCCCCTGGCCGCACTGCGATCAGTCGCCTCACCGCAAGGGCATGCAGTGTGTCCAAGGCCTGTTGAACTACCAACCCAACGGCTCTGATGATGGTGGTCTGATCTTGATGAAGGGTAGCAGCAAGCTGTATGATGAGTTCTTCCGCGAGAAGAGGGAACAGGACAACCATGAGGATAAGCCCCCGGAGGAGGAGGACTTCAAGGATCTTTTCATCTTCAAGGACGAGGATGTCCAGTGGTTCAAAGACCGCGGATGCACACTCGAGAAGGTGAACCTTGAAGCTGGTGATCTGGTACTGTGGTATGTTCTTACTATCTTTCCTCCCCTATTTGGTACCTGAGTTAATATCGCGCAGGGATTCTCGCACCATGCACTACGCCTGCTTTCCTCAAGGCAACCGCATCCGTCATGTCCAGTATGTCTGCATGACGCCCGCCAAGTTCGCGAAGAAAGAGGATCTCGAACTCAAAGCCGAGCTCTTCAAGACGTGGCAGGGTACGACACACTGGCCGCACTGCAATATCCGCAAACAGGGCCCGCCAGAGAGAGATGGCAAGCCTGATCCGCAGAATAGAACGGAACCACTAGAGAAGCCGATTGTTACGGATAGGATTCTGCAACTAGCTGCGGTAAAGGCTTACTAAGAGCTGAAGCGGCCCATATATGACGAAGAAATACGCGGGTTCTCAGGACTTCAAGGTCGTCTTTCGCGGCAGTAGAGTGAATTGTGGTGCATGCTTTCGTACGCTCTTATTTCAGCTATTTCCAGTCTGGGCTTTGCCTTCTGTACCATGATACTCTTCCGACAATGGATACAAGCCAATGCTCTTGCCTATGTACGTCAGAGGTCCTCAACCGCAAGAAGGTCGTGGTTGTTATTCTTGGACCATATGATAGCACCGGAAAGATCGTGGAGGCAGCGATATCTTTAACATATACTTCTCTTCTCTCTAGTCAACGTCTCATGACTCTAAATACAGATAACGAAAATGTTTTACAGCTAGTGAACTAAGACAAAGGAATGCGCTGTATCATCCAATCGGTGTGGTGCCACTGGGAACTGAGAATCGAAGCGTGCTGTCTTTACTTCTCAGCCTTCTCACCTCGAAGGCATCTTGTCCAATTCTTGTTCTTTGATATTTCTTTGGCCTTGTCTAACTGCTGTGCACGAGACCACTTCGACTCACCTGGCTGCTTCAAATTTGGTTTTCGACCATTGGAGAAGAATTTCGTAGCACGGGCAGCTGCTCCGACCGTTCTGGAAATTGCCTTAGCCACGGATATAACAGCATCGACAGCCGACCTGAACAGGTTGGCAATGGCGTTGATAAAGTTTCGTTTTTCAGTAGATGGGCTTTCTTGCGGTGAAGTGGAGTTGATGTTGGTGAAGTTGATGTTGGTGGAGTTGATGTTGGTGGAGTTGATGTTGGTGGAGTTGATGTCGGTGGAGTTGATGTCGGTGGTGCCGTCTCTTTTCTCCATAGATCGCTTTGCATTCTCAGCAGCCGCGTCGCCAACCTCCAGAAATCCTTTCGCAAAGTCTTCTTGAACGATATCGCTCTCATCGTCAGGCAATGCGTTGTCCAGCCAATCGTCGTCGATATCAGAACCAGGCCATACTTCAAGCATATCCCCGTTGATGCTGTCCAGCAAGTCCAATGAGAAGCCGCCGTCAGCCATCTCAAGCATGGCCTCCGTACCAATGGCAGCGGCAGTAAGAGGAAGACATACAGCCATACGGCGAAACTTCTTCTGGTTTCTTTCAGATCGTCTCTGTTTGTCTTTTTCGTCCCACTCCGTGTTCTTTTCTTCTTTCTTTTTCTCCAGGCGCTCTTTGATCATGTCCTTGAACTTCTCAAACTTCTCCTTGATCTTCTCCTTGATCTTGTCTTTGTAGGTTTTCTTCTTGTCCTCCTCACTCACATCTTTGTCTCTGATACATACTGTCTTCGTGGGATCCGACTTCATGAGCGGTGGGCACTTGATGCATTTGGTCGGGTCGGACGGGTCTCGAATCCTGTTCTTCTTGCATCGAGCCTTTCTTTCACAGCTCTCTCCATCTCCCGCTTGTCTGTCAACTAAGGGAAATCGAGCTTCGCGGCCGAGCACGGATTCTGGCTGTGAGATATCGAGATCGGATGCCGTACCCCTGTGGACACGTTGCGAAGGTAAAGTGGTTTCGCTGGGGGTATACGCGGCGATCAAATGATTCGTTAAGAGGAACAGTGCTTTGATGGTCTTTGCAACATGCATGATGAGGGATTGGCAAGAAGCTAGCAGTAGTGTAAAGGTAGATTTTGATGTGAACTGAGAAGGACTCACGTCGATGGCTTTCTTATCAATGTACCTAGGTAAGCTGCCAACATTTCTGATTCGGTGACTGCTTGCGCAGGGCTAATCTAATTTGAGTGACGAAACAGTTAAGATACGTGGCGTATCCTACAATTGATCATATGAGAGGTATGGGACTGCATCGGACGGCTCAATTCTTCGCACGCGATACGTTGCCTCAACCGTTGGCGAGGCCACTCTACTCTCTACTCAGACATCCTGCCACATGATGCACACTGCCACGAAAGCGACGCTGGGGCGGGTGAGCCCAACACAACGAACACTGCCTTCACGAGGCACGGATTCTGCCCTGTGTAAGAACCTGTGGGGTGGAAGCTGCCTATAGCCCCCAACCCACGTAACCTGACCGGGACCTCTATGGCCCCGCTGTGCAACCAAACTTCTCGGCCTGCTTCAGGCCCCATCTTACATACATATTTTCGAAACCAAAAGGTGCAGTCTGACACCTGGGCAGTCTCGGAATTTCGAACTTGCTATATCGAGCGCCATATGCTTACCTACGTACAGTCGATCAAGGAGGACTTCTTTGCTTGTTTGGTTGCCGATGCGAAAGACATTAGATTCACCGTCTAATCACGGTGGGGAAGTCTTGCTAGACTAAATACATGAACAAGGAGCTCTCGGTCACTAAGAGTTCATCAGCGTATAGTTTGATATGGAGCGTTACATTGAAGCGAAAGATCATTACACGAAGCAAAGCGTCTAATCATATCGCTACATTTGCGGCTATAACCATCTGGCGTTTAGACTTCATGATCAAGCTTGCGGAAATCATATCGCGCAGAAACTGATACATGTGGATTGCCAGCTGAACTAAACAAACACCCTTCAAACTCAATCTAAGCAAACAATCGCGATTTCATTCACTTCAGCTCCGGAGCTTCCATGCCATCGACCGACCACAAGTCCCAGACTTCATAACTTCCATAGTTCCCCACGAGGCAGCCATCGTCGCCATACGCCAAGATATCCGAGGGCTTGCAGTCGTCGCCATTGAAGAGGACGACAACGGAGCCAAAATCTTTGTCACCTTCACCTCCGGCTTGTTCAGTTTCATTGTGTTCGATAATGATGGCTGCAGCTACCCCAGCGTTGTCGCGGTTGCAGCCAGTGCTGGCATCGACATCTCGCCAGCCAAGGTTGGCACCGCGGCAGCCCGCAGATTGACTATACGCCAACGCCAAAAGTCAGTAGTTGTCACACATATGGATTATGGAAGGCGATGACTTGCTAGTGATGGAGGCGATAAGCGTTGGCTATGCAGACCAAGTGCTGGAGGAGGAAGAATGCCTTCATGTTCATAGAGACTGTGTATGTGAAAGAGGTGTAAGAGTCGTCTTTGATTGCAACGATCTTTACAGTGAGGATGAGCGGTGGATTGCGTTTGATGCCTGCTCAGGAGTAGATCTGGGCTGTGAAGATTCTTGAAGGATCTCAAGGTACGTTTGTAGCCCCAGGACAAAAGGCATGGGTAACATCGCGTGGCTCGTAGCGCTCATGTGGTTAAATTTGGCAAGTAGTTGGACATGGCATCTATTTGAGAGCATCCCTGTAACTCCTCAGTATGCAAGTAATGTGGGGTTTGGATCGGAAATGAGTATCCGAAGATACCGCACCGCCTTCAGCTCAAGCATTTGGCCCGTGGGGGCACTTTTCATAACCGGGGGCTGGCCCCGTGGCTCTCCCGCAGCGGCACGGCCGCCGTCTTACTCTTGCGTCAGAGTGTTTCGAAACTTCACGTCTTGGCTTCTTACGAGATCTCCATACATGCATTGGAAACATTCTACGCAGATAGCCTGTGCCGCATTTATATCAGCAATTACAAATCTTGACCCCGGGAGGTACTACGTATAGTCCTAGGATCGTGGAATGACTCCGTGCCACTCTATCGCCCCCATTCTGTGCTTTTGTCGGGGATCCTGGAAGCCTATGCCTCAGCTTCTTATGACATCTTCATGCATGCAGTGGGAAGTTTCGTATCATCATCCGAAACGTAAGGCTGACCTCTTCTTGGTCTTACTGAAGACCGAGTGTCGGCGGCTCCTCATATATGCTGACCAATTTTGGCCTTTATTCAATACTGAGCAATCGCCTTTCGACGACAGTGCCTCATAATGCATCCGATACATTCGGAACAGGACGTTTGAGCGTCTGCAGAATCCATGCTGCCAATTTGGTCGATGAGACAAGCGTATACCAATACGGCCCCAGGGTGTTGTGCTACCTAGCATATCTCTTATTCGCCAGAATGGAGAAGCGGAATCGAAAGCGGGAATTGGCCAACTACTTGACCGCTCCGAAGTTCAATGACAGGAACAAGTAACCAAATCAATAGCTGGTTTGAAATCAATGACTAGGTACAGTGTAACTACCATGTAATTTGCAAACGCGTAGGAAAAGAAAAATGCCTACTCTTCCACAGCACCCAGCTCTACCACTAACCTCATGAAGGGCTTGAACTCCTCTGGCATCCAGCTGTGTAGGTCTTCGACATAATGTCGCGGGACTTTTGCCCCATGCTCTGCAAGGTATCGGATCATGTCATCAGATTTATCGTACATAGCCGTCGCTAGTGCTCGTAATGGGGCGGCTCGATGCTCACGGATGTCCGTGTTCCAGTCAGTGACATCTTCGTTGACATCTGCACCCGCTTCTAGCAACATCTTCACAGTTTCCATGTCGTGCTTCTTGACTGCTAGCTGCAGCGTCCCCGAGTCCTTGAACCAGTCGATTCCGAATCTGTCCAACAGGACTCGAATTGACGCAGCCTTCGGCCATGGCTTTTCAAAGGGTGCAAAAAACATTCCTCGGAACCTGCTCACACTTCCTCCATGGTCTATCCACCAGCGAGTGGCGTCAGGTCCCATGCGAACCATACCACACCAGGTTGAATTATGCGTAGTTGAATTGTAGTTTAACTGCTGTGGGTCTGTGCGCCATTGGCAAAAGTCCAGGTCGAACAAGATATCGAGCCATTCCACACCGTTTTTCCCATACCAGCCGCAAAAGGTGTAGGAGTCGAAGTAGTTGGGCGAAAAGCCGATCTCGAAGCAGAAACGGAGTAGCTGGGTGTCGCGTATTTCTGATGAGATTTTCATGAGAGGACGGGAATAGTATATTGGGTCTATGCCAGAAGATTCAAGAAGTTCTCTGATGGCAGGAATGTCGCCTTGAAATGCACTCAGGAAGATCGAAAGGATGATGGTTGTATCTACGAACTCGTGTAAGCAGTGAGACCCACAGCCGGTCATTCTGCATTTTGATCACACTTACCATCGTCTGTGGGCGGCTCATAGTTCTCGCTGAGCAGTAGATCTCGTACTTCTCTCTCGAAGCCCCTCAGATTCCATGCCTTTTTGTCGGCAGACTCTACCGTAGATTTGGGAAGCTTGTAGTAGGCCACAATGTGCCGCAAACATTCTTCCAACGTTCTCTCGCCACTCAATCTCGCATCGCGCGCTTCGCCAAAGCTGGAGAGAGTCGTTGACATTGCGATCGTTATCAGCGATAAGGCTCACTATGATGCCTAGGTATGTGAGAAACGCAAACCTTGGAAGTGAAACAAATTCAAGGCTGGTCGGATCCAGAAGGTGGGAAAGAGGGCGGGAAAGAGAGCGACGAAGATCTGTGTACTTTGAGCGCAGACGTGTACTCCGGGCTTCTACAGTTGATGATTTTGAGAGGTGTGCGGGCGGATATTAACCTGAGGGTGGCACAGTGACGCTAGTGGATTCATAGCTAGCGGTGTACACCTACAAGCGCTTATTTGACATCGGCTTGATGTTGCCTAACATGCCAAGGGTGGCGCATTCCAACCTTGGAGGTACCTAATTAGCCCAGGCGGACTCAGGGCATTGACGTTCTATCTATGTTACTACCCGATGCACGGAGAAGGCGTCGCGCGCGCAAGGATTTAGGGAGACAGAAGACCTCGGGAGGGCTGTTTCAACCCCGAATCCCGATATTTCAAGAATTATGTGTGTGACGCCTCAAGGTCGCGTCTCTTGGTGAGCATTGGGGGCTGTAGGGCTTTGCGATACCTCCCTAGGTAGGTAGGATGTGTTGAATCTTCTTGAGATGTGGCCATGTGCCACGGGACACATGCCTGCCTTTGTTTCAACGCGCGATTGCAAGGCAGATAGTCAAACTGGAGTTCCTGTACTATCAAGATACCGTGGCCAAAGATATCGACACAAGTCTCGCTGAAATCCTTGCTGAGAACTAGGTATATCTTCTCTCAACTCCTATCAGCATTGGGTAAACGTACACTGAATCAACACTTGTCGCCTGGACTGCGTCAATCCTTACGTTACTGCGTATATTTTCATCCTGCCATCGCTACCACGACATGAAGACCACATGGCTCACTATCCTGTGCTGGACTTACATCCGGCTGTCCACATCTTTCCCTGTCGATGACAGGCCCGCATTTACACCATGGGATCTGGCGAAAAGAGAGATCGAAGCAGCTATCTTCTCCAATCCTCTGGGACCCCAATTTGGAGTACCTGATGAGACGTGTCGTGGCACGCTGGAGGGCCCCAACACCGGTAGTTGCTGGAAGATGGCAGATGTCACAGTTGATGTGAGTAGTTTTACCCTCTGAATCTTTTTAATCCAATGACTAAGCTACCTAGAAATTCATCGCAAACCGAAAGCCCGAGGCCAACGAATGCGAGGTGCCCTGCCTTTTCTACACCTCGAAACTCACGGGAGCGGCAGAAAGGCTGGCCAATTTTGTTCTGAAGGAGGTACTTTTGACGGGGGCTGCGGAAGGACCGCGCAAGTACCAAACTATCTGGGTACGTCTCGCTAGGTAGAGTACAACCACGCGAGAATGCTAACTACTCACAGGAGCTACATCCGCCAAAGTTCTATCCAAACAAGAATGACCTGGACAAGACTCCCGAGGCCAAGTGCATCTACCAGGACCAGAGGGATCAGGACTACGACGCGAACTTCGATGGTTGCCAACGGCTATACTTCAAGTCAATGTCGAAGGCCATGGCAATGGAGTGCAAAGGCGAGGTCTTCTTGATGACCAATTCAGATCTGAGCGGTACTCGCCCCGAAGGAAAAAAAGAAAAAGTTCCAGTGGATGGAATTTGGTGGCAGGTTGAATTTCCGACACTGATCGATGATGCTCGACCCGCAGACAAGAAAATCACAAAAGTCAGTCCAGAGCCACGCCGTAGGTACCAATTCATGGATGTTTAGGTTAACAGTCCCTCTAGATCAGTTATCTTCAAGTACCTTTTAAAGACCTTGGAACGCTAACTGCAGAAGAGAGAAGCAAGCCCCCCGAGATTGAGGCGAGGGGGGAGTATTGGCCTAATGGAGTTGGCAACGAGCATTTGCAAAGCTTTCGCAACGAACAAAGTCCGCAATCGACGCCGAGCCCGCAATCAACCCCCACTCCCACCCCCGAGGCAGCCAATCCGGTTGAGACCCCTTCCAGCGGTCTTGTCAGGAGGGCAGATCGGACAGATGAAGAAGTCCTTGAACCTGATGACGAAGGTTATCCTTATCATTACTCCATCGATGAGATCTATGACTGGTACAAGGCAGCAGCGTGGTAGAGGCTGGGAAAGGAAGACAGGCAAGAAGATCGAAATTGGTTTGGTGGAAGGCCGCGACACTACAACGATTTTGCTGAGTCTCTTATTCCTCGAGTGGTATCTGGCGATGTAACTAGACTTTCCATATCTTTTTATCAGCTGGCGTTTATTGGTACGTGAATAGATTCGATGTCTGCAATTCGCTCAAAAAGCCATGTTAAACCCGGCTCAGCCTATCACATTGCACGTTGGCGTGCACCGCCACAAACGCCACGTCTGCATCTATAATTGACAACCGGCTGAGTGGACGACGCGAGCATCTACGTGTCAAGTCCACCGCGTATAGCGGGCATAGTCGCTGGGTGACCGAAACAAGTCTCCAGTATTTGCCCGACGTACGACGGGTCGGGGCGATATGGCTGACATTGCGGGGTGAGCGGAGGCTTAGCTTGGGAAGTAGATATGTTGCACCAGCTATAAGTAGGAACGCCAGCACTATCGACACCAACCTTGCAATCTTTACTTCCTCTTGTTCGACATATACCAAGCTTTCCAGCAAATCTTGAATCCTTGGATCTCCACTCACAATGCCAAACGTCCGAATCGGCCCGACACATGAAGGCCGTGCTCGAGGACGCATGTTCTGGTCGCCTGCAGAAGAAGGGTCATGCGTGCGAAAAATGGAAACAGTTCGTCGGAAGGGCATCGTTGAAGGACCTAACGGATACCCGGTGGTTGCAATCTCGAGACGAGCGGAGGAGAACAACCTGATTTACCCAAATCCGGACATCTCGAGCACACGCTCTTTCCGGCTTAACCAACGTCTGACAATACCAATTTCGGCAAAAGGTCAAAATCTGGATGAGCCAAAACGTAGTACTGGAGACCTGAACCTTGAGCGCACAGTCACGTCGACACAAGCCGCGCGGAGCGATGATGTTGGGAGGAACGCCGCTCCAAAAAGAGCCTCGAAGAAGTCGTATGAACATTCCAGAGTTCTCCAGTCTCCTCAGCCGGATCTCGAGGTGGCAGGCGTGAAAGAATGTACTAGCCGACCCGAGATATCTTCGCCAGATACCACAGCAGATACCACAGCGCGCAACTCTTTCATCGGCGATGTATGGTTGTCGTTCGACCATATGATAAAGCACGTCGCGGCAGTATCTGAGGGGAAAACGACGCCTAAAAAGACTGTTGTGAGGCGTCCGTTGTCCCGGTTCTGGGTTGATGCAAAAGGTGTGATGGCTGTAGCTATTGCGTCGATGTAGAAAATCGGAGTTGCTGCTTAATGATGAAGTGTCTTGTTCACACGCTGGACTCTTGGTGAGCTTGAATCCAAGCAATGGCGTTACACACACGGTCTAGTGCTATTGGTCGCCTGTTGGTATCCTTTAGGTCTTCCCTATAGGATTCGAGTAACTGGTGGGACGCTGAAAGCTCCTCGTTACGCAGCGCCAGAACTGTACGTATAAATATCCAAAGTGATTCTTGTTCGGCTTCGAGACTGATTGCATAGTTCAGTATATCGCTTACCAGCTCCCGCTGTAGCGATGTAGCTACGATAGGCATCAGATACAGCAGGAACGACCAACCAGAGATATCGCTTGGGTGTTTGCAGCACCAATCCTTGACGCTGTGGGCGGCATGGTGAACCATCTCGCTGCTATCAAGCTTAGATACCAGCCTACGAGCATACTGCCAAGCGTGGTAGTTCTTCGGATGCTGCTCTCCAGACTTGTAAATAGCGGCGAATTCGCTTTCCCAAAACGTTGCTATTTGTTCTTGCGATGCATCTCCCAGTTCTACGAGTCTCAAAGAGTCCACGATGCTGGAGCGGTGGTACCACAGGGTCGGCGACTTGGACTGACGATGAAGTGGAGAGGTAAGTATGCTGTTCAGAAAGCACAGCTCTTGTCGTAATGCCCTATGGTATGGAGTGCCAACATGAAGACCATGAGTTTCTTTTAGCTGGAACAAGGTGCGTTTTCGATAATTTGCTGCAGTGAGATGCTCTGGGTCGAATAGAAGCATGACCTTTGTCGCTTGCAATGTCTGTGCAGCCGTGATAGGATCACGTGCCTTGCTATGCACGAAGAAATGTTGGCGGGCTTCCAGGTAGGCTAACGCAAGTATCTTCTTCGGCACTCCCAGACTCATTCCGTCTTGCATGGTGATGCCATCCGGTGGCTGTATAGCAGGAGGTAGAATCTCGATCTCGATAACTTCGTCTGCATGCTCCTGGAAGTACTCGCTCAACGAAGCAAAAGCCAGCCTCTGGAATTCCTCTTGCTGCCCGCATTTGGTCGTCATGGCGGAAGATCTGATTTCGTGGGTTCAAAGTGAAAGCTGCCCAGCTGTCGCAGAAGGAGGACCCTTGCGCACGACCCCACCGCGTTAGCTTGCAGCTCCCAAAACCACCTGGGCGCCATTATGACATAACCCTTGACTTCAACACGATGCAGTGAGAACACGCTGTACCGTGATACTGGTCCCCATCCCTCAACATGCCGTCTCTCCTCCTGGTTGTCTTCACCCTGCAGCTGTTGCTCCACATCATCAACACCGTGGGCGCATCCACAGTCAACGACCTGGTAAGCCCCGCATCCGAAAACAAACACGCAGGAACCTGGGACTGACACATGGCAGCTATGGATTCTGTACAATAAGCTGCCGACGCCAACATCTGGGTCTGCGCAGAGATGCCAGGCCCTTAAGAAGGACATTGTGCGCTTGAAGCGCGAGCTGGGCAACACGTCGCCTCAAGACAACTTCTCCAAATGGGCCAAGCTCGACAGGCAGCACAACAAGGCTATGGCTGAGTTCCAGAAGCTAGGTAAGCGCTCCTGCGCGGAGACGCTCCCACCGGACACGTCAAGTGCACTTGCTAACGCTCTTCTCTCCAGATGGTTCCCTGCGCTCGCACCAGTCCACCTTCACTTCCGCCGTCTCGACCCTGCGCTGGCTTGGCACCCAAGGCCTTCGATTTGTTCTACAGTTCTGGTTCTCCAAGTCGCCTATGTTCTGGGTACCTGCTGGGTGGGTGCCATACTACGTCGAATGGGTGCTGAGTTTCCCGCGCGCACCTCTGGGAAGCGTGAGCATAAACATATGGGGTATCGCGTGCGCAAGTATGATCGCGCTGGCAGCAGAGGCAGTAGCTGCGGTTTGGGTACTGGTCATGCGCAAACCAACACCTGTGGCGGCAGAGAAGCAGCGCGAGAAGCACGAGGCTATGGCCTTCAGCGCAGACCAGAAGCCTGCAGAGAAGAAAGAATTGTGAGCGCGCTACGTGTCCGATTCCGCGTGTATATTTCATACAACTTCAAATCAAGTAAAAATTCAATGTCTCCCAACAAAAGACGCAAAGTCGTCGTGGCTTTCGCTCAGACACTGCAACACGAGTGGGATGATCTTGGCAGATCCTTTGGCTTCTTCTAGGCTACAAATTGAACTCGTGATCGTGGAGAGTAGCGTATCACCGAGTCTTCGAAAGAGCCATCTACTAATCTAGATTCCTTGACTAACATCCTAAAAAGAACGACGCGGTGCACGGCAGCTGGCATGAAACTGCATCGTCCAACCGCATGCGTATAATCTCGTTGGAAGCGAAGGGTTTTGTTTGGTGTGGAATGGAAGCTTGAGAGGGAGAAAAGTGAAAATTCCGCGCTAACAGCTCGCGGCCCGACAGTGCCCCCGAAGAGCGCTTACCATATTTGGACTATCGCGTCTCATTGGCACGTATAGACAATGTGAAGAGCTCCATGAACTTAAGGAACGAGAAATTCTGCGTCTGAAAGTCAAAGGTTGCTAGCTAGAAGTTCAACGGAATATTTGTCTATAGCTAGTTCTCCCACTCGCTCCCTCGGATTATGTCACGTGCGTTTAGACCGTGCCCGAGGTCCAGGGCTGACCGGCTTGAAAATATCGCAGTGTACATCTGCCGTGTCTCGCGTGTCGTCGATCGTGCCTTACATGAACATGATCGACTATTCTGGCCGTTGATCACCACCATTCAATAGCATACATCCTGGTTTAGCTCTGTCAGCTACAGTGTAGTCGCTTGGAATGCAACACGGGACGGAGATGGGTGTCACCTCGTGTCGTGTGCTGCTTGCCTAACCGCACCAGGTAGAAAGTCTGCCGAAAACGAAGTGAGTCAGCCTCCGACTCATTGTCGTCGCGTTTCAATGCGCTTTGACAAGGCCAAGCGAGGGAAGCCGCCAAAGTCCAATAATGAGGCTCTACCGCGTCTTGTGGTGGGTCTGTGCACGTCTTCCCCATATCCGCATGAATGGTTCAGCGCTCGCCGGTTCCAGGCCGATCCAAATCTGGCTGTCGTGTGTGGATGAGAGTTCCCCGCAATGTGGGATGAGATTGCTAGGTGCAGTGATCGCTCAAAGGTTGCGCACCTCGCTCTGCTTACGTGCACAGGGCTTCAGTAGGGTTTGCAGAGGTGTAGACGGCGTCTGGGGAAGCATGATCGCGGCTGGTTTCTCGAGTCAAGTGCGTGCTGGCGTCCCCCTAACCTCGCTGGTTTCATGCTGCGGCCGCGAACAAACTTCGTCGACATGATGGCGGCCGCTGTTGCATGTGCCACCTGTCGCGCCCAATGCCCTCACCCGCTGCATCTAAAGCTGCTCACACAAGGCGAAAGCCGAGAAACTTCGAGACTCGAGCGCACGAGAGCCATGGCCCACGGACGAGGACTGGCTCCGTGACCGGCCTAACGGCGCCCAGTGGCAGCGCCGGCATTTCGGTGAGATTGTACCGGGACAGGCGCTGTGACGAAATGGCGTTTCTCTCCCCACACCGTGGACAAATGCTCCTCCCAATGACGTTTCGAGGATTCAGACGCCGGCCCAAGGCCGTCTAATGCGTTTACAAGTCGCGCACTTAGCGATGCGCACTCCACTTTGCTCGCCGCTGCTCAACCGTCCGCCTTTCCTGGGGTCGATAGTCCCTTCACCGCATCGACCCGCGTGGCCCTGCACACTGCTCGACTCGACGCAGCCGTCTCCTACACCACCCGTTGTCGGCACCCTGTCCATCGCTCCTTCCCAGACCACACCCATCGCCCGTATACGACCCGTCGACGAGGCTGGCGCCAGAGAATGCCGTGGCCTGAATATCAGATCCCGAGACGACCGCGCCCGCGATAGAACCAACGCTCTCCGCAAACATTAGCCCGTCCTCCTCTATGGCATCGATATACACGTTATAGCGCGGCGCACGACATGACGGATCTTGACTTCACCAATGGCGACTTCCCTACGCGAGGACCTGTGGTACTGGGAGTGTCGGCTGCGACGCTTGCCATATGCTCCGTTTTCGTTGGCTTTCGTCTCATCTCCCGATTTCTGGTGGTTAGAAAGCCGGGATGGGACGACTACACAATGATCCTGGCCTGGGTCCTCGCGTTTGGCGCATCCTTCTCGATATGCTACGGCACTACCAAAGGCCTGGGGCGGAAGCAAGAGAACATACCCGCGCAATGGCAAGAGCCCATGAAGAAGTCCTCCTTTGTCTTCTCGGTACTCTACGTACGTACAGGACTTTGTATACATAAGCCGCCAGCACTAAATCCCCACAGAATCCAGCTTTGATGGCCACCAAAACCTCGATCCTCCTCTTCTACCTCACGCTGTCCAAGACACACAAAGTATTCCGATGGGCCACCATTGCCACCCTTGTCGTCGTCAATGTCGGCGGGCTCGCTCTGACAATCCTGAATCTATGTCAGTGTCGTCCTGTTGGCGCCGCTTGGGCTTCTCCCGTTCCCGACACTGCTCACTGCACCAACATCGTCACGATATACCTTTCCTCGGCACCGCTCAACATCATCACCGACATAGCCATATTATTCCTGCCGATGCCAATACTCACTAGTATGCGGCTGCCGAGGAAACAGAAGGTGATCCTCGTTATTACCTTTGGTTTCGGTATCTTTGTCGCAGTCGTCGATGTCATTCGTATCGCATACCTGCAAGATGCTCAGCGCGATACTCTTGAAGCCGCACAACGGCAGTCTTCCGAATCTGGCAACGAACAGAGGAACACTGGCGATTTTGCGTGGTTCTCATCTCTATCATTTATGTGGAGCACCATTGAGATCAATTTGGGTATCATGTGTGGATGCGTTCCCGCCCTGAAACCCCTAGTCAAGAGATTCCTACCTAGCTGGGTCATCGACCATACTATGCGCGACAACACTACCCATACAAGCGATGAAGCTGTACTTCATCCCGACATACTCGATTCTCGGCGGCGCTCAGACCCCTTAACGCCTCCCGCTTCCCCACTCAGCAAACCTCCTCTCGCTCGTAGAAGCGGTGGTGATGAGCCGATGGGTATGATGGACTTCTTGACTACGCCTGACATGACCGAATTGCCTCAACTGAGACCGTCCAACACCACTGTTACCTACGCCACCACCACCCGCACCCAGCGCCCACCAACATTTTTCGACTTCGTCAACACTGGGCAGAAAAAGAATATCACCCTCCGGAGCAACCGAGAAAGTGTATATCCCGTGATCATGGTAACCATACTGTTCTTCATTTGGGGGTTTGCCTATGGTTTCCTGGACGTACTCAATTCGCGCTTTCAAGAAGTAGCTCGCACGAGCGAGTGGGAGACAGTTGGACAACACAGTGCCTATTATGTTGGCTACATTGTGGGACCTTTGACTTTTGGACGGATCGTCTTCAAGGCCTGGGGGTTCAAGGCATGCTACATGGTCGGTCTTTCAGTCTATGCTTGCGGAACCCTCGTCTTCTGGCCTTCAGCTGTGCTCAATTCCTTCCCAGCGTTCCTGATCTCAAACTTCATTACCGGTGCGGGACTATCGACATTGGAACTTGGCGCAAACCCATTCATAGCACTATGCGGACCGCCTGAGTATGCGGAAGTGCGATTGAACCTCTCACAGGCTGTTCAGGCTGTCGGCACCATTGTTTCCCCACTTTTGGCGAAGAAAGTGCTCTTCCCCGCCAACGCTGCTAGCCTCATTGATGTGCAGTGGACATATCTCGGCATATCTCTCTTCAACATCGCTCTTGCAATCATATACTTCTACGTACCGCTTCCTGAAGCTACCGACGAAGAGCTAGAACTAGCCAGTCAACGCACTGTGCCATTTGCCCGCGAGGCCACCATCAAGATTGGGTCCAAGCCAGTCAAAGTTCTTTGGATTGGTCTGAGTATGGCAGTCTTATCTCAATTCTGTTACGTTGGCGGCCAAGAATCCACCTCCACTTCGTACAAGGAGTACCTCAACCGCGTCGCGCCCTCCGTGGATTATGTGTCACAGCAAGCCTATGGACACACTGCTTTCGCGGTGTCTCGGTTCCTGGCAGCCTTCATCGACATTTGGGTAAAGCCACGCTTTAGTCTTCTGGTTTTCTACCTGGGCGCAATTATAACCGCTGCCGCAGCAATGCATGCTTCTGGCAGTGGCGGTGCAGCCATCATTGTCATCGTCATGTTCTTTGAAGGCCCGCTTTTCCCGCAGATTTTCGCACAAGGGATACGGGGTATGGGCAAGCACACCAAAGACGCTTCCGTACTTCTGACGGCAGCTATCGGTGGAGGGGCCGTTATCCCACCGATAATGTATGCCGCGCTCAAGATCAAAAACGCACAATACGCTTTCTGCGTCATTGCAGCGGCTTACGCTGCTGGCGCATTGTATCCCATATACCTCAACTCACTTGCCGCGTCTCGGCAGTTATCTGATCCCGTACGCGACGAAAAGACCAGGAGAGAATCAGAAGCCGAGGGTCGGCGGCGAGGGTCGATGAGCGAAAAGCTCAGAAGGTGGAGTAAAGTCAAGAAGAGGCTGAGTGTAAATAAAGAGGATGAGAGATTACCTTCGGTTGAACATCGCGAGAGGCGCAGTTGGCCTGAAGGCCTGGCGCCGCGGAGCGATAGCCTAGCCATCGAGCCCGTGCAGACTCGTACACCGAGCTCATCAAGCTCTGTGAGTAGTAGTTGAAGGCTCTGCTTGAGAGGGCTTGTATTTATATCGCATACGGAGTTATAGGGAGATACCACGGGACTGTTGACGGCTTAGCATGGGTGGCTAATTCACACATGGAGTAAAATGCAATCATTTTTACTATACCATCATCAAGACTATGTCTTCCGACTCATATTGCATTAGTGGTGTGGAGCAAGAGAATGTGGGCATACTCGCAGAAGTGTCCGCGCGCATAATCTGGATGCCTCCCCTATGCTCAACTCACACTCTTGTGCCACCCATCCAATCTCTCACATGCCATGTCAACCAACCAGATGGCAGCGAGATCCGCCTGCTGTACCACTCTCTTGAATGGAGACCCAATACGATTTTCCGGATTTCGTAGAAGTTGGAAAAGGAAGGTACATTTCCCATTCCCATAACGTAGCTTTCAGGTTCAGTACTCAGGTGAACAACCGGAACCACCTACACACACAAGCGCGACATGTTGTAGACGTTTATCATCACTTGAGTATCCTGAATATGTGCAAAGAAGGTCTATCTGTACTTTACTTCGTCGAGGGAGCAGCTCATTTCGTGCACTCCAGCCTTTAAAGTATGCCTGATGGCATGTCGATATACTATAAGTCACGACACGTTGTATGCTTTTGCGATTGAGTATGCATACTAAGACAGCTGGCAGTTGCTTTACGATGCACACACTTCCATGCATCAAAGAATAGGCATGCGAGAGAATGCCAAGAAAGCTCAATATATTCTCAATGTATGAAGAAACGCTTAGAATCGCTATCATTATGCAAAAAGTGTACAAGATCTCGACCAACAAACGCCTTGCCATGCTTATGCACATTGAAATCCCTCCTGTGTATTATATACCAACTATCCAATTAGACGACTTCAACCGTCGAAGAAGGTCATAGAATTAAGGCGGCAACAATCGCAACGACGAAGCCAAAGTACGTAGCGCTGGGCTGGAGCAGCACGTTGCCCAGAGACGCAGTGCCGCAACACTCGCGGTCATATGTAACGTTGTTTGCACGGGCGGCGACTTCGAAGACGGACCCGTTGATGGGGCCTTGGTTGTAGAAGTCGACGAGGAGGAAGTTTGGTGGGCGGTCCCAGTTGGCTGTGGGGGGATATGTTAGTAAAATGCAAGATAGAAAATGGGTCAGGGGATACATACTGGTGCAGGTGTTAGTCATGCGACCTAGACTACCTTCTCCTTCCAGCGCATTGGTCTGGTTGATCTCCGCTACGTTAGGCACGAGGAGGTTCAGTCCAGCGAACGAGATCTCGGCGTTCAGGTTGTGGTTCGCCATGTACATGATTTCCCTCATCTTTTCTTCGGACATGCCCTCGGGTCTACCCAGCGTGCAAGGGAAATCGGGGTCGGTTGGGGAGAAGGGCGTCTCCCACATGTTGTAGAACTCCCAAAGCAAGTATGGCACCGCATCGGTGTCGAAATTGTAGTCAATGAAGGTGACGACACGGTTGTTGTGGAGGATGAGTTCGCCCAGCGTTGGCCAGTCGTTGAGCTCCATGGCTGTCTTGGGAGGCTGGTAGACGTATTCGATCAAACCGGACTTCTCGATCGCCTCGGCGAAGTTGGAAGATGTAACGAGTGGCTTGCCGTCATCGGTCGTTTCGTCCCAGTTGGAGTTGCCGAAGAGAATCGTGATGACGTCGAAGGGGTGATCTGCTACCCATGCCGTGACTTCGCGGAGGTAGTCTTCAACGGTACCGGCGTTGAGCAGGTCGCAAGAAGAATGGCAGTAGTAGAGCGTGCCGTTGACGTAGTGGGCTGAGCCCTGCAGCATGCGGATGCCATCATTCAGTTGTTGCGTCACGCCGTACTCTTGGTTGCGCGCAATGTTGTTCTTTCGCGTGTAGGGCGAGTTGTGCGCAGCTACTTCGGTAATATTGGAATACTTGCGGTTGCAGAACTCGAGGTAGTTGTTGCAAGGCTGAGTGTTGGAGGGCAGCGCCGGAGCGGTCTCGGTGCCAGTCGGTGTCAGTGTTCTGTTGTTTCCTCCGATGTTCGTAACGGGTGGTGCGCTGCTTGTGATGGAAGCCGTCCCGTTGGACGAGGCTGTGCTACCAGACGCTCCAGACGACGCGGCCGATGTTACTGTCGCAAAGGTGCTGCCCTCGAAATCCGAGGGGACGGTTGGGTTTGGAGCCGCATCATCGCCCGTCAGACTCCGCTGCGACCCAGATAAAGTTATGACTGAGGGAGAGACCGAGGCCGAGCTGCTCTGGGCTGCAGTGAGGCCAGCAAGCCACACCATGGAAAGTATCGCCCCTTTCATGATCGCCGCAGGGGTGATATGTTCTTTAAATCCACGACCGAATTATGGGCTCCCAGGCAGGAACAGATATCGGCTATGTCAATCCTGCTCAAGCGATAGTCGTGATGGTGCAGTCGTTCCGACGTATGCAGTGAAAGCGCCGGCGACTTTGGTTGCTATGCAGTGCAGCGCAGTGCCGTCCGATCCGAGTACGGGGTAAATGAGTATGGGCTACAACGTGGTATGACAAGGTCGCGACCGAGTTCCCCAGGTGAAAGGATGCGGAGAGAATGCAATGAAGAAGCAATACTTTTTGGAGAAGAGCCGCTGCCGTTGAGAAATCCCAGACGACGATTGTTTTCCAAGCGCTCGAACGGACCATCCGGGACTCCCTAGTTAGGCAGAGTGCCATGACGTAAGGCGCTGTTTTAAGGTTGCAAGCCACGCGGGTGTCTGCTCTCATCCAACGATCTGCAACAGCCGCGCCACCATTTTAGCGCGACACGTCATGTGCGCGAGTCTGGAACCATCAAATTGGGTGGCTGCAAGAATGGCCCACATGGAGATCTCTAGGCATATCAACAATGATTCATTGCATACATGCGTGAGAATGTATCTGTCACTCGGGATCGTTAGGCTATAAATGAGTTTCTGCATTGATGAACGACGCAATCCATGCATATTCAGGTACATGTTAAGATGGGCAAGTATACCGCCTAATCGAGACTCCACACGCGTGCGCGACCATGACTACCTCTCACCGCTGGGTACATTCTTCGTGGGATGGCTCTATGCACTAGACGAACCACCGCTAAAGAACTCTTCAAATCGACTCTTGCCCTTCAGCTGCTCAATCTCCCTCTGCAACACATCGATCCGATAATTCTTAAACGCCTTCTCAATCCTCTCCTTGCTGTCCGGGTCTTTGGTCACGGTCCTTGCTGCGCTTGCTGTACCTGTCAAAAGACCCAGTTCGCCTCCAAGGAAGAGACCGCCAACAGAAAAGAGGAAGTAGGTCGCTGCATCACCCCAGCGCGAAGGTCCGGAGATCTGTGCTGTGATGTCTGGAACAGGCTCGGTACGGCCGTCAGCGAAGCGTACTTCTACGGGCTTCTCCATAGCGCGGAAAGCTTTGAAGTACGCAAGGCGCATGCTTCGCAGTCGATATGCTGTGTAGATTCCCAGACCCAGTCCGACTGCCGACGCGAAACCAGCGTGCATCGACACCTTCCCACCTGCACTTTTGAGTACTTCGCGGTCTTGTTGGTTGAGGCTATTTTGAATAAGCTATCGCCAATCGATGCGCAAATCTGGCGCTACTTACTCATGTTGCAGATGCTCCTCTGCCAGCTGACGGAGATCTTTCGACCTACGGTCACGGAATGCTGCTAGTGACTCAGCCATGCTATTGTTCTGGGTAATCGTAGATATAGAAAACTTGATAGTAGGATCAGATGAGGTTGAGTGACTGGAAATTGCCGGCACTCGAGGGCTTTTTTAACTGAATTTTGTAGTTCATGATAAGTTCGTGATGCTTCTAGTCGCAACGATGACATCATGCGGACATCGCGGAATCTAACCGGGAAAGCTTCAACAACACGCGGGCACGTGGAAAGACAGACAGACAGGCGGAGAACCTGGTTCACTTCAATTCAGGGTCCAGAGACCAAGCCATGCTACGTACAACCAGAAAAACAAACTTGCTATGCTCGTCGTGCTTCCGTCAAACGCCTTGCTCAGAAGAGCTCGTAAACGCCGTGCGACCATCAGAGGTCGCCTAAGGATATCGCCCGTACAAATGTTCAGATTTGAAAACAAGAAGATGCTCTATAGTTTGGGCTTGACTTCTGGTTCTGCAGCACTGGCTTCCTGGTTCCGTGTGACGTTACCGGTGCCTGCGCCTTCTCCGAAGAAGATGACCTCGACGGTCAAGTCGTCCCTGTATCGTCGCGAAAAGGGACTTGGGAGGGTGAGGAGAGCACTCAGTTGATCCTGATCCTTTCCGCCAAGTGCATTCCGAACAAGATGCGTAGCTGCGTTCTTGTCCTCAACCACGAAGCGCTCGTTCAGGCTAGTCTTGGTACCCCACTGTTGCTGACGGATTGGTGCACGTTGACCCTCTCCCTTCTCCGCTGCCTTCTGCTCGACAGGTAATTGCTTTTGTGTGGACCACCAGCTCTTGAGCCATGACTGAGTCTGTGAACCTTGACTGGCCGGGTTGCCCTGAGCGTCGAGCCACTGACCAACTAAGCCTACGACCTCCTCGTTGGTAAGCATCTCCCATAGACCATCAGTAGCCATGACGACGAAATCACCCTTTTCGGGCTCTACCTTGGTAGTTGTGATGACCGGCTCGGCAGTGACGTATGGAGGAGTCTTAAGTAGTGTTGAAGGCGATCGCGAAAAGTAGGACTTCTTGAGCTCGGCGTTGGTCTCGGCCGACCACTTGTAGGATGCATCTCCAAACGCCCGGGATGGTTCCAGTCCACCTAGAATGCGACCATTCCGGACCACGTTGGGCTCACCCGGATGCTCTCGACGCAACCGCTCAGCCTCACTTGTAGTTCCACCGGTTTGGTCTTCAGACAGGGGAGTCACGGTCCACTTGCCATTGGGCCCTCGTCGACCCAGAATCGCGCGAGAATCACCCGTGCAGGCGACTCGCAGGAGCTTGGATCGGCTGTCGTAGAAGGAGAGGAGTGCGCAGGAACCGGAAAGGGCGGGGGCCAGCAGCTCAGCAGCAGCGATCTTGGACTGAGCCTTGCGGACTTTCTTGACGGATTCGTGTACGATCTCGTTGTCTAGTTTGGTGAAGCCGGTCTTGATGGCGCGGTCGATAGCATCGGGGCTCGGGAAGTGGAGCGCAGGGTCCTCGACGGCCGACTTGTAGGTCGTGTTGAGCTCGCGTGCGACGTAGGAGATGAGGGTCTGACGAAGCTTGGCTGAGGTAACCCAGCCACTGTCGAGGTTAGCACTGGCGAGACTCGCGACCACGATCGACACCTACCTGTGTCCGTCGAAAACGCCCCAGAACATCCAGTCGCTGGCCGAGGCGCCATTGTCCGTGGCTGCCAGGTTCGATGGCACCTCGATGATCTTCTCGGCATGGTCGTCTTCGATGGGGGAGTTGCTGGGAATCTGCACCACGTCGTACCGCACAACGCCCTGCCCTCTGCCCACGAGCCACGACTCCTCGTTCTTCCTCAGCTTGGCTGTGGCTTGGTCGGGGTCCAGCATCTCCAGCACCTTCCTGCCGTAGTCATCCGTCTCTTTCGAGATGGGCCCGGTGATGGTTCCTGTGTAGAGCTCGCCGGGACCAACGACCAGTGCCTTGCGCGCGGGCTCGCTGCTTCGGGCGCTGGTCAGGTTCCTGGCTTGGTCGGCGGGGGACTGCGCGTGTCCTGTCGAGGATTTGTCGTTGTAAGCGTAGAAGGCACCCGAGGCGACGGCGGCAGCCACTAGCGCACCTGTGAGGGCGCGGAACTGCATCGACGACGCGAGGACGATGGGCGAGGTGCGCTGGCGGTAGTGATGATGAGCCCGGAAGCCTAGGCCATTGCTCGGCGCAAAGACGCCGACACGGCTGCGGGCAAGCTTGCGCAGGCACGGGCGACGTGCAGAGCGAAGCACTTGGAAGGCAGCCCGCATCTGGCAGGTGGGGTGAAGGGGATTGGGAGTGAGGTTGGCAGCAACAGTAGTCCACGGGTGAAATCATGGTGCAGGCTGGGAGAACGCCTAGTCCAAGCGCTTAAAGCGGGGACCCAATCATCCCCTGCGAACAATCTAAACCACTACGACGTCATCACGTTACCCCAAACACTTAATTTTCGACACTCCAAAATGTCTTCGCGAGCGTTGCGGCGGGCCCAGCGGGAGCTTGAAGAGAAGCAGATACAGGAACAACTTGCCCAAGATGACCAAGACGAGGAAGAGTCGGAGCCTGAGGTAGCCCCCAAGACAAAGGCGAAACCCAGCCTGTTTGCTATGTTGGGCGATGGTGGCGACCAAGATGAAGAAGACGAAGAGGATGAAGGAACAGATCAAGACGCCGTGCGCAAGGCCGAAGATTCCGATGATGACGCGGAGGTCGAGCCTATGCCTGCATCGAAACCCTCAAAGAAGAGCAAGAAGAAGAAAAAGAAGGCCAAAGCCAAGGGCAAAGCTGCAGAGGCCGACAAGCCCTCCGCCTCTACCACAGGAAAGTCAGATCTTGATGAGATTGATCGGGCATTGCTTGCCCTCAACCTCTCTATGAACAGCCAAACGGGACCTGGATCAGATCAACACGACCCCATTAGCGAAGAGAAGAAGCAACTCTTCTCTGTGTTGAGTGTGGACACGCAACATTTACATGCCGCAAACGAGATGAAGAAGCTCTTCGGTCGAGCCGCTGTGCAAAGTGCCGAAGACGAGGCGCGGCCTCGACAACGTGGTCAGCAAGGTGGCATCGCTGCTGCGATTGCAGGACGTAACGCTCCTGGTAATCGCAACCTTGCATCATTGGGACTTCGACGTAACATCTTCATCCAAGGTAAAGAGGAGTGGCCACGGGCTACATCTGGCGGCCTCGGCATGGAAATTGTCGAGAAACGAGCGGACGGCACTGTCGAATACAGATTCTTTCACAACAACATGTATCAAGATGTTCAGCGGCAGTTCCAGATTTGTGTCGCAAGTATGGATTCTGAGCGTATGATCCAACTCTTGCACCACAACCGTAAGTTGAGCCACTTTTCATGTCATATAGAGTACTAACGTCATTCACAGCCTTCCACATCTCCACTCTGCTTCAAGTCTCAGAGATCGCTAAGCAACAGCGAGAACCTGCTGCTGCGTCCGAGATGTTGGAGCGCGCTCTCTTCACTTTTGGGCGCTCCGTACATTCTACCTTCTCTGCGAACCTGGCGGCTGGTAAAGCCCGGTTGGACTTTCGCCGTCCAGAAAACCGCGAGTTCTGGCTTGCGGTATGGCGCTACATCAATACATTGGGTGTTCGTGCGACGTGGCGAACATCGTTCGAGTGGGCTAAGATGCTACTTGCAATGGACCCTGAGAATGATCCTTACTGTCTTCGACTCCTCATCGATCAACTAGCCTTGAGAGGGCGAGAACCGGGCGCCTTAGTCAACCTGGTTGAAGCAGACTACCTCCAGCGGCAGTGGAAGGTTCCACCGAATCTCGCTTTCAGCGTTGCGCTTGCTCACGATCGCATCAAAGAGCCACAGGAAGCACGCTCAACGTTGCGCAACGCAATCAAAGAATATCCATGGCTAGCAGCGCGGCTATGCAAAGAGCTGGATATTTCCCCGATACCAAAACCTGTATGGGGAAAGGAACCAAACGGCCAGTATCAAGAGCTGCTATGTCAGCTGTATGTACCCAAGGCGAAAGACCTGTGGAACAACACCGAAGGGACGACTTTGCTAGTGGAGATGTGCTACGCTTTTGAAGAAGAGCTGGGAGCAGGAGAGGATCCATACTGGCTTGCGCAGATACCAGAGACGGACCTTGCTCGACATGTCATCCTTTCGGATAACCAAACGCTTATGGCCCTTCTTGACCCTCGCGTCAAGTCCAAATTCACATCCGTTTCCGATCCACTAGCTCCCGATGGCAATATAGCGTCGTACGATGCTTCTGTAGCTGGGCGCCCTCATGACCCCGCCTTACGAGAACGGCTGCTCGCCGAACTTGAGCAGTTTCGATCCTACTTTGAACGCATAGGGATAGATGGGCTTATGCGGCAAGGTGAGGACGGGCAGGGCTTGGTACGGGCGCTGGAAGCAGCGGGCAGCAACATGCAAGAGTTTGAGGAGAACACACAACGCTTTGTAGACCTACGGGGAAGGTTGGATCAAGAAGGCGTGCAAATAGTATTCGACGAGCAAGCAGCTGATGGCAATGGCACTGGCTCGGAAACGGATGAGTAGCGCTGAAGAGTCATTGTGCGCAACTGTGCGACCTGATCAACGGGAACGCATCATAGCAAACGCGTCTCATGTCACGGAATGACGCTGGATACTTGGAAGTAGAGTTTGCTGCCCAGGCGAAACATGATGCCTAATCTGATGGATTCATGGATCTCATGTCTTGATAGTAATGCGTGATATTACATGTGCAGCCCCACGCGTCGTCTGCAAGGGTGCATACATGCAGAGTTTCCCTGTACAGGCGACGCGGCATCTGAAACACATGGGACTCTGGAGTAATAGAGTCAAATCAGAGTCAGCCACGTCCGTGCTTGGGTGCGCTAAGAAAGTTGAGACCCTCGTGGCGCTCATGACAGTGACGTACCCAAGGTTTGTTTATAGATGCAGGCTGAGGTGCTGCATCTCCGCATAAGCCGCACCGCACCGCCTCAGGCCGTCCATCGACCCTTTCCACTACATGTATATTGTCCGCAC